AAACGTTAACCATAATATATAAAAAAGCAAGTATGTAGATACTATTTACCTGCAATTCTTCGTCGCGTTAAATCCCAATAGTGTATTTAAAATATGTACTTAAAACATAAAAAATTAAATTACAAATGAAAACTACAAAAACCTTGAGCGGTTTTCACCAAACATCTATCCCTAATGGCTTAATTGCATCTCGGGAAAACGTCAGATAAAAAGCGAAACCAATATATTCGCCATCAAAGCCCCTAAAAACGTAGAAGCTGAAAAAAAAATACAGCCTTTTAAACGTTAAAAGGCGCCGTTTACCGCGGGCGCAAACACTTAGCTACACGTTAATTAGTAAGTAGCTAGAACGCCGTCAAAGGGAATGCATGAATACCTTGGCAGTGCTTTTAAAATTTGCCCCTCATAATTTGAAGCTCAGAGAAACCGTGGGTAAACTAATTACGTAACCAATATACGATTTTTTCGGGTTAACAAGCTGCAAACGTTTCGTGTCTTTCTAGTAAATATATGACAATGTATAGTAATAATTAATGCTTCTTTCCACTCAGGGTTTACTGGAAGAGAACTCTTACAGAGTTAAGCTCGCCTGTTGTACATCTTTATTTTATATATATATATATATATTATATGTTGTAATTTTTTCTGTGTACAATAAATAATAAATAAATATAGTTTGAAATTTTAAAGTAGTTACACGATTTATATTACTTTAAACGGATTTCTAAAAAAGGAAGTCACAATTCAACTAATTTTTTAATAACTACACTTCATCCAAAATGAGTATATTGTATGAAATATCTAAACTTTATACATTATACGTGTTTCTATCGTGAAGTAATGGTGTTTCAGTTTGAAAACATTTTTTTATGCAACTTAAAATATCAAACAAGCTGACCTGGCCACCTGATGAAAAGTAGTATCCGTCGCCTATAGACATGAACAGTATCATTGACATAACAGAGTATACTGTTTTGCCCATGATACCCCCCATGCGTTGCCATTCCTGAGGACTCAGGTGTTATTCCTCTGTACCCTGTAAATACACTGCCATATTCTACCCTTTCAACCGAAATACAGCCATGCAAACACAACTGCTTCACGGTAGAAACACGAATGGGACAGAGGTGCCCAAGTAAACGACTTTTGTACAAAGTCTCCCTCTGGTATATGTATATAAATATATGGCAATTGTAAGGCAAAGAGGTATAATATATCATATCATCTTCAATTGTCACTTTCCATCAGCAGATCCGCTGTGTCAATTTTGTATTGCACTCATAAAATAACAGTTAGAAATTAGGTTAGAATTGGAATCGGTTCCTAATAATTTGTATTAACAAATTACATTAATATCAGAAAAAATATAGATTTGTTATGTCGCTACTGTTGCAATTCAAGAGTGCGAAACGTCTCAATTCCGATATCGATCTATTGGAATTTATTTCAAGAGTAACCCCACAGGTGGACCATCAACACGTTTACCATTACAAATTCCATAAAAATTATTACCCATCAAGCTGTCTATACTGTATATTACGCCAAATATCAAGACATAGATTAAACATACACACATATAAAAAAAACATTAAGTACCGTCCTTTCTTTGTTCTCGTTCAATCTATTACCTTCAATACATCATTTATTCTTTACTAAAATTATAGCTATTGTAACATCTTATTATTTTTATCGTAACTGTGCCTACAACTTCAAGACGAATTTTATTTTCATCGTGAATATTTATATATTTCGTACTTATTTCACACAATCGCATTTAAATACGTATTGTTAGGGAAATGTAATTACATTTACTATGCAAATAATCATAGACAAATATTCACTGATTGTCTAAAATGAAACAGCATTCAGTTTTGTATTATTATAATAATAACACACTTATGTCTATTTTCTACTAAACCTACTAAATAACTATAGTTTAGTCAAGTGGCAGGTGATTTAGTAAAAATCTTTTCGAGTTTAAGACAAATATAATAACCTTTCTTACCTAGTTTACTAGTACCAGACAACTAATAAACATACACTTCAATCTATTGTTTTATACTCGTTCAAAAATACTCTTAATACTTAAAAAAAGATGTGACCATATATACAAATGTTACATGACAACTGCAACCTTCGGAGAGCTCATTTTCAGAAATAAACGCTCAGAGTACTTTAATATATGAAACATAGTTTGTACTTATAAATTACGCGTCTTGATTTTACAAAAGCTAAGTATTTTTAATAGCAAATTTATACATACTTATTCATCACAGTCTCCCATTGAGGTAGCTAGAAATAATGGAACGCAAAATTTCTCTCTTTCGCTTTCTCCACATTTTATTCATACACGTTAGCCGGTTACGGGTACTTTCAATTTGGCCCTTCTTCAGTAGGTACGTTGCCTATTTGGCCAACATACGCCCACACGTCTATGGCGGCCCCTATCCACATCTCCATTCATCCGTGCTCGGTAAACCTCTTCCATAATTCTTCTTTCATCCATAGGCTCCAAATTATGAAACCAATGCAACATCCCCTTTTTGATCTTTGTCACTACATCGTTTTTCAGTCGACATTTCTCTCTAATAACATTATTTCTCTATAGAAAATCCATTCGAGCAGCTGAGTCGTATACTCCTTAGCCCCTTGTATTATAAAAAAAACAAGTCTATCAAAGATACCATTTACAATATTATTTTGTCAAATGTCCGGAATCCTCCGGAGTCAACTTTCTATAGGAACTTCGAGTTAAATATATAAAAAAAATACATATATGAGTAAGTAATATATATTTTATTATCTTAACAGCGTCCTCGCCTGACTTAACATGGTTTTTTTTAATAATATACAGCCCATATTATAACTTTCTATATGTGAAAGAATTTTTAAAATAAATTATGTATTGTTCATAAGCTTATCCGTTACAAGTAAAAAGAATCAAGTCTTTCTTCTTTATAAATTAAGATTAAATATTTATAAAAATCCATTCATTTCAATTTATAAATGTACCTATTTAATTTTTGTTTATATTTTATTTTGCATTGTTATTTTTTTTTATACATGGCTTCATAATCGTTTAAATAACACGTGGCGCCAAATATCAGGACATACAAATGTATTTACGAGTACTCACATACCAGAAAAACATGACTCGCCTTTCCTCAGCAGCCTGTTAAAAAAGTAAGCCACCTATCCTTTGTCTTTTTTCAATGTCCTCTACCCAAAGGTTGTCTGGAAGAGATCGTAGGGGTTAAGACCGCCTTTTATATCACTTCTCATTTATATTTTCTGTATTTATTATTATTATTATTTTTTTTTTACTTTATTGCACAACAATAAAATGTAAATAAATAAGTAAATAAACAATGGAATCAAGGCAATGGTAACAGCTAGCTTATCTTTGATCCTCGTGAACAGGTGCTCCCTGTGGAATCTGGTGTACTCTGATCACTGTAAATGATTTATGTTGTTACTTTTTCCTAATTGTATGCTAATATCTTAATTTTTGTAATGCGGTACTGCTTAGTAATTTTTATTCACACTTATTCAATATTTTTGAAAAAAGCAACAGTTAAGTTTCTTGTCCGTTCTTCTCAGCCAAAATTGCCAATGAATAGACAGTGGTGTCATAAAAATATACTATTCAAAAATGTTTAAGTTCACTTGAATAAAAGATTTTTTTCTTTCTTTCAGTATAGTTATAAAAATAAAATTAAGGGCCCCGGCAAGTAAGGTACGAAACGCGAAGTGAATTATCCTCAAAACATTGCGGCTCTTCACCTCGAGTCATTAGCCGTAACAGCATTAGTTAAAGCAACGCAATTACAATTAGGCGCGCTGAACTTGACCTACAGCGAGAGGTCGATGCGCAACGCCCGCTATGCAAATAAGAAGTCGGCCGGTTCTTTGGAACGAATTGTAGCTCAATCCTCAGAAAAACCATTCAAACACCGTGGAAATTGAGAAAGCGTTCGATTGAAGTCGTTTAATCAAAACGGTTCGATTGAAGTCCGGAAATTTGTATTAATTTATTAATTGTATTATAAATGGGAAAAAATATTCAATTGGAAACTTTTTTTTATTTCTCAGTTGAGTGAATTAACAATTACGGCATATAAATTTTGAGAAGACCCAAATCAATAACAAACAACACAATTAAACACGCTGAATTTAAACTAAAGCGACAGATCTATACCTACACAACGCCTATCGCTTTATACGCAAAAAAGAAGTCAGCCGTTTTGTTTATTTGATCTGATTTGATTTCGATTGGAACAAATTATATCCCGATTCTCAAAAATCTCACAAAAATTGAGAAGTCATTTCATCGAAGTCCTGAAGTTTGCATTAATTTAAAAACAGACAAAAATGTAACAACAAACATTTTCCCCATCTAAAATAATTGATAAGTACAGAAATACAAATTTGAATAAGACTCGAGTCTTAGGCCGTAATAACATTAGTTCAAACAACGCAACTATAATTAGGAACATTGAATTTGACTTAAAAAGATCTATACGTAAAGCCCACTATACAAATATGAAGTCAGCCAGTTCTTTGATTCGATGTGGCGAACGACTTGAATTCGATTCTTGTAAAACCAAACCGTTCAAATATCGTTGAATGTGAAAGGTCGTTCGATCGTAGCCCTATAAGATGTTTGTATTGATTTTTTCTTTTTATATTAATTTTTGAACTTGTTTAACTACAATCTAATCTTAAATGATAAAGTAATCCACTCTAGCCTTGAAAGACTCTATATTAAAGTAGTTTGAACACAGACAACAGTAAAGAATTCCACTCCTTGGCTGTTCATTTAAGAAAGAATGAAGCGAAGCGCTTAGTACGAATAGGTGGATCGCCAACCATATATGAGTGAAATCGTTTTCAGCGCCTTGTTCGATTTGTTATTTCTTAATCTTTACCCTTACATCTTATTCTATATCAACTGTCTTTCATTGTCGGTAAAATTTGTTAAGTCAATGTTTCGATTGCAGCGGAAGGTGCTTTCAAAAAATTAAAACCTGAGCCCGGCGGGAACAACACGGGGTCATCGGGGGGCACGTCAGCATTATCACCAGCGCTGGGCCCGCAGCACGCCGGCCACACGCCCACTACTGCCTCGTGTCCCACGCCGGCGCGACGGCGCCATAGGACCACATTCACACAGGTACGGAATCCTTAATGTAACCTTAATAAAAATGTACATTAGTATTGAATTCGAGAGGGAAGAATAGAAAGTAAAGAAGTAAAAAAGACTAAAGCCCCTTTTTTAATGGATGGTAATGGAATGGTATCCCGTATACGCTAACGGTATACGCTGGCGGGGCACCAGTGAGGGATGATAGATGAGAATGAAAAGGCAAGTCAGTTAGCTTATCGTGATGAATGCACATGGAATTCAGCACAATAGTTTCCAGGGGGGCCACGTGGAGGTCGACCTAACTGAGTATATTGCTAGCAATGTGACATATATATATATATATATTTAATGCAAGCAACTTTAACAAAACCATAGACAATAAGGCTTATGAGACAGATATATGAGACATTTTTAGTGCACAGTTCGTGTAACCCAAAAATTTTATTCAAGTCATTTGCCGGTATATATATGTCATATACTATTATTATTAATATTTGATAATTATTTTTAATATCACTAAAGCAGCGTAAACATGATACAATGCTCTATTGAATTTATCAAACTACCTACTAAACTAGCATTAATACCAAAAAACCTTTACCTTTTCAATATCCCATCTCGTTACCTGTTTGTTAGTGGCATAATAGGCAAAACTAGCCCTTTGCCAATATTAAATAAAAGTAACTCTGTAAAAGACACTATATTACGATAAATAAAATATGTCTCTACACATTAAAACAAACATTTCTGTCAACAATTTTATTTGCCCACCAAACAAAGCGCTTAGACTGATAACGAGTCGTATAAAGAGTTTTCATTCGTCACTAAAATGATCACATAATATGATCATTTTGATTTTATTTATTAATGTTTTCGGACATAGTAATATTTCCGAAAACCTTAGTGCCATCTCATAGTGATCCGTTTCCACAGGAACAATTAGCAGAATTAGAAGCAGCATTCGCAAAATCACATTACCCTGACATTTACTGCAGAGAAGAGTTGGCGCGGACGACCAAACTGAACGAGGCTAGGATACAGGTCAGTGGCTATTTGTACCTTTTATTTCGTCTAATACCGATGTGAATTTACATACATTTTCGCAAATGTAGTAGGTTTATTACTTTCCAGCAACATAGCCTTGCTTCACTTTTTTTTTTAAATACAGTTCATAAGGTTGGTTCTATAATTAAAAGAATTTTTAAAATCATTTACGTATTTTATTAATTTATCAATTACAAACAAAAATTCACATGTTTTTATAATACAAGTATTAGTTTAGATATGTATTTTTAAAAGAAATTTTTCCCTATTGTTACACAATATCTACTGCAATTTTAAACCAATTTTAATAAACCTATTTTTTTATAGTCGACGGTATTTTCTCCCATATCGGTTACAGTTAGTTTGAAATTTATTTAAGTTGTCGTTTCTTTCAAATCTTAAATTATAAATGCTATAATAGGTTTTAGTATTTTTGTACCTTTTAAAACATATTAATATCTTTCAAAGGTCAGAATAAATATATTAAATATTTATTTTCATGCTTTATTGATTTTCCCCCTTTTTTGTATTTTCATCGATATCGGATATTATTCTTCAATACCCTTTTTTATACTTTTTTTTTATGTAAATGTGGGAATTATAATTTGTCGCCATTTATCAATTAGGAATAATGGTACAATGGAACAAATGTTCTTCACATTTAGTTATATATTAGAATAAAACATTTTTATTGAAGTATTGAAGTAAGTTTAAATCTATTATAATGTGAATAGTACAAATCTTCTTAGTTTTTACAGTTAACAATTTTAACATGATTTTGTAATTAGTAACTATAAAAATACACGAGGTGCTTACGTTTTTAAACCAATCCGATGGGAAACTACGGTGAAAATATCACAAAAATACTTCAAGCAGTTATCATAAATATGGAATTTGTTTAAAGTCAATAACGCGATATCTATTTACACATTAATAGAGACAGATCTGTCGTCAATAGGTCGTCATCATTATTTTGTTTATAAGCGAATAAACGATAATTGTCGCTTTGTAAAAGGCGTTCCATAATCTTGTTAATTTATTATATTAATTCTATAAAAAGAAAAAATATATTGGTATAAACATGTTTATTAAATTAGATAGCTACTCATTCGTAACCATCTTCTCATCTCCCAGAGAGAGACAAAAAAGTCGAATATGTAATTCATTTATATAATAAGAAATTAAAAAGGCACTACTTATTAATTAAAAGAAAAATACCCTAATTACTTTTTTTATACCACTGAGGTGGCAAACAAGCATACGGTCCACTTGATGGTAAGCGATTACTGTAGCCTATAAACGCCTACAATACCAATGGCAACGCACGTATGGCCAACCCTAAGGAAACCTCTTTACCTCTTATTTGAAGAACTCCACTCTGTAATCATTACATTTTATTAAAAATCGTATTGCAAAAAAATAAAAACTAAAACTGCCTCTACGTAGAGGTATTTGGGGTGAAAAGGACCACCCGGAACGCTTGCGAATCGTGATCAAAAAAAAAAACCTAAACTGTTTAGTCAGTACAATGTACAATATAGCGCACTCGTTCCAGTACGGAATTGTCGAAATATCAATGATGCGCGAATACTTCGATAATACAATTTGGTGCGTAGGCCGGAGGCGGATTGAATTAAAGCGCCATCTGTCCTCTTCGGCCGTATGAATACGAAATGCTTACAGTTACTCGCGACAGATCTTTATCTCAGTTTTAAAATTGCTCAATCCCTCGGGACCCTCGATATTGATTTGTCCCCGGTGCGCCTAATTTGGCGTTATATGTACATATTTTATTCCATAGCTGACTTTTAGTATTCTTGTTAATAAAATACTCGAGTGGTATACATTTTACACGTATTCCTACCAATTAGCAACTCGTTACGGTATTTCAAGTTATAATTTATTCATTGAAAATTTTATACCTCGTGTAAGTACGTGTTCAGTTACAATATTATTTTATAACTGAGTATATAAATTAATGTATAAGCCAGTATTATTCAAAGACACAAAAATTCTAATAAGCCATGTTGTAACTATTGGTACAGCATTAATAATTAGCGTTAATTAAACTGACACATTATCCAGAAAAAAAATCTCACAAGGAATTTCCGTGTACAATACCAAAGGTTTGAATAATATAATAAAATTGTATATTAAATTAACTATATCTACCGAGAATCAAAAGCGGGACTTCGATTATGCAAAGAAATTTGTAAAAAAAATACAATCTAATTAAGAATATCTCATTTTAAAGCCGATTCAGAATGCGAGATCATGTTTATTGTATCGCTAGATGATTTAGTATATACTATGTATAGTTATTTATATATGTACTTTATGTGATTTGTGTGTAATTTTTTTTGTAAGTATATTATTCTATATGTTTGTATATTTATTTATCATAAATTGTTATCTCTTAAAATATTTATTTCATTCACTATTTTTTTTTAAATCTGTACACCGCCATTTGCTCTCTCTGTTTGGCGTGGCGGTTGACTGGTAGAGAATACCATCAGGCATTAAGTCCGCCATGTAGACATTGTTCAATGTGTGCAAAAGTATAAAAAAATAAATAAAATAAATAAATGATGATGAAGGTATCTTGTCTTCAATAGAATACCAAATTTTCTGTGGGTCAAATCGAATGGGACAAAGAATGCCCATCTAGGTCTAGAACCTTATTGTGGCATGCCTCAAAATCTAAAGTTCAGACATCTCAAACTCATAAGCTTAAAAATAGCAAATAATATCTGGCTCTTATTAACAGAATTAAATCACTAGAAAGCATTAAGAAGTTACCATATAATTACTCTAAAAAATATAACTCTTTTGAGAAAAAATAACATGTGTGTATTAACAAGGGCTCTCTCTGGATACTGCTAACTTAACAAGCACATGGTCCAACTAGGCTTATGCCCAAAAAATGTAAGATTTTGCACAATGAGGAAGAAACGCCGCAACACTTATTTGTGGGGCTGTAGCACACTCATACATTTACGATATATCTCCTTTGGAAAATACACTTTATATACTAAGGAAACAAAACACATCGCTACAAAGAACATCTTGAAATCCCTATCACTAATAGGAATTAGCAGCGAACTTGTATAAAAAGGGTGAGCATAAAAGATTATAGAAAAAACGCAGTGTCACAGATTTTTCTTCGTCTCCCAATAATAATAATAATAATCCTATACAATATATTTTGTGTTTTAAGAATAAATAAATAAATAAAGTATGTTTTTTTTTTCTAATTTAACAGAAACACAAAAATAAGAAGAAACCTTTTGTATTCCACAAGCAGTTATTAAGATCAACACTCTCTTTAAATCGACATTATTACCTTCATATTACGCGTGATATTTTATTCACCGTTTTGTTTGCCGTTGGCCCATCAAGTACACCAAAGTACACAATTACATATTCTTTCGAAAGCAATGAGTGACAAAGTTCTGTTAAGAAAATGAAAGGTTTCGCGAAACGAGGTTACAAAAGAGCACAACATACCTGCTACGGTTAAAAGCTTGTGAAATGCGTGTAGGCGACCGTATTATTATACATATAGGTACATATATAGCTATATAAATCATCGAACATGTGTGGATATGTATAGGGTTGCCATTCGTCTGTATTTTCCCGGACTTGCCCTCATTTGAAGGGCGTCGGAGCGTCCAAGCGGGATTTCATATACAGTGGCTTTATCAAAAATTTCAAATTAGTTTTATATTATCTTAAACAAATGTTATTGCATCGATGAAGTATATTAATTTCAACAGCAAACGTTTAGGTTTTAAGCTCAAACCTCAGAGATTTTATGCTTCTTATTCTGGGCGATCTACTGCGCCATGAAATGTAATTTCGCGTGTTTAAACCAAAATTTCCTCCGAAACACGTTCATTTCAAAATTCAATCAGTGGACGAATAATAAGATATCGTTCATCATAAACCATACTACTACCTGGTATATCCAAATCACCAAAATTGAAACATTCTGACAGCATTTCTTTCGTGATTTTAGCATCGAGTCCGTATTTCATCCGACTCTGAAATTTCGGGCATATTTTTGTGGTGGATGGGCTGATTTGTTAATTTCACAGATGGCAACCCTAAATAATATGTATAGCTAAGTGTACAAGGTAAGTGCGAGTATGGTGTGTTCGTGCACGCGCGCCGTAGGAGGCTATTAACGTTTAGGCGACGCTACATAAGAATGTAAACGTTAAAGACGACAGCAACGTCGAGCTCCCTCCTTCTAGAGGAAATTTCGATATAAAAATACGAGAGTCGGCTGGCGTGGGAGGGGCATGGGAGGGCGGTGGGGGAGGGTGGCCCCTGAGGCATTGCAATCCCATCAAATGGATCCGTAACGAAGTTAGCCGTTCATCCTCCCCGCGCGCCCCTCGACATTGTCTCTGCCCTCAAATGAATTCTACAATTGGAAATAAGAAAATGTTTTGTTGGATCCCCGTGCTTTTTCAGTTTAAAGGCGACCGTTTTCTTCGGATAACTCGACGCGCTCTCAGGAAAATAGGTATCTATCTATCGCTTTTGTTGTGAGCCAACATAATGTTTTATTTAGGAGACGGATCTTTACCGAATTAAGTTATAGGTCTCTTAAAATTCTTGCTCTCACGAGTGTAATAAACGTCTCGGAATACATATTCATTATCTGTTTCGCTTCTTATTTAATGTAATATTATATTTTAGTTTTATTTATTTATTTAAAGGAACACCAACAACATATTGCATTATAACATATATAACAAACATTAAATACAAAACAATATTAATACACATGCCTATTTATATAATATTATGCACAGCATTTACTTTTAAAATAATTATATGTGCACATTCATATTCATATTTGTTGCCTCTTAAAGCCTCGATGGCTTAACCAATCCCTATGACATTTGGATGGCTACTTTTTATCCTATAATCACATTAAGCTACTTTTTTGTAATGACAAAGGAGATGACGACCCACCTAATGAAAAGAGGTAACCGTCGCCTATAGACATGAACAGTAAATATGTGTGGCAAACAAGCTGACGGCCCACCTGATGGAAAGTGGTAACCGTCGCCTATAGACATGAGCAGTACCGCGGACATAACAGAATATAGTGTGTCACACATGATACCCATCATGCGTTGCCATTCCTGAGAACTAAGGTGTCTGTACCCTGTAATTTCATTGTTATATGAATGCCCACCCTTCAAACAGAAACACAACAGCAACTTTACGTAGGTATACACAGTTTATAATTCATATTATTATTTTTAAATCTTATTTTTTACACTATCAATTCTTCTAAAATTCTTTCTTCTTCATTCTTAAGTATTTATTCAATTAAAAAAAAATCATATAATACAAAATAACTTCCATTTGAAGTCAATCGATAATCCCATTTTCATAAAATTCTAGTAATATTTTATTTGCTCCATTCACAATATCTTACATTGAAAATTATTTATTTATTTATATGCTTTTGTATATTCACTTATAGTAGAGATTTTTTTTTTAATGGATGATAATGGAATGGTAATGCCTGCGCTAATAGTAAACGCTGGCGGGGCACTAGTGAGAGATGATAGGTGCGAATGAAAATACAAGTCAGTGATAGCCCATCCTGATGAATACACCTGGAATTCAGCACGATGGTTTCCAGAGGGAACCACGGGGAAGTCGACCTGATAGGGTATATTGTTAGAAATGGGACAGACAGTCTGCATTACCAATAAACCCTTTCCAAGATATATATATATATCTTGGATATTAGGTTACAGCAAAAATGTACACAGACAGACTTACCCCTAAAGGGATTTTTTTCATTCATATTTGAGAATCCGAAAGGACAAAGTGTCTATAGGTTTTGTATATAAAGCATAACGTGTACGGTGCAAAAATAATACAATAAATTATATTAACATTACAAAAAAAAACCAATCGTTCACCAACTAGGAAATGACTGTTTTCTATTACAACGCGCCACGGACGGATGTCGGTTGCTACGCGAAAAAACTAATATCCCATTTATGTTCCCCTTCCAACATAAATGTACTAAACGATACGTAAGTACATATATAAATTGTCATAGGGTTGTTAGGTATAGGGTGTATCGGTTTATTTATATGGAGAGTGCGTGCGGGGGCGCGCCGCTCGCCACCCCTCCCTGTTGGGCGCCTCCCACCCTCTCCCTCTAATCAGCTCTAATCACCATATCAAACGACGCACGCTCTCATCCCATCCCGTCCCATCCGCGTTGACAACACACAGATTAGAAGCTCGTGTGTTTTAGTCGTTGTTTTGTTGTTTCACGTATAAAGATGTAGATACTGCGAACATAATTAGGGTACCATTATAATCTGATACTGACATTCACCCGTGACTTCATTGGTTAAAAATTAACATATCAGAAAAGGTATCAAGATTCAAGTAAGGTATCTCTTAAATACAAATAATTAAATTGCAATAATTAATTAGTAATTGAAAATTGTCAAAGATTGACAATTTAAAAGCGCTTGTAAACAAAACTATTTGAATAAAAGTTATTTCTATTCTTTTCTATTCTATTCTATAAAAGCTTTTGCATTTGTAATTATATTTTGCAATTAGATTTGTTATTACAATTTTCTTAATAATAATACATTCTTTATTCAAGTTGCCAGGATCCGTACTATTTTTATACAAATTATAATTACCTTCTTAATCTACTTTTATTTAATTAAATCATGACTAACTGTGTTTTTAACCGTGACCAAATTATAATAATAATATTTATTTGTGAACAAACATGGTAATTACATTGGTATAGTCATTGAAGTACAAGCGTGTTACGCCAGAGGTTGGCATGCAAAATATTTATAATTAATAAAAGCATAGATAATAATATATAAGAAATTAACAATGTCTAAATGATTTAAATATAAAAAGTTAATTCGAGTATTAACTTATTATATTTAAAACTAACTGTATCTCGTGGTTTTACCCCTGTGAATCAGTTTTAATTTCTTATGTGCCAAGTTAATATATAACTTACCCGTATACCAAATTTCATTAAAATCCGTTCTATAGTTTTTGCGTGAAAGAAAATATAGTATTGTTAATCTTTCACGCATCCACGAATATGTATTTAAACTTAGAAAGCGAGATCTTGTATCTACAAGAAGATTAAAAATATATTTTAAAACAATTGTTAATATTAGTTTACAAGTGTCGTAGATATCGTATTATACCTACTTTTTTTTCAAGTCGCTTTTAAACCCCAACAAATTAATTTTTATCTCTAAATAAAGATCTAGCAATACATATATAATAATGAGCAGTGAGGAAGTGAAAAACAAATATACATTTTGAACTTACACGGTTAAAGGTTAAAGTTTTTGCAACTTGACACATTATAGGAACGATTATTAGAATAAAATTGAAATTATCTTTCTTCGAATAGACTCGTTTACAAGCCCTATTAAGTCGCCATTTTTTTGTATTCTACTGCTAAGTTCGTAATGTTGTTGTCTACTGAGAAGAAACCAGTCGTTATTTTTTCTGTTTTTGCTGCAATTATACTTAAACAGGACTCTTGTATTTACTCTTCATAAGAACATTGTAACAACTCTATATTATGTACATGAATGTATTATAATAAATAAATAAAATAAAAACTTAATTTTATTTTCTACCAGGTCTGGTTTCAAAACCGGCGCGCAAAGTATCGTAAGCAAGAAAAGCAGTTGCAAAAAGCGCTAGCGCCAGCGGTGCTGCCCGGCTGCAACGGCATGATGCGCAACATCCAGGGCTACAGGGGCTACCAGCCTTACCCACACCCCAACACCATCAACAGATATCCCCAGGTAATATCGATTTATGCAAATGTAAACATAATTAGTAACGGGTTAATGTGTCACCCCAACTTTCTTATATAGATATTTTCTTTGTTTGTTATTTAGTATAAAAGTTCATATTTATCCCATATTAATTGTCAATTGTAATAATAAGTCATCATTACCAATCTCGTCATATCAATACTTCCCACAATACGTATAATTTTAAAACAACTGCACATATTTGGCAAATTCTTTTTTTTTTTGTATTTGTAATTAACATTCACAGTAAGTTCCTATGTATAATAATTACAATTACAAAAAAGTATATTAAAAATTATACATGGGTTATAACAAAATTTATTTTATTTTCATAGGCTCAAAGTTTTCACAAAGGTTCAAAGTTTTAGTTCTATCGTTTTAATTATTTCTTATGCAAGAACCCAGTAAAAGTAATGTAAATTTTAATATAATTTCAAATAAAATTATATTTTTTCCTACATTTCCAATTTTAATTACCATCTTGACATGAAAAATCTTTAAGGTTTTTTTTTATACAACTTAGAATGGCAAACAAGCTGACGGCCCACCTGATGGAAAGTGGTGACCGTCACCTATAAACATGAGCAGTACCATTGACATAACAGAGTATACTGTTTCGCCCATGATACCCATGCGTTGCCATTCCTGAGGATTTAGGTATTATTCCTCTGTACCCTGTAAATTCACGCCATATTCCATCATTCAAACCGAAACACAGCCATGCCACACCACAGCCACGGTTGAAACACGAATGGGACAAAGGTACCCAAGCAATCGACTTTTGTACAAAGTTTCCCTCTGGTTATTATAAACCATCCATCATTACTAACTTTCACATCTGTATTATTAATCCTATTAATTATACAACATATCCAATGACGTCTATCATAGATCGCCTAGTAATTGCAGTATGTTATAGTATAAATTCGTTGACTACCTACGATGCACAATCAGAATCATTTGCAACATAAACGCATGTCGGTAACGACCACAATTCACGGCTGTCTCTGCGCGGTATCCATCAACAGACCTCATTACGTATTGACACGATTTCTCATCTCACTAAAATAATCCTAAATTGTTTGTTTAATAATGCAAATTGTATTAATAATTATTAAGTTTGACTTTATGTTTATCTTCACGACTTTGAAATGCACTGCCTGAAGGTATCCATCCGAGAGCCTCCAAATAAATTCATTTTCAAAAAAGTTCATGTTTACCTTTCGAGCAATAATAATAACAATAATGATAGCCAGTCATCGTCTTTTATATTTTAACTTTAACAATATTTTAATTTTTCAACTGCATAGTCTGTAATTTTTTATTGGAATATTTATAATATGTTCTGGTATTATATTGCATAAATATATAATAAGTACGTATTTTTTCTGTTTGAATCTGAGCATTTACCAGAGGAAAACTGCAAAAGTCATTTGCTTAAACACCTCTGTCCCATTCATATTTCTACCATGAAGCAGTTGTGTTTGCTAGGAATGGGGCCCTTAGTCTCTATTACTTAAATCCCTTCCCCTCTTGGTTTGAAGGGTGGGATATGGCAGTAAATTTACAGGGTACAGAGGAATAACACCTGCGTCCTCAGGAATGGCAACGCATGGGGGTATCTTGGGCGAAAGTATACTCTATTATGTCCATGGTACTGCTCATATCTATAGGCGACGGTTACCACTTACTATCAGGTGGACTGTCAGCTTGTTTGTCATTCTAAGTTGCATATTTATATTTTATATATTTATTTAGTTCGGCGTATAGGTCCCGCCATAGAATAGACCAGCCCTTCCTTTCCCGTAGGTGTCGTAAGAGGCGATTAAGGGCTTTTATAGTTGAGAAATAGGCAGCAGCGTCCCTCTTAAAACATCACCAATAGCCTAACTGCGGTTGTTAACCCACCTGCCAAGTATGGCAACTACTGGCAAAACCCTCTCTTATAGGGTAAGCCTATGTTTAGCAGTGGACATTTAACGGCTTATGAAATATTTTAATAATAATAGAACATATTGTTGACCAATTTTTCCATACACAACCATAATTATTTAACCTGATCATAATCAACATGCTATTAAAGCGGCCGTCGCGCTCTGTAACCTAACGTATCCCAGATAATTTAGCGAGCCACCACCGTGCCATTAACTAAAGTGTTAATCGTTATAAAACGGCGGCATTTTAATGCATCTAATTATTGTAAAGTGAGAAAACTTTTTGAACTGATCCATATTAGCCCTTAAATACGTGAAGTTTCAAATTTGATACCAGGGTTATAAATCGCATTGGGCGCCTACAATCAATTTTATTTTAATTTATTTATTTATTTAACTCTTTATTGCACCATAAATAAAAATATACAATGACAAGTGAATAATTTAAATGAAATACAGTAACATAAATACAGATTGAAATATACACATAAAGGTACAAAAGGCGGTCTTATCGCTAGGGCTATAAAGAGCTAGGCTATATTTAACTGTTTATATCTTACCAATTTATTTTTTTAATAAATATATAAAAATATCGTTTTATTTTCCCCATTAGTAAACACAGTAAAGGGCACACTTATATATTTTTTAATTTGATTTAAAAAATCAGGCTTTTAAGGGTTAATCTAAACCGGATATCTCTGTCTCTTTCTATCTACAATGAAACACACTTAAAACACACTAATTACCATAAAATTCTTACAAATTCTTACTAATATTGGAAATAAGAAATTCAATTAGTTCGTATGTTACCTTATAGCGTTTTAACGGCTTTACCAATAAGTATGGAGTTAGATATACAGATACTATTGTATATGGGATGGAGCCTTCTCCATCCTAAAAGTAACCCATGTACTACTTTTTATTTATTTATTACATAATTATATATTTTTGTATACGATAATTTCTATATAATAGTGCGCCACCTACCCTTTGTCTTTTTCTCGATGTCATCTACCTAAAGGTTGTCTGGAAGAGATTGCATAGCGATAAGGCCGCCTTTTATATCACTTCTCATTAATATTTACTGTATTTGTTATTTATTTTTTTACTTGGTGCAATAAAGTGTAAAATAAATACTGTCATTTGGATTCATACTACATAGATAAATATAGAACAAATTAATACATATGTACCTTTTAGACTTTGTAATTAGAGCGTAAAAGATAGACATCCTATTAGGACTGGACGAGAGGTTGTTTTAAATGTTAATAGGTCTTATTTTATTTGAGCTTTTTTAATAATTTAAATAATTTAACCAAATTTATTTTTATTTTATATTATATATGACGATAATTTATATTAAATTATAATACTGACATTGAATAGTAATTAAATATAATGACAATAATTTATCCCAAACAGTGAACATGTCTCAATCACGCGGAAAAAGTCGCGGGTACAGTTTTTTTTTTTTTTTTGCAACATAGAATAGCAAACTAGCTGACGGCCCACCTGATGGAAAGTGGTAACCGTCGCCTATAAACTTGAACAGTGCCATAGACATAACAGAGTATACTGTTTCGCCCATGATACCCCTCACGCGTTGCTATTCCTGAGGACTTAAGTGTTATTCCTCTATACCTTGTAAATTCACTGCCATATCCCACCCTTTCAACCAAAATAAAGCCATGCAAACACAACTGCTTCACGGTTGAAACACGAATGGGACAGAGGTGCCAAAGCACCACCAGAGGGAGACTTTTGTACAAAGTCTCCCTCTGGTTATTATAAACCATCCATCATTACTAACTTTCACATCTGTATTATCAATCCTGTTAATTATACAACATATCCAGTGACGTCTATCATAGATCGCCTAGTAATTGCAGTTAGTTATAATAGCAAACGACTTTGCTTGAGCAGCAAACGACTTTTGTACATAATCTTCCCTCTGGTAAAGTTAGTTATTATATAACAGTGATCTTTAGCACAATAAGCTAAACGTTCCATAATAATTCATGCCTGTGGTAATTAATAGCCAAGTATGTAATTAATATCCTTTTAAACGATTCTGTCATATCATTAAGTACTAATAATAAAAAAAACCTTCTATAAAGAACACTAGGATCTTTTAGTAAGTTTCATTTTTGACGCTGATCATGTCTTTAAAGGCTTCAAAGCTTTTTCAGTATTTTTTAAATACTTCTATAATGTCCTTTGATTAATAATAATAATTGAGGTCATTGCTCCGTACGCGCACAATGCTTCTGGCATTGCAGGCGTTTATAGACTACAGTAACCGCTTACCATTAGGTGGATCGTATGCTTGTTTGCTACCTCAGTGTTATTTATTTATTTATTTAACTCTTTATTGCACCATAAATAAAAATATACAATGACAAGTGAATAATTCAAGTGAAATAGAGTAACATAAATACAGATTGAAATATACACATAAAGGTACAAAAGGCGGTCTTATCGCTAAGGCAATCTCTTACAGACAACCTTTGGTTAAAGGAGAACAGATAGATGTGGGCAGGTGGCGCAAGAGTGAATTAATAATTTTTCGTGCTTAAAATACAAAAACCTGTAATGCACAAAAATATTAAATACATATAATTTATTAAACTACTTACTATAACAATATTAATATATAGTGGTATAAGAAAATACTCTCATTCAATTACTATAAAGTCATTTAAAATTGTTTGTATTTTAACAACTTAAGAGAATTTTTTTATGGTTTGCTATACAGTATTTAAGGCATCCTGTCCTCACTATTGGATACGGGGAACGGAATGCCAATACAACAGGGTACATGGTGGGCGCAATTTAGACGCAATATTTGAGGAGCATTAGGAAGGTAAATGAACGGCCGGATACTGCAACAAATGAATATGTGGTCTGCCTCCGAACTGGCGACCTCTGCTGTCTACTGGTCTCCAATACGAGGGACTTAGACTTAAGAGCATTTATTATTTTTACTTAAGGGGGACCTTCGTAAAAAACTGCCAATTTTCAAAAACAATTGAAGGTTTTCCTATATAACGTATTCTATGATTAGCGTTTAAGTTCGATAGCAGAGTACTATTATATATAGTCAAACAGAATAAAAAATCTCTCTTAAACGATTACTATGAAATGTATATCAAATACACGTATTAAATAAAACAAAGAGGGACATAGGCTATTTTTTTGTCCAGGTCACGTAAATAAGGTCGCGAGTAAAGGCTAATTTAAAATAAAAAAGCACACAATAAAAATCTTAATTAATATCGTTATTTATACCACAAATAATATAATGCTATTTTTTTTATATTTTATTGGCACATAAAACAGATAAAAAAACTTAAATAATAGTTACATTTGTGATTCGGCTAGGTTATAATCCATTTACATTATGTGCACAGCTTGAGTAATTCATGGAAAACAAACACATAAAATAAAGAAAATACTTAAAATGTTATATAAATATATAAAAGATAAAACTATATAAAAAAAAACATATTTTCAATCATATTACAAAAAATATTACTATATACTAGTATTGGGTTACTAGTAGTAACTTGTACACAATTTAACAATATCTCGTGTTTCCAGCACCACGGAAGCTACGAGGAGCTGCAGAAGGACATATTCTCGCTGTCACAGATGGGCGGCGGCTCGTACCCCATGCCGCAGGGTTTTTCTATGGGACACAGCGCCAATATGAGCGCTGTCGGCATGCGACAGGATACTATGGGTTAGTATAATCCTTACTAATATTATTAATGTGAAAATGCCTTTATTTGTTACCTTATACGCCTTAACGGTTTAGCCAATTATAATGAAATTTGTTATGCACATACTATGTATAAAGGAGGGGAAAGAGATTGTTAGTAATGGGGTCAAACAGCCCCATTATTAGCAATATACCCTATCAGGTCGACCTCCACGTTATTACCCCTGGAAACCATCGTGTTTAATTCTAGTTGAATTCGTTAGGATGGGCTAACTGACCTGCTTTCATCCTCATCTATCATTTCTCACTGGTGCCCCGCCAGCATATACCGATAGCGCAGGCGGGGTTACCATGCCATTATTACCCATTAAAAATAACTATATGGAATAGAAAAGGATATATTTTTTATCCCGGTCAGTATACATAATATCCCGGTCACGCGTACGAAGTCGCATGTAAAAGCTAGTATTTCTATAAATTTATTACATTACTTAATCATATTTGAAGATTTATTAAAAAAAAACTTGGCGTATTAATCTAATAACCGCTTGATTTTATAGCAGTGCAATTTTATACTTTTTTAAAGTTCTGTGCCAAGACGGTACAAAGACGGGACTATGCGTCCGTCCGACTTTCACATGGTTATTTCTTAACATTTAGCAATGCCTTGAAATTTAAATTTGGAATAGTTTTAGATATTGTTGGCCCAAATGTTGCAAAAAAAGAATTTAATACAATAACATAAAATATTTTTATTTTCTTTAATCTTCGAAATTTCGATTCTGCTACTTGTCCTATCATTTAAAAAGGCTACATTTGTTTATTCTAAAATCATTTTTAATCTATTTTTATACCACGTATTACTAAATGTATTTAATACATTACACTACAAGCAACGGTTATCACTTTCCATAAGGTGGGTCGTCTTTTGAAGCCGCAAATAAAATATAAAAAACTTACTGAGCTATAAATTCAATTCATACTATAATAAAGGGTAGACAGCAGGCGTCCGGTGTGGCCGCTTTCATCAAGTTTCCATTAGAGCTGCGAAGACAATTAAAAAGTTGGTATCGCGCCGGCTGATCATCGCAGCAGTGTTATTATACAAATACTTCATAAAATAATGAGAAAACTCAACTATCTATAAAGCTAAATGGTATCAAAAAACATGAAAATATTTAATTAGCTAACGGCCCGTCCCGACGTCGCACGGATGGACATTTTTACAGTTTAAAAAGTGACCATTAAGGCTGCACACGCGACGGAAACTTAATAATGGAGTAACTTCTCCCGTTTTCCTAACATTTCCCTTCACTGCTCTGCTCCTATTAATCGTAGCGTGATGAAAAGTACACTATAACCTGCCCAGGAGTATGAAGAATAATTGTACTAAGTTTCGTTAAAATCCGTCGAGTAGTTTTTGTTTCTATAACGAACATACAGACAGAGAGACAAAAATTTTACTAATAGCATTTTTGGCATCAGTATCGATCACTAATCACCCCCTGATAGTTATTTTGGAAATATATTTCATGTACAGAATTGACCTCTCTACAGATTTATTATAAGTATAGATTATATTTATTTCATATAATCATCGTACCGGCCCTTAACTATCCACTGCTGAACATAAGCCTCCCCTTGGGGGTTTTTGCCAGTAGTTGCCACTCTTGGCAAGCGGATTGGCAATCGCAGGTAGGCTTTAGAGATGTTTTAAGAGGCATGCTGTTTCCCATTTCTGGACCATTAAGTTCCCTTAGTCATTTCTTACGACGCCTATAGGAAAGAAAGAAGTGGCCTACTTTATGCCGGGACTAATTTTAAGTCCAGATTGGTACTTATATATTATATATCTAACAAATCGATACCCTAAATATTAAATTGTTCATAAGTACGCAACTAATTAATAAATCATTTGAATGCCAGCTAAGTTTAGTAACTCAATGACGGTTGAGTATGCAGGCGGAGATTGCTAATTTGTGCTCCTCAACTCAAGACACGAAATATGATAAATTAATACAAGTAAATACGCACTTGTATAACTTAGTTAAGCAAAGACAAGTTTTAACTTTAGTTATGTGTGTAACTTGCAATTTATTAACAATGGTATTGTAATAATGTACAAGTGGAACAAATTAAATTACAGAGAATAGAGGAATAACACCATAATGCAGATACCGACGCGTGGTGTCACAGTATATTCTGTGACGTCCATTGCACTGTTTACATCTTTAGGCAACGGTTATCACTTTCCGTTACATTAACTGTCAGGTTATTTGCTACTCTAATAATAATAAAGTCATCTTCAAATTTTAACAAATAAAAGAATGCGTTTAGCACCACTTTAATCACAATCTCTTTGAATTAAAATGTAAAATGCAATCGTTCACAATTTACGCAGATATCGCCTAACAATACTTAAAAAATAATAACATACAAGAAAATAGTCAAATTGAGAAACATTTTCTTTTTTCAAGTTGGTTAAACAGAAGACTTCAAGAAGACGCCGATTTACTGACTGACCCATATATCAATGCACAGCCGAAACTGCTGAAGAATTTTGCAGAAATAAAAATCCTATTCTTTATATCCATATAACGTACGTGAACAATAAGAACAAAAAAATTCAATCCCTAAAGGAATAAAAAATTTAATTTCTAAAATCCATGCATACGAAGTCACGCAAAAACTAGTTATCTATATACCAACTTTGCCACATAACTAAAACATATTTAACATACATGATATTTTTTTTTTTAATTTACGCAAGCAAAACCACAAGTCACGGCTAGTGTCCTACAAAAAAGATTACGCGACATCTTATCAACAAAAAAAAAACCTAATACTACGCCTATTTCTGCAAAGCGATAGAGCGTGAAACAGCCGAGCCTCGGGACATTCCTGCGTAGGAAAAAAGTGGATGGAAGCGAGGCATCGCACCGTAGATATTCTAATAAGAAAATTTCCACTACATTTACTTTGGCGGGCGTACTCGCGGCGTCTTGGCAAATATCTTATTTCCTGAGGCGAGATTGCATCTTGAGAAAACGCGGGGGTCGATTCGGCGCCACTATTCGCTTCCCTACCCCCTGTATATATATATATATATAAATATATCTAAACAACTACATACCTACACATTATATAGAACCTCGGCCGGGGCTGTAGGCGCGTACATCTTACAAATCTTCGTAGAACGATTAGTGGGTTTTAAACTTAATTACTCGACTTATGAATAAGTTATGACGTTTATATTTATAATTTCTCTATCTACATTTTGATCTAAAGTTATTACTAATTTTGAACTTGTACTCAAAATCATGTTTATTGTACTTAACAATCAAATAATGTATATATATATATATAATAGATTTTTTATAGGTTATAGATAGATAATTTATTTACATTATTTACAGCACACAAATAACAATACAAACATACACATGATACAGACATATAAAGTAAAAAGAGTGCATTTATAATAGAATGGTAACCCCACTTGTGCTATCGATATACGCTGGTGGGAATAGATACTAGTAAGGGATGATGAGTAAGGACGCAATCAGCTCCACAGACCCGACGCGATGATTTCACCAGGAATTAACCGCAATAATTTTCACGGGGGACTGCGTTAAATTAAAGTTTTTGTTAAACGCTTAGTTAAAGTTTTTGTCCCTTACAAAATTGATTAAATTAATAAAGGACCAATACATATTTAAAAACAATCATCAACCTAGGGACTCGACTAATCATTATTAAATTTGGCATACATTGGAATGGGAAAGAACACGGACTACATTTTATCCTGATGAATAAACAGTACGCAAGGGTCACGCAGTGGTATCCGTCGTGAATAACGACTAGTGTTATATTTTTCACTTCGAAATCAAGCTTTTTTTTTATATTACAAAAGTGGCAAACATGCTTACAGCCCGTCTGATGGTTGGGGGAATGGAGGTTAGTTCCCAGTGCTATCAATCATCAGGTCGACCTCCACGCGGTTCCCCCTGGAAACCATCGTGACTAACTTATCCTTTAATTCGTCACGACGGACTAACTAACCTGCTTTTTTATCTTCACCATTCATCCCTCACTGGTGCCCCGCCAGTGTATGCCGATAGCATGGGCGGGATTACCATACAATAATCATCCATAAAAAAGCCCGTCTGATGGTAAACAGTTACTGTAGCCTATGGACATCTGCAATACTAGGGGTGTCACGCGTTAAATTAATTTAGACTCATTATTATTTACTTTGCAGGAATGAGCGCGGAAGATGAATGGTACAACAAGTCACTGTCAGCTCTCCGGATGAACAGCGGGCACCACGCGAACCTGGCCGCGGCGCCGATGCTGCAGTACCAGACCTAATCGCTGCTGCACGGCGCCGACTACTCGCCGGCGCCGGCGCACGACTACGCCCCGCCATAGTCGCCGCCGCCTGAGCACAGGCTAAATACGCGACCAGTAGTTCAACTGCCTACAACATGAAACAATTTGTTTACGATTAAGAACCGTCAAAGGCGAGAGGTAAATTTCGGTGCACATTTTTGTCCATCAAAATGGAACAGTGCCTAGTGTGAGTTGTCAAAGATTTACATTACTATTTATTATTTAAATTTAATATTTAAATTTGTAAGTTTTGAAATTCCGTGAATCTCCGAAACCATCCGCTAGAGGCGCTGTTAAGTTTTCAATACAAATTATCGAGGTTAACATCGACTCGATAATGGTTATATTAATCCTATTACTACATATTATAAATAAGAAAGTTTGTAAGGAATAATGAATGGATGAGCAACCATCTCGTTACTATTTCATCAGTTACTATTTCATTCAAAAACTATTGAGCGAATTGGAATGAAATTTGATATACGGATATATTATATTCTAACTTAGCAAATAGGATACTTAAATCTTCATTCACGGGAGCGAAGCTGCGGAATACAGCTAGTCTTGTATAACTCATACTAGGTACACAATCTATAAGTATCGTTAAAGATAGTTCACAGCTTACAGAAATAAAAAAATATACGCGAAAAAAAAATCGACCTCGTTTTTTTCGTTGGAAGACTTTTATATTAAACTTCATCAGTTTTATAAAAAAGAAGATAACACTGTCACTAGCGTACGTGTTTATTTTTATATAATAATTTAATAACCTTACTCTTTTGAATACTGGGACTCTTCCATTAAAAAAATATAATATTTTGTACACAGTTGAACTACTGATCACTTTTATACTTGAAAAATAATCACGTTACCCGTGTATAGTTTTCTGTATTTGTCTAATTACTTTCGAATACTAAATAAAAGCGTGTCTTATTGAAAATGATCGTACGATAACTGTTGAGGCTTTACCAAGTTGATTTTGTAATCGTCATCGATCAAAACTACCATTTTAAAATAGTTCTACAGTTGATGAAAATAAAGTATCTAATTGTAAAACTGTGATGTGGAGTGTAGTAATTATGAACTAAATGTACCAATATATGCATATTTTTGTTTGTACTTACAGTACTATATACAGAGTTCAGTCAAAATCAAGCATCCTTCTAAATGTTCAGACAAATCTGACAATGAAACTTAATTTTTTCCCATAGAAACGTCGATCGAAAATACATAAAAAATTCATACCTTTCATATTAATTTGATAATAGACTAATCCATATTTCTTTCTAAAAAAATCCAGTTTCCTTGATAAAATACTCTCTTATAATAATTTCGATTTCAACCTAATATAGGTTATACGACTTAATAAATCTTTCAGAGAAAATAATTCTGTTAAAAGCAATTTAAAATTCAATTGTGCAAAAAAAATTCTAAAGGAATTACCTTTAACGGCAAATCCCTTATAAAATAAATTGGTCTTTACGTACAATATATAGCAAATTTATTAATAAATATATATTAACAAATCCAAATTAATAAAACACGCTCATAAAATTATATGATTTCGATTATATCAGTTATACACAACACAAATCAATTTTGTATAATTATACAAATCTATGAAACGAACTTAATGCCAACTTAACAATAGCACAAATAGTGCCAACATAATTAACTATAAAAAAAAACTGCACAAAGCAATGAGAAAAACAAAATGTATATAATCTGTGTTCTTATAATTTTAAGTTTTAGATATAAATGTAATGAAAAAAATACAATTAATTGATATGTTGCACAAAACTTGTCCGTTTAAAACATATCTCATGTCATGAAGGCGACCGCTGTCATTGTACAATGACATTCCATTGAGGTTGCTATGCCAAACAGGAGGACTTAGATATATACTTAAACTGTTAATAAAACAAATGGGCATTATAATTTACAATAATTGTACATATTCATAACTTTGTTAACCCGATCGATTCGTACGACCTAAACATTTGTCGAATTAAGAGCGCGCTTGTTACAGACAATTTAATAAGCCACTTCTGACGTATATCAAAATAGAAGAACTCATGGCATAGACCAAGTTAAACTTTAAAAAAAATTATGAATGATTGAATTATTTTTAATACATTTATATATAATTAATTTGTGTATTGACTCACTTATGAATAAATTAATTGAAGATTAATTTCTTACGATTAATTATTGAGTTAACTAAATATTAAATATTTTAATTGTTAGTTAATTAGTTAAAATTAACGATTGCATCAACCATTCTCTGACTGAATGGTGACAGCTTACAAACAAAATGCTTTACTACGGTAGAGACATTCTTCTATAATGAAAGTGATTTAAAAACCCTTGTCATCAGAGGGCGCCACTCGCGCACTGTGTAATAATTAATTGTTATTTTTTTAAAGACGTGCAATATGCAATATTAAAGATTATATGCGCCTGCCGAAATTAACTTATAAATGTCAAAAATGGCCTATTAGCTTATCTGTGCCGTAGCGTTTATAGGTATATAGGTACAAATAGTATTATAATTTATTATGGAACATTTGTTTCACGATACACGTATACTGTGTATGCTAGTCATATTGTACAGGCATTTTAAATTGACTAAGTGATAAGTAATGTATTTTCTTGATTGTTGTATTGATTGATATAAATAAAATCACAATTTTGATAGCTGCAAACATACAATTACTTACAACAAAAAAAAAAACATTTTATACAAAAAAGGACTGTTCCCACTAGTCCCATAATAGGACTGCTGAATCTGAAATCTTTTAAATTAATTTGATTTAATGTAATTTGGAACGTTACGATTAGAAAAATAAGCTCTTAATTATTGTTAACATATAAAGTACCAAGAGAACATAACTATGCAATAGTAATGTAGTTATTGAGTTTATTAAGTTATTGAATTACGAAAGAGATTTATCGAGCAAGAATGAATAGAGATGTCGATAGGGGCCGCCCTAGACGGACGTATGTTGACCAAATAGGCGACGTGCTGAAGAAGGGCCAAATTAAAAGTATCCGTAACCGGCGAGCGTGTATGAAAAGATTGACGAATGTGGAAGAAGCGAAAGAGGTTTGTTTGAATCGAAGCATTTGGCGTTCCATTGTTTCTGCCTAACCTAATGGAAGACAGGCGTGACAGATATGTATGTATGTATGTAATATTGAGTTTTCGTGAAAATACTTAATGAAATCACATAATAATATTATCTCCAGAATTGTTCTGCTCTCCGTGTAAGGGATATCAACTGGGTATTGACCTAAATAAATAAATAATATGTATGAATACACCAAAAGAGCACCTACAAGTACATACAAAATACATCGATAATTAAAATTAAAACTATTCCAAATAAACTCAAGAATGAAATATAAAAAAAGTCATGTTTATCTTATATATGAATTATAGAGTAAAAAAATACAAGCCCATACAAACCTCACATTTTAGTATTTAAATCGATTTAATTTCAAAACTTTCATACTTTGACACATTATGTTCTTTGATAATAACTATTCGAATTTATAAATACTATTTAATATTTAGAACTATTATTTTCAGACAGAAATAATATTTTCTAATTTATAACTACTTGAAAACATTTTGCAGCTATCAAAATCGATTGACAATTATTTTTCGCAAAACATGCCTATGTAAATATAATACGTTTTGCATGATATAATTTAAGGTGTTAACAGCTCAACGATATAGGAATGTCAACAATTAGTAAAATTAATATTAAGAGGCCATTACCATAAGGATCTTTATTGCCAAAAACGCTAGTCACTGCAAACGAAACTTTCTCGATTTGCTATGATAAAAAAAAAACACTTCATATTATCGTAGTCTAATATTGTATACAAGAGCTAAAACCTGATTTGGATCTTTCACGACACAAAACCATATCAATTAAGACTGTTTTGGCAAATATAACCATTGAATGGCCATCCTGTGCATTTCGTGTAAATATAATTTAAGGAACCTTGTCTAAATAATGAACATGTGTAAAATTAAATAAATTGTCTAAAACGTAGCTGTTTTTATTTTATTGGCATATATTACTAAAAAATACGGAAATTCATATTGTTATGTTTATCGACTTTACTCACGTACTAACTTCGAGGTTGAGGGGGAAAAGAATTGTTAGCAATGGAGTTTGACAGCCCCATTGCTAGCAATATGCCTTATCAGGTCGACCTCCACGTGGTTCCTGGAAACCATCGTGAACAATTCTCGTTGAATTCGTCACGGTGGGCTAACTGACCTACTTCATCTTCACCTATCATCCTTCACTGGTGCCCAAACGGTGTATACCGATAGCGCGGGTGGGGCTACCATTCCATTATCATCCATTAAAAAAAAAACTTCGAGGTTGAAGGTAAATAATGTAACGGTAACCCCGCATCCACTATCGGCACTAATACGCTGGCGGGGCACCAGTGAGAGATGATGAAATGAGCTAAAAATGAAACCAAGTCATTTAGCCCATCATGACAAAATGTATTAAGAAATCACAAAGGCTTCTAAGGGGAACCACGTGGCAGTCAACCTAACAAAGCATATTTCTAGCAATGAAGCCACTGGTCCTCGCTACTAACGATCCCTAGTTTAAGTGTACCATGAACTGCACTCATGAATAAGGACTTCTATCGAGTCCGAAACAAGTCGGGCAATACCGAAGTTAGTACTTTAGTAAAACTGATATAAATAATTTCAATGCAGTATTGCTCACTTATATTTATTATTCCACCAAAACCACCTCTACTCACCACTCGTACCTTTATCAAAATGATTAAAAAAAAATAAAACAATAATTAAATGTCCTTTTACATATTTAATAAAACAATAAATAATAAAACCTCTGTCACAAATCATGTAATAAATCAACTCATAGGTTGATTTCTTTTTGGGTTTTGTTTTATAAAGTACATTGATGTTCAGATGAACTCGGGTTTAGATATAGCGTAGTGTGGATTGGTGACGGTGTTCCTCGCTAGGTAGCGCGTGATATGAGCCATCACAATGCGATCGCCACCTACAGCATTCCAGAAGGCCCGTGCTTCGCCTCGGATTGCTGTACCTTGACCACACTCCTGTATTTACAATATAATTTAAGGTTGTGTTCAACAAAAAAAACTGACTTCAATCGTTACAAAAGCAGCTATTTTAATTTAAAAACTAAACATCTATTAAAAAATTTTCAATTTTTATAAAAATGGATCCTAGTAACCTTAATGAAGCATTATTTATTTATTATCTGTGGAACCAATCTAAAAGTATATCCTTTCAAATATAGAATTTTCAAAGTCGGTTTACAAATGACGAAATTATGTTAATAAACATAGAACAAATATCTATAATCAAAATGAAAACGCCCTTATGTTTTACAATCAGTTAATTATATTTTTTAAACAATGTTCAAAAGAAAATGGTTCTTGGCTTGTTATTTATAGCTTTATTACGCGATTACCTTGAAAATTCTTAACCTATTTGGTTAATTATTTTTAAAATTTGTAAATTTTATAAATATGTGATTACTCCTCTGTTAATCCCTATAGCTTTTGTGATAACTGAAATTACCGGTTTTTTGCAGAGCAAAATTAACTTGTCACACGATTTCACGTTCTTAATTCAAATATTTTTAAAATTTTAGATTTGGAAAAATATAGAAACCTTTACGTTAAATCTAAAATTTCATTTTTCATCTTTGCATCATTCGTTATTTTTTCTATATTTATTTTAATAAGGATAATTTGACTTATGCATTGAAATTATGCTTATATCATTGAAAAAATAGTACAGTGTAATATATATGCAAATATAATAACCCTCCGTACTTCCACAGGACTCAATATTGAAATCTGAAATTATAAATTTGATTTCATTTTGTAATTATATTTTACTTATATATTAAATAATTTCAAATGCAACTTTAATATTATTTTTAAATGACTTCTAAAAGATATAGGATTTCATTTTCATGTATTTTTTTTTTTTTATTTTAATAAGGATATCGCAGCTTACTATTTGTGTGCTGGACGTTTTTCTAGCTACGAATCTGTCAATAACAGAACGAAATGTACCAAGATTTTTCGCCTCCTGTGGGAAAAGGTAAAAGGTTGCAAATATTTTATTGAGCTAGGTGTTATCTTGCAGATGTTCATATAACTGTTTTTTATATCACTAAGGTGACAAACAAGTAAACAGCCCACCTAATGGTAAGCGGTTACCGTAGTCCATGAACGCTTGCAATAATACCAGGAGCATTACGCGCGGGTTACTGACTCTTAAGGAAACCTCTTTATCACTTTTTTGAAGAACCCCATACTGTACTCTTGACAAAAACTTGAGAGGGAGTAGATTCTACAACCTGAGTGTTCGTGAAAAGAAAAATCTCTGAAACCATATAGGCTCTAGGATATGACTTCCTGTCTATGTCGAGCTGTACGATGGAAAAAGTCACCGAGGGCGTCATATTGATACAATATACCAATATGAAGAATTTAATACCAAAATAATTTTGCCAAACGATTGTGAATAGGGCAATACGTTGATATATATAGAACAGATAAAAGTCAATATAGTAAATGTAAAACTAACCTTAGGTCCAAACCCACAGCTGGGGATATTAGAACAAACAGACGAATGCCGTGATGTCACTATAGACTTAGATGTTTCATCTACTAAAGTGAACCTTGACTTTACCAAGTCGTAGACCTGTCGAAAATTACAGGTGTCACATCATCATCATATCGATGGCTAACTTTTCACTGCTGAATATAACCCTCATAAAAGGAGTTTTGCTAGTAGTTGCCACGCTTAGCATGCGGGTTGACAACTGCAATCACCCATTGGTGATGTTTTAAGAGGGATGGTCCTGACCATCCCTCGACCTTTTTTTTTATACAACTTAGAATGGCAAACAAGCTGACGGCCCACCTGATGGAAAGTGGAAACCGTCGCCTATACACATGAGCAGTACCATGGACATAACAGAGTATACTGTTTCGCCAATGATACCCCCCCCCCCATGCGTTGCCATTCCTGAAGACTCAGGTGTTATTCCTCTGTACCCAGTAAATTCACGCCATATCCCACCCTTCAAACCGAAACACAGCCATACAAACACAACTGATTCACGGTTGAAACCACCTTTATTAAATTTTCTTAGATATTAAAGACAGAAAATAAATATTAAAAATACATACCGTCCCCACATCTTGTTCATTAATATCTCTCAATAGTTCGTCAAATGTCTCCTGGTAAAGAGCTCCCATCCATGGTTGTGTGAAGAAACTGTATAAATCATCTATTCCACCCATCTACAAAAATATGAAATTCCAATTTGAAAACTGTCATTGTAATAAAATTATGTTGACATATTGACAATATTCTTATAATGTTAAACATAACATGCCCGTACACTGGTTGACTAGATGATACATACTATCACATGCCATTTCTATCATTGATGTCACTGATTACATAACTGTAGACATGGGTACCGATCCGATATTGATATATTGGGTTTCTCTGGACATTTATGGCGGAAAAAGATCATCACTCTTTCCGATATCGCCCATATCGGTCGGATATCTATTTTCGAATATGTTTAAAGTCTGTTATCCAATATTATATTTTTGGATAACAGACTTTTAACATATTTCATATTGAATGAATATATAGATATTATAACTAAAATATACATATATTGCTATATATTACAGATATAAATAAATGGAAAAAAGTAAGTAATTGAAACATTAATCTAAATAACTTTTAAATAGAAACACCCAAGATTTAACTTAGATATAACACCCAAGATATAACTTTAAAAAATAAAAGAAAACATAAATTACTTCAAATCTAGCTAGAAGCTTGTTGAAGAAAGACTCGTGTTTTCCGTATAGTTGCGAGAGAACTTCGGTGGAAAAGTTTTTTTTCGAGAGACAAGTGACAGATTCCACGCAATGCAAATCGTTGAGTTGCAGCCGAAAATAGTTTCCCGGACTTATCAGTGATGAGGGTGTGGCCCTGGACATGAGGAAATAAAGGTCTGTAAAACTACTGAATTAATATTCTGTTAAGTTTGATCAAAGTCATGTCAATAGTTTTATGCAATATTAAGAAACTGAAGGAAATAAGAAACCCAATGTCCACATCTAGGCTTGACGAAAAACTTATTAGGTTAGGTTAGGCGAGATTTCCAACAAATTAAAAGTGATATCATGAAGTGGTTCTGTTTTTATCTGATCTAAAAACTATGATTTAAGAAGATGATGAATATGTTTAAAATAATTAGCAACACATATGTTACGCGATGCTGCATATATCCTCACACGATATGATAATTACATTAAACGATTACAGGCTTGTTTACCACGTTAGCTGTTAAAAATCTTCTCTACCTGGTGTGGCATGGACAATTGAACTTCCATCGGTAACTCAGGTCCTGGCTTCCTAAGCTTCATATAATACATAGATCCGACCAACGTTGCACATTGCAATATGGGTGACTCGAACTTCATAACTGGTTGCCATCTAGTTAAATTAATTCTATCAATATATTTATTTATTTTAACAAATATGCTTACTGACTAGTGTATTCCCAATAAGTAAAGATGTAATGGTAACCCCGTCTGCGCTGCATGCTGAATGATGATAGGCGAGAATGGAGTCAGGTCAGTTGCCCCATCGTGACTAATTAAGCGGGAATTAAATACGATGGTTTCCAGAAGGACTGCTTGGAGATCCCCCTGATATTGCTAGCAATGGGATATTTACATACTATTACTACAATTTCTTTTCCTCCGATAGTAGAAACTGTCGCCTATAGACATGAACAATACAATCACAGAATACGCAGTATCATAGAAACTCCTATACGTTACCAGTCCTAAATACTAAAGTGTTGTTCTTCCATACTCTATAATTTCACTTAATATATCTCACTCAATAGACCAAAACACGTCCATACACATCAAAACACATCCAAGTAAAGACAGAAATCACACAAATTTTTATCTCTATAAATGTTCACATAAAAACCCTTACAAATTTGGGCATAGAGAAAAAAAAAATATCAACATGCAATTATCTTACCTTCTTTGTAAACCAAGTGCAATCTTTGTAGCGCTCGGTACATTAGTGTCATCAACGCTTACTTGAGATCCTTTGTACCTGTTAAATAATTCAACACAATTCGATTATCTTTTTTCTAGAAGAATAGGATAAAAAAATTACGAATGTAGTTATTACGCAAGCAAACTTGAACTGTATCTAGGCAGGAGTTCTGAAGCAGTAAGGTCAGCTTCTGGGTTGCCGATAACGAATGGGTCTAGCTTCTGCAAAAAGAACCTGGCTAGCTATAAAATAAAGCATAATATTAGTGTAACAACAAATTAATATCTAAACATACACTAGTCAAAACGACGTGGATACTCGGCTGAGCAACTCTACATACTTTTTATAAGAAACATACATTTTGTAATAAAGTTAAATATGATAACACCCTTAGTACTTAGTAAAATCGATAGATATTCACATTCATTCATGATTCATGGAATCAGGGCGAATTCCATGTATCATGAATGAACATAAATTTTACGTTCAATTGTTTAAAAAACAGTTGCCACTTTCAAAACGTGGTCCGTGTGTTTGTTCGCGTTTCATTATCATCACCATATCAACCGTTAACTTGTCTACTGCTGAACATAAGCCTCCTCCTTGGGGAGTTTTGCCAGTAGTTTGGCATTGGCGATGTTTTAATAAGAAGGACGCTGCTGCCCATCCCTCGGCTATTAAACTCCCTGAGTCTCCTGTTACGACACCCACGGGAAAGGAAGAGGTGGCTACAGAGCATGATCATTATATCAGCCGTTAACTATCCTTGACATAAGTTAAGACCACAGAACTAAAATGTTCGGCTTTACCAGCAGTATAAGAAAAAGTAAAATATAAATAGAGGTATTAAAGATGAGAAATGAGAGTTAAAGAATAGATAAGAACTAAAAACGAAAAGTGAGAATTGAAATATAAAAGATGAGAGACGAGAATAATAATGTGGCGAGTCAGGTTGACAACGAGAGGCGCGAGAGACTTGCAAGATTGAGAGGGCGCAACGTACAGTTTCACCGATATCCGACGAGTGGTGGCGGTGTGCAGGTGAAAAGAACAGGAGAAAAATGAGAACAAGAAGGCACTAAGCAACCGCCTCACTGACGTCCTAGGAGCGGTACTGCGAATGGTGGCAGCGTGTAAGTGAGAGCAGGCGAAGAGAGAAAGGCGATACGCACGACCTCGCCGACGTCCTTAAAACAGTAGTAGTAGCAAATGATAGTGGCATGCAGGTGAAAGGGTGAGGAAGAAGTGAAAGTGAGTGGGCGCTACGCACAGCCTCGCCGACGTCCTCGGAGCAGTAGTACGAGTGCTCGCGACGAGCAGCGTGCAGACGGCGCGAGTACCGCGTACAAGAGCCGGCGCCGTAAACGTGCGGGTCGTTGGTCTCGAACAACGGACCCACCACCAGCCCACCGTCGTACACCAGACCACACTCGGTTATAGCTGAATACAAAACGGACACTAGAGATATTGCTTTATTAAATATGAACAACACCTGATGGGTTTAATAGTCTCTAATGAGTAGTTGCTATTTATTTTTCAAAATATTATTTTTATAAAATAAATATGTCTTCAACTAGACCTCTTTAAATAACCTCCTTATTATGAAAGAAGAACGAAAAAAACCAAAATCCAATGTTTTTACTCTCCGAGGACCTCTAAGGGTATCTCTATACCATTTCAATAACTACTATTTAAATCGTCACCGTTCCAATATCATACGAAAGCCCAAATTAAAATTGAAACCTTAAAGGCATTCGTAATGAATTATATATATTATATGAGTATATATATTAAAAAAAAAACCTTTAAAAGCATTCACGTCAATAGCTTTGAGACCGTAGTAGAAGAGCGCGAAGCAAGGTAGCCGTATAGCGTGGAGTGGAGCCATGAGGTTCAACCTGATAACCCGTGAATTTCGTTGCCGCCAACTGAATAGTGTGCACCGGCGGTATACATGGATACCAAGCTGCTCCAAGTTAGCTTGCACTCTCTCATCCACCTACAATAGAAATATATTGCCAATAACTACAAATGGTATTTTCATTTCATACTACTTATTTCTTTTCATGCTATAAAATAGCAGATATTTAGAGATCCACACCCCTTGTGTGATGATAGTGTTAAAACTTTCTAAGCCACCTTTGTTTTATACGATCTCTAACATGGCTTCTCAGAAAACGATTTTAAGTGGTGTCCGAAACACAAAGCAAGTTTGTCACTTCCTTGCATTTTTTTAAATGATCGAAACATGAATTTGAATAATTGAGTGGTTTTTATAATAGTCTAATAGATCTGACAATTATATCCGGATTCTCTGTCATTGCCATATTTTTTTTACACAACTTCAACTACTTCCATAAATTAATGTACTATGTGAGAATTCACAGTAAAAAAGCAGATTTACAGTTTAACCACAATACATTTATAGGTAACTTTAGTACTTTTAAATTGGCCGGTGACGACTCAATGCCCGCAAAGAATGTGGCTTCAATAATACTTAAAAGACTCGTCTCTATGCGTTAAACCCTTGACCAAAAGTATATCAGTCTAAGCTAAATGAACTACCAAATAACTCTAACCATAATTTCAAGTGCTTATATGGACAGACAAATTAACATTTGAATGATAAAAATACATACAGTTTCATTATTGAAACAGTTAACCCGCAAAGCATTGATATCATCAGGAGGGAAGGGTTCAACGAATGCGATCGTGCTGGGAGCTAGGCCCAACTCCAGCAATGCCGCCATACAACTGTACACTTCCAAACACACCCCGTACACCACCACTGGATTCTCTTCGCTTAAACAGTGCTTTGTATTCTCTGAAAAAAAAAAAAGAGATACTGAATCTAGCTATTATCAAGACCACAGACCTAGTTCCACCAGAATGCAGGTGTGCACGACGCACCTTTTTAGTTTCTTTTTTAATTTTATTTTTTTAAAAAGATGTTTTGTTTGTAATTTGAAGTCTGTCTTAGTTTAGGTTTCGTTTTGTTCGCTTTTTGCTTCATTGGTTTGCTTTGTATATTTTTATATAATTATGTTATCTTTCTAAAACACCGTTTTTCCATACCAGCATACAGTTCTTTCGCCCACAGCAGGAAACACTTTTTTGCAGAAAATTAGTATGTAATTATGTATTAGCCTAGCCTTTACTGTCTATGAATGCCTATAATGCCAGAAATGCGTTGACAACCCTTGTAATATGAAGACATTGGGTCACAATAGACTCAGTAACTTCACAGCCATATGTTCCAGATCAGAATACTGACTACCCTTTGGTTTTTTTCCCAATGAACTCTTCTACTCAAAAGTCGTCCGGAAGACATTGATTAACGATAAGGCTGTTTTTTGTATCACTTCCCATTAATATTTACTGTATTTATTATTTTTGTATTTGATATAGCAAAAAAAAAAAAATACAGCATACAAAGTGACCGGCGGCAGAGTTATTACGTGAAACAAATTCATCTAGAACGAAACTGGATGGTAAGAAATGAAGTCCACCATCAGTTTTATCAAAATCAATAGATGCCCACTGATTCTACGAAGGCTCCCTATTCATCAACTAGATGGAATATTCCTTGAAGCTCAAACTAGTACACTGGGGCCCATTGGGATATTTATTATATTGATTTCGAATTTATTGTGAAACTAGCGATCTGACCCGGCTTTGCACGAGTAGACAGAATTTTCGAAAATCAATACATATAATAAAAAAATGGTTCGGCCAATTCAACTGATCAGTTATTTTATAGCATTTTATATGTGATTTACTTATAAACCGATTGAAATAAAACAAACGCTTAATGTTAAGTGAAGCAAACCGGAACGCATTAGTGAAAACCGTATTCAAATCGATGAAGCCGTTTCTGAGATTAACGTGCACAGACATACAGACAAGTAGACAGAAATTCTAAAAATCATTGTTGTGGGTTCTATTGTGTTCATATAACATTCCTCCTCCCTTCATAATAGTTTTCCTTATATATCTTCTATATACAAACAGCGACCAATTACGATTTTAATATATGTATTGATTGACATAGGTATATTATAGTTTTTTTAGTGGATGAAAATGGAATGGTAACCCCGCTAGCGCTAATGGGATACGCTGGCGGAGCACCAGTGAAGGGTGATCGATGAGAATGAAAACAGGCCAGTTAGCCCATCATGATGAATTCATCAGGAATTAACCATGATAATTTCCAGGGGGAACCACAAAGAGGTTGACCTGATTGGGTATATTGCTAGCAATGGAATTTTTAGTCTCCATTACTAACGATCCCTTTCCCCCCGGTATATTACAGTTAGGATAATCCATACACAAATCGCTATAGCATTGACTAATAACTAAAACGAAGTTCCTTCCCCAAAACTGTGGTGTTATTTTGGTTCAATACCAGACAAGTACTTACTGGATTCTGATATCAAACACATCAGCTTTCGCATTGAGAGATTGGCTTCGAATAGGGAATTGATAAGCATCACATTTTCTGGCATCTCCGGAGGCTGGGGCAGTTTAACAGGCTGATATTTTGGGTTGTCCATTGGAATTCGGCCACAAAGATTGCCTTTCCTGAATAACAAAATTAATTTGAGTGCTGAAAAAATGTAGGTACCTATTTAAGTTCGTATTTCCTTGGTAAATATTTAAAAATAACTACACACCTTATAAATTTAAAATACACACCAGAGGGAGACTTTGTACAAAAGTCGTTTGCTTGGGTACCTCTGTCCCATTCGTGTTTCAACCATGAAGCAGTTGTGTTTACATGGCTGTGTTTCTGTTTGAAAGGTGAGATATGGCTTGAATTTACAAGGTACAGAAGAATATATAACACCTGAGTCCTCAAGAATGGCAACGTATGGGGGATATCATGAGCGAAACAGTATACCCTGTTATGCCTATGGTACTGATCATGTCTATAGGCGACGACTACCACTTTCCATCAGGTGGACCGTCAGCTTGTGTGCCATTCTAAGTTGCATAAAAAAAATTATTATGCTATTAAAAATACTTATGTATTAAAAAGGCATGTAAAATATGACGTTAGTTTCATGTAGGTACTGAACAACACTATGTAGTATGGTCCCGGCATTAGAATAGGCCCTTCCGTTCCCGTAAGTGTCGTAAGAGAAGACTAAGGGAGGACGAGGGATGGGCAACAGCGTTCCTCTCAAAACATCTCCAAAGCCTAACTGCAAGAGGGAAAGGGATTGTTAGCATTGGAGTTTGACAGCCCCATTGCCAGCAATATGCCCTATTAGGTCGACATCCACGTGGTTCCCCCTGGAAATCATTGTGAACAATTCTTGTCGAATTCGTCACGATGGGCTAACTGGCCTGCTTCTTCCTCACCTATCATCCTTCACTGGTGCCCCGCCGGTGTATACCGATAGCACGGGTGGGGTTACCACTCCATTATCACCCATTAAAAAAAAGCCTAACTGCGATTGCCAATCAGTTTGCTATGCGTTGCAACTGCTGGCAAAACCCCCAAGGGGTTATGTTCAGCAGTGGACAGTTAAAGACTGATATGATGATGATGATGACGACTGAACATCACTAACTCCACTTCTTTTACGAGTTCCAGAGACTCCTTCAAGTAGTCAGGATGCTGGAATTGTTGACCACAGGTGAGTACCAGTTCATCATAGTACTTGACGCCACCGCCTCTCAAGTGAATACACTTTTTTTGTCTATAAAATAAATTCATTATTGTTAATTATTTCCCTCACCTGCCTGCCATACCAGGAGAACAGCACAAATAAAGATAGTTGATTTACCAGAGGGAGACTTTGTACAAAAGTCGTTTGCTTGGGTACCTCTGTCCCATTCGTGTTTCTACCGTGAAGCAGTTGTGTTTGCATGGCTGTGTTTCGGTTTGAAGGGTGGGATAGAGCGTGAATTTACAGGGTACAGAGGAATAACATCCGAGTCCTCAGGAATGGCAACGCATGGAGGGTGTCAAAGGACGAAACAGTATACTTTATTATGTCCATGGTACTGCTCATGTCTGTAGGCGATGGTTACCACTTTCCATCAGGTGGGCCGTCAACTTGTTTGCCATTCTAAGTTGCATAAAAAAAAAGTGACATTTAAAAGGTAAGGTTATTAATTCGTTTTTTTTTATAATTATTACTTCAGAACTCAATCATATATAAATGAATTTAGGGATTCTTTTTATTTCAAAGGATATACTTTCTTTTTTGATTGAAAATTTCATCGAAATCGGTTCGGGTTACTAAGTCAAAATTACTGGCTCTTTCACGACTGAAATTAATGTAATTTTTTTTATGAACATAATTTACTGGCTCTTTCACGACTGAAACCAACCGTGAAGCAGTTGTGTTTGCATGACTGTGTTTCGGTTTGAAGGGTGGGATATAGCGTGAATTTACAGGGTACAGAGGAATAACATCCGAGTCCTCAGGAATGGCAACGCATGGGGGGTGTCAAAGGACGAAACAGTCTACTCTATTATTTCCATGGTACTGCTCATGTCTGTAGGCGACGGTTACCACTTTCCATCAGGTGGGCCGTCAGCTTGTTTGCCATTCTAAGTTGTATAAAAAAAAATTCGACTCTCTTTCCTAGGAAACATACATATAAGTACATACGTACTTTTTTTAAGGAGCCAGCGCCCTCTGGATAATAATTACAAGAATGCCAATACTAGCCTAAAAAGGTTCCACAAATATGTTATCAATTTATCCCTTGTATTTATTCATACCTGTCAATATGGACCATAACCGCTGACATGACGTCGACATAGAAGTAAAACGGGATACTTTTGAGATATTTGTCGGTGTAGCGTCCGTTCCTTGGCACGCAAGTGTCGGCTGCCTTCAAACACTCCCCCACAGTCGGTAGACCATGCTCTGACACTAATGTTATGTTGCTGAATGTCAAATATTGTGCTGTGGGGCTAGAAAACAAATTTATTTGAGAAGAGAAGAAGAGATATAGAAATGAGAATAGCAAGCTGATGGCCCACACCATGAAAAATTATAACAGTTGCCTATAGACATGAACAATACCACGAGCATCATAGAATACATTAACAATGCCTATGGTACCCCCCAAGCATAGCCATTCCTGCCGTGTAATTCCCGCATAGAATAGGCCACCCTTTCCTTCCCCGTAGGTGACGTAAGAGACGACTATAGTACATTACTGCAGCGGCCAGCAACTGAGGCAATGATGGACGAACGTGCAAATGTGGGCCGAGGCGTAGCCAAGGCATACATACGTGAGTCCATCAATGCCTAGTTATGGCCAAGGCTTGTATTTTATATAGTACTTTTTAACAATGCGCGGAAATCAAAAACACAATTTTACTTTTTAAGTTCAATGACGAACAATAATAATTTTTCACGCGCACTAATATTACTTTGTTTTTTTTTTCAATAAACAGCTTTCTATTTGCAAGCCAGTTCGAAATTGAATTTATTTAAATTTCGAACTAGCTTGTTTTTTTTGTAACCTTTTATTAGTTCCTCTTAGTAGCCATGTTTCTAAGTAAAAGGTCATTCCATTTTTAAATTACAGAACAGATATGAGTTTACGTAGTAATTTATCTGGCAGCAAAACACAACAGATATGGATTTTCATACAACTTTTGCCGGCCGCTGCCCGCATGTATCTGGCCAGTACGGCAATTTTGATTTATCTCGAAGAAGATTGTCAAAATAATGCTCACATTTCCAAGCATGTTTAAGAAAATCTAATTATCGACACCGGTGTCCCTCTTAAAACATCAACGAAGCTTAACTATGGTTGCCGAACCGCCTGCCAAGCGTGGCACCTATTAGCAAAAGCCCTCAAGGGCGAGTTCAATGTTCAGTAATCTGAAATTAACGGTTCTTACCCCATGATAAGGGTTTCTAAAAAAGCGAGTCCGGTGCGACTAGCACCGACAACAACAATACTGTTGTTTACATACACTTTGGGCAAAAAGACAACGGGCGCTCCAGTATCCATAATGCGAACGGTGTCGACCTGGTAAGTTTAAATTAATAGATTATTATCATTATGAGGCTATAAAACAAAGTCACAGTCAATGAATGTTTAGACAAATTTACTTTCACATTCATATTGTGTATATATTGTTCGCCATGTATGCCATAGAATGGGCCACCCCTTCCTTTCCTGTGGGAGTCGCAAGAGGCGATTAAAGGAACTAATTGATAGAGGAATGGGCAACAGCGTCCCTTTATAAACATCTGTAAAAACCTGTGGTTACCAACCCACCTACCACCACCTACCACCTTATGGCCTTATGTCCAGCGGTGGACAGTTAACAGCGGAAATAATAATAATAATTTATACTGTAGTGGTTGTAAAGTGAAAACACAAATACTATGTAAGTGCTTATATTTTTTAATACAGGATCATTGAATCGATAAAAAGGTACACGATTTCTCAACTTCCTTTACTACCAGAGTATCCCATACTTACACATCCTGGAATATTTTATCTAAGTCTTTATTGCTGCTTATGTTGGGCACAGAACGCCGCGGGTGTATTGGGACCATGTGCCCGGTTAAAGACATAAGATTACGACTCGGACACTGTTAGAAGAAATGGAAAGAAAATAAATAGGGCATCAATGAAAGACTATCTAATTAAAGATTGTGTTCCATAAATATATTCATAGAACCTAAAAGTTATCATATAATTCACCTATAGGTTTTTTCTAATACTATATACTTACCACTTCGCCCTTTCCAAATAGTCGACACTTCCAAAAGAGAGTAGTGTACTGTGTTTGACGGAGCAGATCCCGCATATACCACCGCCCGTGCGGCTCGAGGGCTGGAGATATCACCCCCGCTAACACCTTCACAAAAACATTTTAAAATCTTTGATCCTGGACACTATAAAATAATAAAAATACTAACTAAGCACTTTGATAACTACTAATTTACCATTATATCATGGCTATAATTTACAATTAAGACATATTTTACTATCATTATAACATGGCCATGTCAGAGATTAAGCACAACAAAGATGACCAAAATTCTCACCCTACTCCTGATGAATAGTAGACCCTGGTTTTTTTTTAATAGAATAGAATAGAATAGAAAATCATTTATTCAAATAAACTTACATTGAAGCACTTTTGAAAAGTCATTACATTTTTTTTAATTTACCGCTCGTTCGGAAAGCTGTCTCATCACAAGAAGAACGAGCAAGAAACTTGCGTGATGGTAGTTATGGACGTTATAGAAATAGCTTGCAAATATGTCTCAGATCTGATAGGTTCAGAAATTTCATTTTAAAATGAAATCTTAATTCCAATTATTCAGTAAAAGAGGTCTATCCTCCAAAAGGAACGACCTTGACCAAACTGCATCCTTCGATACGAAAATGAATGTACGTAAGATTACAGTCTGATTACAGATTTGCCTACTCAGCAAAGGATCACATGTAAAGAGATAGGTCATTATCATTCTCTTGACAGTATACTATATATCTACTGCTTGGTCCCATACTAGGACCCCTACTTGGTCATCCAAGAGGTGGCTTCCTGCAACCTCTTGGATGACCAAGTAGCGGCACGTAGTATATACAAAGATATATCTAAGAAAAGTTACAGTAGCATCAGTTTCAGGTCTACGAGGCTCCGGTTTTAAATCGTACTGCGTCCGGATCACCGTTCCATCTTCTAGTGGTCTATAAAAACAATATTGTCGATATAATTACGGGTAAGTTTTATAAAATTATATCGTTGACAGCGACACCACATTGAATACAAAGGTCTGTACGTTATGGGGCATCTCTGGTTGATGATGACCAATAACATGACATTCACCTATGTGCTGTTATGCAGTAATACTTTTGCATTACAGTCTATAGTTTTTTTTTTTTTTTTTTATTATACCAGCCATTAATCGTCCACTGATAAACATAAGCTTCCCCCATAAGTAGCCAGTAGTCATTTTGTCAGTAATTGTCACACTTAGTGAGCGGGTTAGCAACCGCAGATAGTCTTTGATAATGTTTTAAGAGGGACGCTACTGGCCGTCCCTGGGCCATTATGTTCCCTTAATCGCCTCTTACGACATCCACGAGAAAGATGGGGTGATTTATTCTATGTTTGGACCACACAGTGGTCTATAAAATGCAATCTATAAAAACCATAACACCATAGCCTTCAGGAGTAACACTAGACACGCCCATATTTTTCTGAGCATTCTTACTCGTATTACAATTACTACTTGGCAAACTCTTTTCGAAAAACTTTACCTTGAAAGTGGATAAATACGAAAAATAGAGGATCGTACATGGCGAAAGGCTTTGGGAAAGGCCTATGTCAAGTAGTATATAAATACAGGCTGAAATAGCGGCAAACTCCACCACTAACTCTCGAATTAATTTGTTAATTGTAATTTTACATCACTGAAATAGTAAATCTAGTCCTCATCACTAAATCACATCGTATATATATATATATATATATATATATATATATATATATAAATCACAGCGTAACGCTTAAAAAATACTAACCCCAGTATAACCATGCCAATTGGCTGATTCTGACTTAGAAGCACGAAGGAGCTAAGGGTGCGTGACGTGAGGGTACTTTCGAAAAGTTCGAGCAGCGGCTGGGCTCGTGGCGTGTGCTCCACTATACCACTAAGGCTATTGAGGTCACTTGCTTCGCCAGGGCGTACGCGGACGTCCCTGGAAAATACAACCACATACGTATAACCTATTTGTTGTTACGCCAAATCTCTTGGAAGTAGGCAGAGCAAACCGAGTACCAAAGGCCTCGATCGACACATACATCTCTTGCTTCATACACTTTCATATCATGTCTCATAAATGCTGGTCAGTTGTTGGCAATTTTGAGTACATACCACTATTATGTGTACTAGTATGGTATACATATATACTCTAATATAATAATGCAAATAATTTCCTATGGCTTAAGACCCCATCGTTGATTTCTGCAGGTATAAATGTTTAATGATTAAATAAAAGATGAGCCAAAATACAATACAATGCACCCGGGTTGTCAGTTCGCAATTACCCGCAGACTAGGGTGAAAATAGGTAACAATAGTAATTATCAAAAAGTTTAATAAACTCATCAAACTTTTTGGTAAAATTTACACTAAACGGAAGTTTATTCTTTTCTGTGCACGGTAGCACATGGTTGTCCAAAAATAAATAATAGGCGTGAGTAAGGGTAACGAACTTCTATAGTTTTGTAGATGATGGAGCTGTAGTTATAGGGAATTGGTTCTTTAACGGAAGTTTATTCTTTTTTCTGTACAAGGATAAAGGATATTCTATAAAACAAAATAGCCGCAAGTAAGACTTGCTTATAACTTAGATCGTCTATCGTTTAAACTTCTGCAATCAGCGTATTTTAGGCTACTGTATTATCTATGCATGAATAATGTTTTCATGAATTTATTTGTTTTTTTGGACTTATAATTATGTATGGAACTTACCCTCTTACTGAATTCACATGGGCAATGTATAGTGTCGCATTAACAAACCTCATACGCGCGCTGTATGGTGTAACTAACTGAAAAGTATTCATAAAACAAAATTAATAAGTATTGCTAAAGTCTATCATAAGTGTACTATAGTATTGTATAGTAAGTATTGTAAGTACTGTTATGTATGTCTGTTAAGTCTAAAAATTTATAATAATTAAGCTAAAAGCCGTGTAGCTCCCCACATAGAATAAGCCACCACTTCCTTTCCTATAGGTGCCGTAAAAGGCAACTAAGAGGGCTTAAAGTAAAGGAATGGGCAGCAGCGTCTCTATTGAAATATCACCAAAAGCCAAACTACGGTTGCCAACCCATATGCCAAACATGGCAACTACTGGCAAACCCCATCTTATCGGGGAGACTTATGTTCGGTAGTGGATAGTTAACAACTGGTATCACCCATTAAAAAAAACAATGTTTTTCAAAATGAGTTTTCTACTTCAATGTTAAGTTCAAATTTATTACAGTTACCGTAAAATGTTCGAGTAGGGGGAAGGACGGGTGATTGGAGGGGAGGCACATGACGCAGTAGTCACGGTTGGGGAACAACTCGAAAGCGGCCTCTAGTATGTCAAAACCTAATCTACGTAAAATAAAAGAAAAATTAACTAAATATTGAAATCAAAAATACTAATTTAAAACTATAAATTGAATATTAAAAATAATAAATTAAAGATAAAATACTATTTAAAGAGGTTATCTTTAGAGACTACAGTATGGGATTCATCAAAAAGAATGTATTAAGACTTCTTCAGAGTCAGCAACGCGCACGTGACACCCCTAGTGTTGCAGGAGTATATTGTAATCCATAGTCTCTGTATTTCGAATTCTTAACCAATAGATAAAAAATACAGGGTTGGGATTGCACTGTGACTATATTTTTTTTAAACAATTTCAATAGCCTACAAATCTAATGAGATTTATTTTATTTTATTTATTTGGCGTTTACAAATACAAACTTAAACTATAACATGCAAGTACATTAATGTATTGATCAGGTAAGCTTGCCACAACATGTGCACACAGCGTGATCCAATAATAAATGCGATTGCATAGCATACGCTTATAAAATTCCTACCTTTCGTCATAATCGGGGTGCATAGCAAAAACTTCTATTAGAAAGGCATTAGGCTTCCCCGAATAACGTACAGGCTCCGGGATGTTCGCGACCAATGAAGCAACTGAAATGATACAAGAAAATTAAAAAAATTTTGCTTCACAACTGATAATGCCGATAGATAATGTTGATTTCTTTTTACTTGGAAATAATTTATTCTACCTCTGTCAATGTGCTGAGCACTAGAGACCTAAACGATCGGCTAAAGATAGTAGCTAAGCTTTAAAAAAATTATTTCTTTTTATCTATATATGTATATGTGGCTACAATATAGGTATACCATATAGGTTATACCAGCGGGAGACTTGGTAAAAGTCGTCTGCTTGGGTACTTCTGTCCCAATCGTGTTTCTGCCGTGAAGCAGTTGTATTTGATTGGCCATGTTCCGTTCGAGGGCAATGAAATTACAAGGAACAAAAACATAACACTTTAATCCTCAGAAATCGCAACGCATGAAGAGTACCATGTAGGACACCGTATACTCTGTTATATCCATGGTACTATTCATGTCTGTAAGAGACTGTTACCATTTTCCATCTGGTGGACCTTCAGTAGAACAAAAACTGTATTTTTTGGATGGCAAACAAGCTGACGACCCAACTGATGGAAAGTGGTAACCGCCGCCTATAGACATAACCAGTATTAGCAGTTTGTATTTCTTCTGTTTTTTCACAATAAGCCTTATACAAATAACGAGCATGTAGTACAAGTATAGAACTCTTCACCGGTTAACTATTAGATAGAAACATTATTTAAGATTATTCTCCATGGAAACTCTCTTGGCTGTTTAAGAAATGCGCATGTGCACTCTTAGACAGTTCTTACTAAAAACTTCGCTCCTAATCTTGGGTTTACCTGAAAGAACCCACCTCCTCCTTAAGCGTATGTTATGTTCTACGCGAAACATGCGTGGACTGAATAGTGGTCGGAGATTGATTGCTAATATGGAAAGTTGTAGAAATTTTGGTATTAATATTACTCTTAAATCGGCCAATGTTGACAATCGCACGCATACTAATAATATCGGAGTTAAACAAAATAATCATAACCGACTACTTGTCAGTTAATTATAATTCTTTGATATGCTCATGTCAATGTGACGAAAAAGAAAAATAAGAACAAAATACGACCAAACAGGAGATAGACTAAAGATATAGACTATAGTTATCTCTTTTCCATTCCATTCCTTACTTAGTTACCTTGGTAAGGTAAGAAATATAAACGGGCTTGCATATTTACTTTGCTTTTTAGATTTTTCCCTCTTGCAGCTTTTCTCTTCCGCATGTAATTCTTTGTTGTGTTTCACGGATTCATCCAATTTTTTCATCTTACTATCTGCCAGTCTGTAGACAAATTGAAGTAGAAGAGTACTTTATTGCTATGTATATTAGTTGCTGCAAAATTGTATTAGATTTATTTATTATAATATTGATTGATTATTGATATAATTGAGCAAACTACTTCTCAACCGACTTCAAAAAGAAGGAAGTTCTCAACTTGGTTGTATATTTTTTCATATTTGTTACCTAATAATTGTTTGTTAACTAATAGGAGTTGAGGTCAGAAGGGAGAAAATGTTAGGACACTTGATACGACACGACGAACTGGTGATCATTATAATAGAAGGTAAGATAGAAGGAAGGAGGGGAAGAGGGGACCAAGACATAGCTACACCAGGCAGATCAAGGAAAAAGTTTATGTTGTGTCGTATCAAGAGGTGAAGAGATTCGCAGAAAATCATAGTGAGTGGCAAGAGCTCCATCGATACGAGCGCAGCTCTTAAGTAGGATAGATAGGTTACCTAATAAATCTGTTTGTTTCAAACCAATTTAGAAATATCTTTTTTATCTGAAACGATATACTTAGAGATTGGATCAAATCTTCATTAAGTATTTTCAAGACAAACAATACTATTTAAAGTACTTCATAAACCAACCCGCCCTCTGCATCCTTATACGTCAACATCTGAGGTACTCGCAACAAATGAATGTCAATATTGACAATATCAAAGTCCAGTTCATCCTCCTCGTCTTCTAGAAGATTGAATATATCGAGCTGAGCACTAGGTGCAGCTGGAGGGACCTTATTGGAGGAAGCAGCTGTGTGATCAGGTCGTATTTGGCTAAATTCATCCTCATCGCACATCCATGTCACCTAAAGTGGAAATAATGAATACATATTTAAATTTTTGAGAAGCATCGATCATCAACAACTTGATTCACAGCCATCATATCATCATCATCATATCAGCCGTTAATTGTCCACTGCTAAACATAGGCCTCTCCCTTGGGAGGTTTTACCAGTAGTTGCCACGCTTAGCTGGCGGATTGGCACAGTTAGGTTTTGGTGACGTTTTAACAGGGACGCTGCTACTCATCTCTCAACCACTAAACTTCCGCAGGCGCCTCTTACGACATCTACGAGAAAGGAAGGGGTGGTCCATTCTGCGCCGGAACCACACAGCCACACACCACATATACCTCTGTTTCAACCGTGAAACAAAAGTAGTTTTTTGATTTGCTTACATACCATTTTTCGCTTTATAGATTAAGATACGACAGAAAAATTAGAAGGTATTCTATGTAAACATTACATTTTAGTCCTTAGAAAGAACAACGTATGAGGAATACAATGAGTGCCACCGAGTATTTTATTATGTCCATAGTCTACTCGCTTATCTATTGTAAATTATTAAAAAACATGTTTGCAAACATAATTGCGATAGTAACTTTAAATAAGGAACGCGATTAAGTAAAAGAATACCTTTTCGCTTTTCTATTTTTTTTATAACACAAAAGGCAAAGGAGTATACAGCTCACCTGATTATAAGTAACTACCGCCGGACTTGACCATCCGCAACACCGAAGGAATTGCAGATATGGTACCGGCCTTTTAAAAAGGAATATGCACTTTTCTTGAAGGTTATAAAGCCGTACCTATTGGTTCGGAAATACTGGAAGTTGATTCCAAAACGTGGTTACGTATGGAAGAAAGTGCCTAGAGAAACGCACGGTGGAAAACACAGTGTTGTATCCATCCGAAAAATTCCTCAGAATTATTATTTTAATGAGGAACACTACTGATTATAAATTCTCTCATTATCACAGAATAAATTATCAAAACAAAATAATACCTATATGATAACAGTAGATCCATATTAATGGCCTTGAATCGTACATAGAACATATTCCTATATCGGAATTACTTACTCCAGCTGTCGTGTCCTTCATCCGACTGAATCGATCATTAGAACCCTGCGCTAAATCCTCCACATTGAAAGTCGTGCTGGCTGAAAAACTAAATTATAAAATTACTTATGGACCGACAGTCTAACAAAAAAAAGAGTTTGGATATTTCATCTTCATTATCAAATGTAAAAAAAATTGTTAGATCAGTATTTTTTTTTATTTTATAAACTTTTTATAGAATTTTTGGTGTTCTCGCCTATCAGTAAGCCTACTTATATTAGGTACAAGTTATTATGTGAAAATTTCTATGTTCAAGCAATAAAGTATTTACCTATTTACATAAACTTAGGTACAGTATAAATTAATATTGTAAGATGTTGGTACATATCGATATCTTAATTAATATAATATATCGAAATATTGGTTGTCGCTACCGCGTGCGAAGACTAAATCTAGCAACAACTTTTTCGATTCGCTCTTTCCCATCGAAACACTACGAAAGAATACTATCTACCGATAGCTTCATTTAACACTTCCACCCAACCAACACCCCATTCACTGTTATAAATCCATTGAAACATGGAATCTAACCCTTAACTTACAACAATTTTATTGTCAAAAGTTTCGTCAGCACACATTACGTCAGGCTCGCGCTCACATCATGATTGATCACGAATTAATCCCGAAACTAGTTGAGCTATCTCAATACAATTACATGTAAGTTAAACCGGTAGATATTATATTAAAATTACAACAATTTGACAACAACAACAAAGAATGCCAGTGTTGTAAAAATATCAACCAGTGGAATCTAGTAATAAAAAGGTTACCTCACATTAGAATCCATATCCTTGCTTCGTTTGTGAGAAGGATCGTCATCCAAATGCCTGAGGCCAGCGAATGGCGATAGTTCGAAACTCTCTTCTAGCGCCTCATAGTTAATCTGAGTGTTCAGGCACATTACACCAACAGCAAGTTCTTTATCCTACAATTTGTCCATTCAATACCATTAATTTTCATATAATTAAACCTTCAGGATTTTAGAAAAATCAGATAGACGGTAGAGCAACCTGGAAATTTCTCGCTGACTTAAGAAAATTTGGCGTCTGAATCGAAGCACAAAGTTATTGTCATTGCTGACGATCTGATACAAAAAAGCACATCAGTAGGTGTTCATTACAGTAGTCAGTATAGCATCATTTATTTAAACTTTTTACCGTGTGGTCCCGGCATAGAATAGGCTACCTCTTCCTTTCCCGTGGGTGTCGTAAGAATTGACTAAGGGAAGATGAGGGATGGGCAACAGCGTCCTTCTTAAAACATCTCTAAAGCCTAACTGTGGTTACCAACCCGCCTGCCAAGAGTGGCAACTACTGGCAAAACCCCCCAAGAAGGAGGCTTATATTCAGTAGTGGTTAAAAGCTGATATGATGAAAACACTTAAAAACACTTTTTTTTCAGACCAACTCGCACTCTATTGTATTACGAATACGGTCGGCCAGCGTTACCCCACAAATTCTGCATATAAAATTCAAGAATAGATTTAAGCATATCGCTTACCTCACAGACAAGCAACACCCTGTCAGACTCGGGATGCCGGGATATAAGCTCACTGATGTAAAACTCGCCGTACAACTGCCGTAGTCGTGCGGAGTGCCGCTCTATTATTGGCACTATATCATCGTTATCTTCTTCCCTGTTTACACAAGCACATATTTGTCGACCTGATAGGGTATACTGCTAACAATGGGACTAGAATTCCCATTACTAACAATGCCTTTCATCCACTCATCTAGGATTCGGTACCATTGACTGAATAACGACCGATATGGTGATGATAAGAACATCATTATCACCATATTAGTCATTATCTGTCCACTGGTGAACATAAACCTTCCCCATAGATTGCCATAAGGAACGGTCAAAAGCTACCTGCATCCATTGACTTCTTACAATGCGTTCGAGGTCGTCACTCCACCTAGTTAAAGATCGTCCTATACTGCGTACCCTGTACTTTCAAAAACCTTTTTTCCCCTTTGATTTTTTGTTCTTCGAGCTACGTGACCAGCTCATTACCACTTTAGTTTGCTTATCCTTCAGGCTACGTATACACGGACATAATAAAACATTATCCTATAATTTAACATTTTACTGTACAATAAAGTATTACAAACAAACTAAATGCATCTGGGGGAAAGGGATTGTTAGTAATGGAGACTAAGAATCCCATTGCTAACAATATACCCAACCAGGTCGACCTCCTCGCGGTTCCCCCTGGAAACTATCATGGTTAATTCCTGATGAATTCATCGTGATGGGCTAACTGGTCTGTTTTCATTCTCATCTATCATCCTTCACTGGTGCTCCGCCAGCGTATCCCGTTAGCGCAGGCGGGGTTGCCATTCCATTTTCACCCAAGAAAAAAAAAAACTAAATGCATCTAGTTGAAAAAAAGATTTACAGTATAATAAGCCAAATTAACTCTGTTGCTCAGATCTAAAATTCTCATCCAGCAAATCCAGAAGGGAAAAAGAACAAAAAATAAAAACAGACTACTACTTCCACTAGCGAGGGAAAAGGATTATTGATAATGGGATCTAAAAGCCCTATTGCTAGCAATATATCTTATCACATCGACCTCCACACAGTTGTATTCCCTCTAGAAATCATCATGATTAATTCTTGTGGAATTCGTCACGATGGGCTAACTGGCCTGCTTTCATTCTCATCTATCATTTGTCACTGGTGCCCTGTCAGCGTATACCGATAGCACAGATGGGGATTCCATTATCATCATTAAAAGAAACTACTTTCACTCACTGTCTAATAAGTAGATAACCTTAGGTACAACTTTTTAAAGAATCGTAGATACTAACACAGCTCTTCTTATGTGAAGCCGAGGACAGACCTCTTGCCGGTCAGCGATACAAAGAATGGGCAACTGGTCACCAGGTATCCCACGCTCCATCACCTGTACGCGTCGGAACGATGACTCTGACCGTGATTGTCCCGGTACCAGCACTAACATTGGGAATATAAAAATCAACACGCAGTTTAAACGCCGAACGGTTAACACTAGGCTCCGTACTCTATTAATTTGCTTGAATATGCTTCGTTAAGAGGTGAAACACGTGCGTGGACTAAATGGCGGTCGGAGAATGATTACTAATATAGAAGGTTATAGTACTTCTAGTAATAATAACAAATGACTGCTATATCACACTATACATAATATCTTCGAGTGTTGGCAGTCGCACGCATAATGGTAGCGGAATATTTTAAAAATAATTCTAATCGACTAACTATTCAATTGACTAGTCCGTTAGATCAAAGAGTTCTTTAATCTAACTGCGTATAAATTATAATATAATGTCGTATTCGTTTGTACTTTTTACGAGCATTAATAGATTGGTCGCCTGCACGGAAGGAAGAACCACAATTTAATAATCACGGGGAATACCAGCCCCATTGGCCTGGCAAGATTGGCATATTACTAGAAATGTGGCCGCTAGGTGGGGGGGGGGGGGGGTATATATTATACTTACATAAATAATTTATTAAAGACTTGATCATGCCAATATGGTGAACGTAGGCATCATGCATAAAGATTGATTTCAACATATTATCCACTACGTCTCGATTGTACGTCGGATTCCAGCAAAGAAGATGCAAGAATATTGTGTTCCGTGCGTTCAATTCTACTGATCTGTAATATGATGTAATTATTCGAACTTCTAATTAATATCTACTTGTAAATATATGTACTCACGTAAATAGGTATGTTACGCAAACATGAGACTGCAAATGTAAAGTTTAAAAATCTTATTGAAGTTTTAAGACAAATAATATATAGCCTATATTTCTCACTTATAGCTTTCAATAATAAAACTCTCTAGTAACAAGTTTTAAGACATCTTTGTTATACAAGGCGAATATAGATACCTCTGTAATTAGTGGGAATTTTTAGTAAATTTTTAGAAAAAAAGTAATAGGAATCGAACAGCCCCATTGCTAGCAATATGTCCTATCAGATCGACCTACACACGGTTTCCCCTACAAACCATCGTGGTTAATTCTTGTGGAATTCGTCATGATGAGCTAAGTTACCTGCTGCCATCCTCGGCTATCGTCTTTCATTAGTGCCCCGCCAGCGCATAACGATTGCGCAGGCGAGATTACCATTTCATCATTACCCATTAAACTCTGACGTGGCTTATCGAACAGCGGATTTAAAGATTTTTTAACATACTTATACTTAGTCCAGATATACTCTTCCCAAGCTTTAGGATGAACTGCTGGTATAAGTGGATAATCCTTAGCAATTAGACATCCAACTATGGCCTCGTTAATGTCGAGTTGGCAAATGGACAGTATACAGTTCTCACTAAAATTGGAATAATAAATTGCATAATGTCACCAGTATAAAGTATATATTATTAAATTTAAATCAACATCGAAACATTACCGCTATAGATTTGCATAAACGATGGACATTTCACTGAAATATTTCTTTGTGTACTCTCTTAACAACTTATGCCAGTATTGTAAATACGCGTGCATTGTAATTTTAAGTTGTAATATGCAATTTAGATATTGTGACCAAACTATTTCCAGAGACCACATGCGCAAAAACGATATATTTTATTCACGAATAAAATTAACAGGATATTAATTTCTCTGAATTGAAAAACTATATTATAAATCGGGGTAGGAGGTGACGAGGTTTCTTCATCTCCTTCCCGGATATCAGCTAAACTTCAGGGCCAGTAACGCGCGCGTAATGCCTCTGGTTCATAAGCTGCCACTAATAGTGTCATATTATCTGTGACTGCAGTAACTGCTAGCGATCAGGTTGACTGTACGCTTGTTTGCCACCTTAGGGCTATTAAATAATCATTTGCGTCCAAAACTCAATTAATTAAAATCACACAAGAGGCTCAAACCATTACTATAGCAGAATATCAAAATCTCAATATAAATGTCTCAACGCCAGCTAACAGCTTCAATTCCTATAGGTTCTTCTCTTATATAATACTAATAAGAGAAAACAAGAAAACTCACATAAGATCAACGATGGTCGACGTGTCGTGGATACGAAAGTTTTTAGCCATTGATTCGTTGATCAACTCAAATATAATGGGCGCATCCTCCACGCAAGCCAAACGCACACGGCCCAAGGAAGGCGGCCGGAATATGCGGGAAACCATCGCTTATTTCTAAACCTTCTATGTGTAAGATTATTCTGGTCAGAATCCCGCAAATAATTTTTTATACACCGAGTAATTAAGGTTTTCAAATTGACATTTTAATGACTTCAAACAGACAGCTAAGTTTCTTCTTTAAAAAAGTTTTCTTTCTGTCTACTGCTAAATGTAGACCTTTACCTCTTGAGAGTTTTGGCAGTTACCACGCTTGGCAAGAGAGTTGGCAACCGCAATTTTAGACCTTAATGATGTAAATAAAGATGCTACTGCCCATCCCTCGACCTTTAAATTCCCTTAGTCGCCTCTTATGATACCCACTGAAGAGGAAGCCCATTCTAAACCGGAACACAGCAAATACTTAAGCCAAATTTTAACTACATTAAATCTAGAGCTAGGTAGTATCATTAGGTATTCTGTGGAGATCGGTGTGTATTGGCTAGTAACCCATGTTATAAATTACATATATATTGTGATATAAATCAACATGGAAAATTGTAACCCTTTATATGATAATATATAAGTACAGGTGACGTGTGCGTAGCACAGGAAAAGCGAACGCTTCTATGTATTGTATAATATGGGTTAAGCTGGGACGTTATTCTTTTCATACTTCGTAATGTATCCTCTATCCTTCTCTGAGCTCTGACATCAGCGGATACTGAAGTATGCGAGGATGAGATCAAATCGTAATAAGTGTACCTACTGTTACTTATTGTACATTAGTGTGGTACAATAGAGGAATACTCTAAATAAAAACATTCATCATCTTCATCATCTTCATCATCGTCATCACTATCATCATAATCAAATAAAAACACATTATGCAGACTTAATTTATTTATTATCCTTAAAATAAAAACTCCCTGAATTTAGGACTATATTTCGCATAATTTTCGTGTTGGGATAAATAATAGGTACCACTTGAGCTTCCACTTAATTACAAAAAAAAATTCATTAACTGATTATTATTCTTAATATACAGAACACAATAAAAGTCTAATAAAAATAATTTAATTGTGTAACAATATACCTACTAGCTCTAATTAGCGTCAATAAATAACATGACTTCGTGTGTGTATGTTCTTTGGGAGCGAATAGTTATGCCACTTGTCGCACTAGACAATTTGATCTAACGGATGCTTTTGTTTTTATAGGTTACCGTATCACGGTATCATTTCGTACGATTTTATCGTCACGATACAATAGGAGAGTAAAATATATGCTATTGCTTTGTTTATAAAAAATGTTAATTTTTTTTATTATTATTATTATTATTATTAATGCACGTTCAAAATATCGCCGCGGAAAATTAACAGTCACTATGCATTGCTATATATTTTGATCCCTATTATATCGTGACGATACAATCCATACAATATGGTACCGTGCAGTGGTAAATTACAAGAGATCAATGTAAGAAGCTAGCTTTATAAAACGGATATGCACATTTATTTATAGTTGAAGTAATACGGAGCATTTACAGGTGTTCCAGTAGCCGTTTCCACTAATATTTTTGTACAAAAACACAAAGTGCTTCCCGTAAGAATGCATTAAAATATATTTTAAACATAAAATCTTAATTGCTTTACACTTGGTTAGAATAGAGAATAGAAGAGGCAAAATGCTGGGCCATCTTATATGACATGACGATTTTTTAAGGGCATAGTAGACGGAAAAATAGAAGGCAAAAGAGGAAGAGGAAGACCGAGGAATAACTACATGGGACAGATAAAAGAAACACTAGGTGTCATATCGTATAGGGAGGTCAAGGATATGGCCTGGGATAGAGCTGGCTGGAAGAAAACGCATGAATAAGTTGCACCGAAAAAAGGAAACAAATTAAAAGAAGACACTTGGATCGCGGCTGTTTACAACTTTACACTTTTTTACCAGGACGCTTGTAACAACGAAATATCGAGAGCTCAGAAATAATAACGATAAAATATCACTTAAAATGTGTAAATAATTAATAAGAAAAAATCATATATATAATATTACCCGAATTACAGTATGCGCTTTTTTGACGTTTTTGGTATATAATCAACAATACATTGGTGTCTAGTCCAAATTACATGACTATAAAAAAACATACACATACCATTTTTATAACGCTTTGTTTTATATACAATTCAAATATCTAGTGGCATTTGCGAGATGCAGATAATTCGTGCAAACTATATTAGAAAAATATAGAGTCTGTGCCCACTACATCATATCGTACCATGATCATACCTATAGAAAAAATACGATTTGTCTATATTACTACGAAACAAACGCAGTTCCATCGCTGGTAAATACTAACACAGTCGTGAGCATACATATTTTATATTTTGTAGGTAACTAACAAATGACATGCAGCATGAACAATAAACACGTTTGCAAAAATATACAAAATATTTTACTTTACCATGAAATAAATAATGTATGTAATATATATATATATAGTGTTCGGAACGCTTCTATTCAAGCGTGACAGCGTCATCTTACCATATGGAATAGTGGGTACAGAACTTCATTTTACACCATACTATACAACTAAAGCAGATATTGCTTATAAGTTACAAAAGTTATTCGAAATGGGCACTGAAAGTTAATAAATAATAAACAATAGTAAACCCCATAACCCAAGCTACTACTAATATCGTCTGGCATCACGATGCTGCTTCCATAGCGTATTGGATACATATTGAACTAGAGTCAGCAAAATATATCTGTACAGTCAGCAAACTTATTAACTTTGTAAATGAAATCTTCAATAACTCTTATTAGTAGTGATGGGTAATATAGCGATATCTATATATTGTAAATCGATGATGAACATATACCGGTTGTTCAAAATATAATATTAAAATAAAGAGCCCTATCGAAATTAATATAGATATCTGACCGATATAGGCGATATCGAAATGGGTGATCTCCTTTTTCGCCATCAGTGTTCAAAGAAACCCAATATATAGATATCGAAGCGGTATCGATATTACCCACGTCGAATTATGAGACTGGTTTTAATGTAACGAGAAAGGTTTGTACGTATTGTAAGCATAAATGTTTACATATATAAATGAATAATTTATGTACATTAACAAGACAATGGGATAACCCCTATCATCTTCAAAACATCTCTACGTACAATCCGTGTCACAGTTACGGTTTAAGACTTGCAGAAGATCCATTTTCACCAAAAATTATGCTGATGATGTTATACCAAGAAATATTTCACGTGACCACTATTTCTATGAATAAGGTAACTTAATTCAGCGAATTTCAAATTGAAAAACATCAATTACTTATTAACCTGCCATTTAAAATCTCGAATAAGAAATCTGCACGATAAACACATTTTTATAGGCATTTTTCTCGTCAATGTCATCTCCCCACCAATGATCATAAGCAGCTGTATAATGTCAAGAGTTGACTGTAAAACACCGCTGATAATCCAATAAGGCGAGTTAAATAAAAAAAAAACCCTAATATACAATAACAAATAAAATTGCCTATGTCAGTCTTAGGCGGAAGTTCAGAAGTGTTATAGTGCATACAAAGAAATGCATATATATATTGCAAACTTATTAGTAAGTATCTAACAAACTATGCGAGTATAATACGTGCACACCAAGTACTGAACGAGAAATAAAACTGTCGGTAACCACTTCAGTACAACGCTCGCTCATATCTGTGATGTATGGACGTTAAAACTATTAAAATTACACTAAAACGAAACAAAAGCTTATCGCTATATGTAATCAATAAAATATAATGGTAGACACTAAGAAATAAAAGTATATCGTGTTATCACTAATCTATTGAAAAGAGATGTCTTTTTATATGTATAAAAATATCGTCAATATCAATAATAATTATATATATATTTATAATATTTTGTCCGTCTATTAAATTAGAAAAAAATTATGCTCACATAACACAATGTGAAGCACAGTTCATGTCGGATACATAAAAATGGATACTGCCATTTCTATCTGAGTAACAAATAAATGGAATTTTGATAAAATTTGAGGCTAACATAAAGCGACCAACATGTTCGAATATCTAGTAAAAATACACCTAAATATCTAATTCATTGTTAGTGTGTCTATAAAACTACAAGCGAAATGGACAAATCGATAGTATATATACTTAATGATAAAATTAATTATACAACTGCATAACTAATATTTATTACCTATCATACAAATCGGAACGCTGCGTTTGCGCGTTGTATCTCCGTATATAATTAGTCATAGTTTTGCGAGTATACGACAAGTAAAATTGTTACTTAAGGCAAGTGAATAACGTCTATATTATTGATAATTAAATACACTATCACACAAACCGAGTACGAAGAGATCATAGACCATACAAACGACGCTCCATTTAAGAGCGCAACTCACGGACGCTCACCACGAACCAAACTAGTTAATTGTATCTCTTACATTAATATAGCTTTTCCATACACATGGAAATATACTTAAAAACTATTAGTTTATACTTTATCACTATATACAAGTCCACACTATGCTTCCCTAAAGCGTATACTGTCGTTTCATTCGTTATAAAATCCTTGTGCTCCATAGTGGAAACACAATACATACCTAATTAGTCTGATTGCTCATTGACAAAGTCTTGATCCTTTTTATATAGTAAACACTCTTGGTCGTTATTTACTTAAATAACAGTCCATAAATGAACAAATTGCTAAGATAAAAATGTTTTGGGGTCAAATGATTCCTTTATTATTGTGCATTCTCTTTTTATATATATATTTTTTTAATGAGCACCAGTTAATGCAAGAAACAACCATGTGATAAGGTCATCCAGGGTAATGTGTTTGTTTCCTGCATAACTAGCTTCAATTACTAATTACGATAGAGATATACCGAGACTGTTTACCAAATAAGTTACAAAAACCCTATATAATATCATACATGCACCATAATATACGCTTTTTATCTATTATTCACACGCTCAAATTATTTAAAGTATTAAATTAAAATATTCATAACCTATATAAAACTAATTCCAATATATACAATTTGATTGGTGATTTTGAACAGTTCTACGTACTAACTACAAATTAGTAACGTACTAGTAACTATAAATTAAAATTAAACATTATTGCTACTATATAATTTCAGTTTGTGAATTAACCATAATAATAACCATAGACAACATTGCATGGACTACGAGAACTAAGCCTGAAACTTGATTTTACAACTTAATTACAAATTATGTATACCTTAGATTACGGGATCAACTATGGACATTTTGGCTTCAATAACACAAACAGGCAGGCACAAAGCACATTTTCCATAATGTTGAGATAGTTTACTACTATTTTTTTTTATACTGGCAATACTTTCAATATAATTATAAGTAATAATTTCTCTTTGATGATTAATATCTTAAAACTATTACTGAAAAATAGTAGTAAATACCCCAAGTATATGCACTTTAAAAAGAGTGCAATAATCTGATAAGTGGCTTAATATTGTAGCTATATTAAGACATTTGTTTAATAATGAAGGAAAACGAAAAGTATGATTAATGTAAGTTATGTATTTACACGACTGATTGTTTCAGCCAAAGAGAAAGTAGTATCAATGCCCTCAGTTCTCAACAATTCCGCAAACTCTCGAGTTCTCCCTCAAACAGTACAACCGTCTAAAAGTTACCCTCCGTTTCCACCAAAATACAAGCTCAGCAAGAAGAAATGTGACAAAACGACGAAATTGACTAGAAAATCACTATTCTTATTTTAAAATGTAACACATTTAAAAAACTTCGACAGATAAAAAGATGTATCATCATAGACAAATTGACTTTAAAAAATATTTCAATATAAAAGTAGAATCATATGTTTAAAATAAATAACATAGCTCCGAAGTCGATTTCAAAATATAGATATTACCTTATATATACAAAAATATAGGCTTGGCAAAAATACTAAAATTTAAATATAATACATGTATAACTTTTGATGGAAACGCAGTGTTGCAAAAAATCAAATGCATTTCACTATTTAAAAAAAATGTAATGTAAATCAAAAAGATATTTTTAACATTAATTATTCAAATATATATCAATGTAATGTCAAAGAAATATATAATAAATATTCAAACAAATGTCTTAATCATCAATGTAAATAAAAAAATGCAATGTATAGTCCGTTTATGAACCAAAAAAGTACAATTGGTTTGTGACACCAAAAAGCTTAAAATTCTAACACTAAAATCATTAATATATAAAAAATCCAAGATGCACAATCAAAACAAAAACCAGTACTGATAAATTAGAGTTCATTTAAACTAAATTTTGCCTACATTTCTAACCAAGCCATAATGTATTTACTTTATTAAATATCGAAATAATGTTACAAAATTTAGTTAAAATATCATATCTAAACAGAAAATTTCATATTTACAGTAAATATTCAACTTGAAATAAATACATTTCCACGATAACAACTTCTTTTCATTTTCACTAAAGTATGGTGATGAGAATCTAGGATTTTTTATAATCATGTGACTTTTGTAATCAAAAAATATCTTATGAACTTTATATATACACTAAAACATTAATAAAATGGAACTTAGTTTCAGCAACTGTATATCAAATGGTGTTCCATCCATATGAACAGTTAGTAAGGCGGATAAATGCTTTTTTTTTTCGACTTATCACACACATAATATTTATATTTCATTACACATTGTATAAATTGATACAATATTACATGAACAACTTAACTAAAAATACGTATAGGTGATGTCGACAGATTATTTGTCCTTTAGATGACAAATGCAAATAGTATCTGTCTGTTTATCACATTTTCTGAATTACTGAACCGATTTGGATAAGAATTGGTTGAGATAGTTCAAAATAATGGAGAACATTTAAAGTGTGTGACTTAATAAATTAGAAAACTAAACAAATGATTATAGTAAATCTGATTATGATTTAAAGTGATATAAATTTATCAATTCGATAAAATTAAATAATTCGATATTTTTTTTTTTTATGTACTTATTAAGCTGCATTCAAACACGTGTAATCAACAATGTAGGTGGTACCTGCCTAGAATATTTTGTTTCGCAGCAACCTCAGAAATTCACTTATATAAAAAAAAAATGCCAAATTATATTAAATGTTACACATATGTGAACACAACTACTGTACTATTGAAGTCTAATACGAGAATTAGTACTTTTGTCAAGTAATCTAAATTATTATATTGTTTTGTTTTTAAATATATTCTTTTGGATTATTATACAAAACTTTATTTAATCTCTGATAACTTAATTATGTGAATACCCCTAATCCAATCCAAATCGGTAGAGCAAGAGCATGTTATTAGCGGGAGTGCACGTGGTGCGAGGCGGTGGCGGTACGTACGGAGGATCACTTGGCGGGCTTGTGCTTGTGCAGCGGCGGCGGCGGCGGCGTAGTGGGCGGCCCGCCGCGCTCAGCCGGAGCCCCCAGGGCTACGCCCTCACTGTCCACCTCGGTCTGCGCACACGGGCGAACACAAGTTAACAGACTATCAATAATAGAGACTAGCATATAACAGCTCTTAGTTTTATTTATGTAAGTAGACATAGCTGCATAATAATAACTAAACTAGTCATATCGTGAACCAGAAAATTCTGTCACCCACAGTACAAGCAATCACGTCGCTAGCAATATTTTTCTTTTTAAAATAAAAACTTGTATTATTGTTTCCGTATGTCATTCATTCACTCCAATGGCACAGAATGGGCCACACTCTTTTTCCGTAGGTGTAGTAAGAAACAACTAAGAAAAGTATATGGTCAAGGGATAGGTAGCAGTGTCTCTCTTAAAACATCACTAAAAGCTAACTGTAGTTAGCAACCCACATGCCAAATTTGGCAACTACTGGCAAAACCCCCTTATGGGTGAGGCCTATGTTCAGCAATGGACAGTTAACAGCTGATGACTATGATTGTAAATGTGTATTGTATGCACAAACTTGAGAGATACGATACCAGAACGCAGTACATGTAAAGTAGGAGGCAAAACAATGTTTGACGTAATATAATATATATAGTATAGTATGACGTAAATAGTATTATAATAATTAAGATTGTGTAAAAATAACAGAATTTGTCAGAATTGAATTTTTTTTTTTTATGGGACCCAATCTTTAATTGTTAAATGATCTGTATACAAATATTAACAAAAACCTTTTCATCCTTGGTGCTTGTTTGTTGTGAGGCAGCACCACTGTTCGAGTTGGAGCTGTCAGTAGTGTTGTCCGCACTTTCTGTACTTGTTGTGCCTGTAAAATTAAACTTTATTAATGATACGTTTGAATTGAATTAATACAACACTGCCGTGACAACTTCGACACCATTAAAGAGATGGAAGATTTTAGGGTTGATTTTTTTATAACAAAGCGCGGTGTGCCTTATAGACATGAGCAGTACCATGGACATAACAGTAATACTGTATCGCCCATGATACCCTTCATACATTACCATTTCTGAGAACTAAGGTGTTATGTCCCTATACTCTATAAAGATTAAAAAAAAAAAAAGATATATTAGTGTGAATTGGTGCAGGTACCTTGCAGTATATGTGCGCGGTCCTGCTCGTGCTCGCGCAGCACTGCGTCGAGGTTGTAGCGGCGGCGGTACGACACGAAGAACGTGCGCACGTGCGCCTCCGTCTTGGTGCCGAGCGTCTCCGCGATCGCTTGGAAGTCGCGCCCTGCGTACAAACATATCGAACGTTCCATATCATCACCCATACGTTTACAGGCTCCTACTTACTACTACTACTCACGAACAACTAGTTGACTAAATCAAAAGTAACAATAATTAAAATTGACTTTTTTTTTTTTATACAACTTAGAATGGCAAACAAGCTGACGGTCCACCTGATGGAAAGTGGTAACCGTCGCCTATACACATGAGCAGTACCATGGACATAACAGAGTATACTGTTTCGCCCATGATACCCCCCATGCGTTGCCATTCCTGAAGACTCAGGTGTTTGTAATGTATAAATTTGCCACCTATTTCTATTCTATTTTATTTTGATGTTTACCATAGAATATATAGTCCGTTGAAACTTAAAAACATAGTCTCTCTAATCTGCATTGTACAGTTAAAAATAAAATTGTTCCCTGCTACTTCTGTTAATGACTATATTATTATGTATACTATATTATTATTATGTGATCTATAATAAAATGATTTAAATAAAATAACAGTCTTCCACAAAAAAAAAAGACTTCAATTGTGGCAAAACCACTTTTCATTTAAAAACTAAACTAGTGGACCGATTTTGATGTCTATGAGAGTCTATGTATATGAGACCGAACTGAAAGTAAAACCTTTCAGGTAAAAAAAAGTATTATCCAAATCGGTTTACAACTGACGGAGTTGTGAAGTAACAAACAAAAAAAAAATCTACAACCGAAGTGAGAACCTGCTTCTTTTTGAAATAGGATGAAAATTAGATATATTCCAATATGTATTTATACGACGAAAAAACTGGAGATTTAAATTTGGAACTCTATATTGTGCTAATAATTAATATTAGCACAATACCGAAATATGCCCCGGAAATAAATAACGTTTTGTTCTATATAAAAATCTAAAAGACCAATAAGCTAAATTTTTTAACCTAGTAGCAAAAAAAATTCAATCGCGACTTTGATAAAATGTCGATAGGAAAAATCTAAAAGTAGGTAATAGTTTTCCAAATCGGTTTATAAATGAAGAATTCTAATGTAAGAAACGTAAAATACAACCAAATTGGAAAATTTTTCTTTTTTTATTTAATTATTAAGGATCAAAAACTTAATTATTAAAAACAAGTTAAAGAATAATTGAAAATTTTGTTCCACAAAAAACAAAACCTACTCCAAACCAGCTATTTTGGTTTAAAACTAAACTACTGAACCGATCTTGATAAAATTTCTATGGATCCTATCAGAGAATATCATTTCAGATAAAAAAAGAATTTTCCAAATCGGTTTGTAAATGTCAGAGTTCTGAGGTAACAAACTTTAAAAAAAAATACAAGGAATCGAGATTTTATTCTTTTTTTTTGAATTCAATTGACGAGAAAAAAATATTACGACTGTAATTAACCAGAGATTAAAATCAAATGTATTTATTTAGATATTAAAAGATAAACATGTTAAAATTAGTATGAGTAATATCATAAATAAGCAAATTTGTAAGAATCTAATAGACGACGCGACAATCAGGTAAAAATACAAAACCACGAGAATATTTTTTTTTATGGGTGATTATGGAATGATACCACCCGCGCTATCGGTATACACCGGCGGGGCACCAGTGAGAGATAATAGATGACGATGAAGCAGGTCAGTTAGCCCATCGTGACGAATTCAACAATAATTCTTCACGATGGTTTCCACGGGGAACCACGTGGAGGTCGACCTGATAGGGCATATTGCAATAACGCTGTTAGACCCCATTACTAACCATATACACCCCCCCCCCTCCACACAATTAACACATCTGTATCGTCATTCTCTCATCCATTCATAATTGGATCATTAAGTTAAATATACAATGGATTACCTGAATATAAAAACTTGAGGAAAATTGACAATCATAACAGGAAAATATCAACTTTGACGCAAATTATAATAAAGTACATAAAAATATTTCTACCTACCTATATTTATGTATTATAAGGACAAGATTCGTGCAATTGAGGTCACAACTTCAGTTCTTAATACATCAAACCAACCTAAATGTAACTCAATTATTATACTCTTAATTTGTCCTTCCAAAAGATTATCCAAACACAGTAAGTGATAATTGATGATACTGAGAGAACAATGGGCTGCCTTATCGCTAAAAACGATCTCTATCAGGCAACCTTTAGACTGAAGGGGGGAGGGATTGTTACTAATGGTGTTTAACTGCCCCATTGCTATCAATATACTCTATCAGGTCGACCTCCACGCGGCTCCCCTGGAAACCATCGTGATAAATCCTTGTGGAATTCATCACAATACGTTAACTAACCTGTTTTCTCCGGGAGAAAGGGATTGTTAGTAATGGAGATTGAGAATCCTATTGCTAGCAATATACCCAACCAGGTCGACCACCTCGCGGTTCCCTCTGGAAACTATCATGATTAATTCCTCATGAATTCATCATGATGGGCTAACTGGCCTGTTTTCATCCTCATCGATTACCCTTCACTGGTGCCTCACCAGCGTATACCAATAGCGCAAGCGAAACTATCATTTCATTTTCACTCCATTACAAAAGCCCTCGGATGGAGAAAAGTGGACAAATTGACTGGACAAAGTGGATAAAACTCTTGTCAATAATAGTTAAATAGATAAAAAAAAAATATTAAACTGTTATTACCGTATTTCCTGACAGCTGTGACGGCCATGAGCAGTTCTTCATTGCTCCAGCGCGAGTTGATCTTCGCGGGCGGCTCGCCTGGCCTTAGCTCCTCTACGCCCGCGTCGCCAACTTTACGCTTCATGGCGCTAAGCTGCTGTTTGTTTTGTTGTACCTAAACAACATTCATTGCATTATGTATTTGATCATGTTCCTGATAATTAACCGATAAAGTTGCTTAAATCACAATTAATAAAACAGAATATAATGATTTATAAAAATAAAACATATTTTGACTGTATTCTTCCACAAAACTATAGTACAATTCTTTGTTTGTACAATTACCGATAATTAGCAGACTTATGATCGAATCAATTACTCGTTTATTTACTTTTCTATTAAGTTCCATTGAAAATTTACTTAATTAACAACTAAATAAATAAATAAATCGTTTAAGTAAACCTTATAACAATCTAAATATAAAATCTGGCCGCCGGAGCATCCTTCAACATACTTTTACAATAGTCATTATTAAACAGAAATATAGGAAAAGAGTATCTGATTGTGCATATCTGGATTATCCAACTAGGTGAAATTGCTAGCTAAACTTGCTAGGGGACAATCTCAGAGCGACAAGCAAAATATATAGAAGCCAAATTCTAAATAATATATACTTAAAAAAATATATAAAAATCTAGTGACTATTTTGTGTGCAGAATACATTACGTCTGTACAAGACGTGTATTGTTGGAAACATTACGGACAGCGGCTACACTACGGTCTCCCTAACGGGACTGCTTGTAACATAGTGTTTATGTCACATTCTCACATTACATCACACAATCAGTCACACGCATGCTCGTTAGCTGATCAAAGACTACACGTATATTATGTGAACAAATAGTTTTACCGAGCTCTCGTTAGTGTCACAGTACGACGTAGAGTGAGAATGTGTTGTATCGGCACTACATAGCGACATTTGATCGGTGGCGGTTGCCTCTTACTTGTCTCTTTAGCGATATAATCTCTCTGTCCATAGCTTTAAGCATCGCTTCGCCCTGATTGACTAGGCCGGGCTGTGGCGGGTCGCCGGGCTGAGGGCCGGTCGCCATGGCGACGAGATCATCGTGATTGATGTAAATGCCGCGAGGCAAACGATGCTTGTACCGCTGCTGTTTGGAGCCCGGCCCGCGCCTGCCGGAGGGCCCGCACAGGGGTCGCATCGTTCCGGTGCGTCTGTCACAGTACCGCCAACATTCAAACAACAATCCAATCAGTCAGTAACTATCGCACTCTAATTGTTTACACATCTGAACATGCAATGATTGCAATGATGAAACAAAAATGTAAAGTACTGTTATGTTACCGACCTGGCGTGCACGAGGCATGCCTGACACAACTTGTGGGAGTTGTGCGCCGTGGTCTGCGAACACAGAATGCCGCAAACTGTGCAACTCTTGCAAGCGCCCTCGCCGCCGCCCTCGCCCTAAACCCCAATCAACATTTTACATTCCTGCCTCAACGACATACCGACACACACCTACGACATTCACATTGCGGGGACGAACCAAAACTAATTACATCTCACACACTTCTTTTAAAAACCCATTAGAATATTAATCAATGATATTCTGCACACATTAGATCACTAGAAAGTTCCCTTCTCACTGGGGCTGTTAAAGGAAGCATGCGAGGATAATCAGGGAGGACGGGACAGGTACAGGGTTACATTTATTATATAGTACATAAGACACTGTTACATGATTAGATTAGATTAATAACAAAATCTAACCATCAAAATATATAATAATTAGTATAATGTGTAATTTAGTTTAAGCCTAAAGTTAGAATGGTGTGAAAAATCATAAATAGTCAAATTAGCTTAATTATTTGTAATTACATCATTTGATAATTGTACCGGATTCCACTGAAATAGATGTTATTTTGCAGAAGTCCTCATAACTAGTTAATTGATTGTTTAATTCCGCTACAATTAGTATGCACGTGACTGCCAACATTCGAAGATTGACTACTATTATTATCAAAAGTCCTACAATCATCAATTCCCGATTGTTATTTCGTCCACGTATGTTCTGCCACACGTGTTTCTAATTGCGGAACGAACTCATATGCATACATGCACACATACAAATGGTAGCGTAATTAAACAAAATTATTGTAATCCAATAACCAGTACGATTCCATTAAGTAAATGATTATTACTAAGTAATGACTGATTTACAATGATTATGTAAATCAGTCATTACTTGAGTTTAGGAGCCTGGTGATCTGTAAAACTGGTTATCCTAGTACCGACACCGGTCTCTCACAAAGATTGTTTTAAATTGTAACCTATGTAGCTGTAAGTTTTGTTATGTTATTTAGTGACAGAAATAAATATACATTTACTTAATTACAGTGAAATTATTCAACTATTTAAAATAAAAAATATAAAAAAAAGAAATGAAAAATTCACCGGTACCAATTAAAAAATACTCCTAAAACATATTAACAGTACGGGTATATCAGAAATTGATTATTGTAATGAATGGATGCAGGTAATCTCCGTTTCGTAATGATACCACATTAAATCAATTTTAATGTTCTATAAGTATCCATATTATTTCATAATCAACGTTTAATTTTATTCTCAAAGTGGATCTGTGATATCATCATGGGCCAAGGAGAATACTCAATATGGTATTTAATTGTAAATGAATGTCATCCATGAGTGTTGTAGCAGTCTTAGTTGTAGATAAAAATGCAGAGCTCTCAAACTTAAATACAAAGCGAATGCCAGGAAGCAGCTAAATAATTTGTTGTTTAGAATTCACAATAAACTGAACATATGATTTTCAAGGAACCATATAGAACATTGAATTCATAACACTTTTATCCATTTTATACATTTAACATACAAATTCAAACTGCTAGAAACATTAATATGTAATGCAATCTAAAAGGCTTATTATCTATTCAAAATAAAAATGGATTAAGCTTCGTGTATCACCACAAATTAAATCAGCATGAAATCTATTAATCATGAGGTGCAGCGCTATGTGGAATGATAAAACATCGGGAAACGGGGAAACCTTGAGAGTGGCAGCTGACGAATCGCATGTAAGAAATCTGATAAACATCAAAACATGAATGAACAACACACCAATCGTAGTAGGTAGGCGAAGTGAAAGTATGGAAGAAGACATTGAAAGTTTCCATGGTTACAGCGAGGTTAAGTTCATTGTGGGGGGAACGAATGACCCACCTGCGCGGTGTGCGCCGCCGCCGGGCGCGCGCCGCCGCCCGCCAGCGGCCTGCCGCCGCGCACTATACCGCGGTGGATAGTCCACTTCTGTCACACCCAACACATACGCGTCACTCACGTAATACTGACAGTACTATTGCCGATCTAATAACACGGTACCGGCTCTTGGGGATGAAGCAAATACATTTAAATACTTTAATCCCGATCGCAAAACACCATTCGTTCGTTTAGCTATTACTGGAAATTCGTATGTTTCATCTGGAGGGTTCTCTACATGCAGAGCAAATAAGAAAACAAAATCATTTAGCATTTTATCCAATTAGTTTAATTAGATCAAAATTTTGAACTCAAACAATTAAAAATAAAGCTACTAGATACTCTGCATTTCTATTTACTAACTAATGTGTCATGTGTGACCTGAGGCGAGAGTCAATCATTGGACAATCCAGATACACTTTCATCCGAAACTGTAAACTGATCATTAAATTTGTCCTAAAACATGACTGTTGCATGACAATAATGTGAGCAATAACATTGTAAAGACGTATACAAAACATAAGAGGTACATGAAATTTTTTGGACATACCTTTTCATCATTATCCGACTCCTTATCTGAACCGCCAGGTTCAGAACCAGCACCAGACTCCCGCTTGCCTGTTCCCGAACTAGTTGCATTGCGATTTTCACCTACGACATCCATAAGCGAGGTGCGAGCTCTGGTCTTTTTCCATGAGTAATAATATTTGACTAGTGATGCAATTGATTTGTCAGGGAGCTGTTAAACAATATTTACAACAGTTACATCTACAACATTCAAATAGCTTACAATTTATTATACATGCATATTCTCACAGAACCTAATTACCATCCTATGAACATGAATGAAAAATGTGTGTATGTTACTATTATGAAATGGTAACATTTACAATGTGTGTACATTGTAAATTTGGACTAAAGACCACAAATGGATGCAAAGTAGATATAGGATAGAAAAAAATAACATTACCATTTGATATATCTAAACACTATAGATTAAGAAACTTTTATAAATAGCCTTGATTTAGTTTTATATGCATTAGAATAACTGCGAAATACAAATAAGAAGGGGGAATTGTTAGTAGTAAGATCCAACAGACCCATTACTAGCAATATACCCAAATAGGTCGACCTCAACACGAATCCCCCTAGAAACCATCATAGTTAATTTTTGATGAATTCATCATGATGGGCCAACTGACCTGCTTTATCCGGGGGAGAAAGAGATTGTTAGTAATGGGACTAGAGGCCTCATTCCTAACAATATACCTTATCAGGTCAACACGGTTCCCCCTGAAATTCATCTTCATTGTTTTTTTATTAATTCACTATAGGCCAACTGACCTGCTTTCATTCTCACCTATCATCCTTCACTGGTGCCCCGCCAGTGTATACCATTGGTGTGGGTGAGGTTCCTATTCCATTATCATCCATTTAAAAAAAGACCTGCATCCTCACCCACCACCCCACACTGGTGCCTCGCCAGCATATCCTGATAGCGCAGGTGGGGTGACCATTCCATTTTCATTCATTAAAGCAAAACAAATAAGGAATAAAAATGTAAGAATATAAAATATAGTTTTTAATTATCTAATTACAACAAATCTTACCATTTGCCGTATCCTGTGAAAGCTTTTCCCATGGAATTGAAAAGCCTGTTCAAATAAAACTTTGTCTTCAACTGTCCACTCATCAGGAAAGGGTGTGAAGTTTGCTAAATCCATTGAGGCTCGTGTAAGGTCATGTTTATGCCAAAACAACATACCAAGTGCCTGTTCGCCATTGTAACCATATTTTTCTTTTGCAGTAGTTATATATTCATCCACTAAAACAACCAATACATTGAATAGTTGCTAAACACTGTCAACAAACTACACACATTGTATGTAACTTACATTTAATATCAGATATGTCAGATGTGGGGGACCAAACAAGTAATGCTCGGTCTGATATCATCTCAGGCCTCCTCTGCTCCACCGGTTCCAATTCTGGGCACACTGCTTGATAATCCCTACCCACTCTAATCTTCTCGGCTGCAAACGGTACCACTGCTTGGTTTCATGTTATAAGTGGTGATTGATGAGGGCAGCATGAAGGCAGATGATGGAAAGCATAAAAACAAAGCATGTCAGATGATTATGAATGATTCACCGTGATGTGCCAACAATTGTAGAAAGAAGGAACGTATTTTTAGAAACATGAACACAGATTAACACCTGCGTTTAATCTAGAAAGCCGACATAATTTAAAAATATGAAACCAATTTACATGCAAGAATATTTTAACCACTAAACACAAAGTCTCCTTTCCTGGATAAGCATACTAGAAACACTAATATCTCATACCATTCTCATCTTCAGAACTTGAATCTGGACTTCCATGGCCATTGGGGCTTGGCCCCCTCGACCGCTTCCCATTTCGAACATCAGTACTTCTTTCGGCCAAAACCATGATTTTGCACTTAATAACACTAGTTCCACTTTTAAATAAGACGATTATTTAGTTCATTGAGACAATATAACAATAAAGAAAAAGAAAATAAAGGGAAATGCGAAGCTTCGCATTAAATTCAAACGTGATTCAAACCACCGCATCAATAATTTGACAAACCAGCCAAAGAGTGAATAGTTCATTTAATGGCGTCTGTACCTAATGCATTTACTTGTGTAGCTCAAACTCACAAAAATATTTTTTGTCTAGCATGAAGATTTTTAAATCAGTTATATTTTCTATGATCTTATTTAAATATGTATATTTATATAAAATTTATAAATAACTGCTACGATAATCATCAACATTTTTAATTAATATCTAGAAAATAAACAGGACTGATTTTTTCCACTGGCAATTTCGTTGCTACAGCCTTCATTAAATGTACCAATCCATGTGCTGATAATTAAATATTTGGACAAATATTCTGCCTGATAATAATGGTAAAAAAATCAATATAGTAAATATAATCAATATAAATCATAATTACAATTGATACAATATTCAAAATCATGTAATGACGTGTAAGATTTCAATGTATTTCAGTTTAACAAAATATTGTCTTTCTAGTAATAGATGTCGCTAGTTTACCGTAATTTTTTGTGATATCGAAACATTGATATATATTTACGTTAGATATTTACACGAGAATTTATATTATTATAATTTCATACCCATATATAGTTTAGACTTTTACTATTACTAATTTACAAAAATATTGATGTAATGCTTCATATTCTTAGTCACAACATTCATATCGCAGAACCGAAGCGCAGAACATACTTGTCTAGAACTTATAGTTCATTTGAATGAAAAGGTAACCAAGTTTTATTAAAATTATAGATTTTCATTTAGAAAGTATCTCTAAATGAAATTAAAAACAATTGAAACACAGAATCGGTTAAACTTATTGTTTACTAGCTGATCCCTGCTACGCGTGGTATTTATTATTCCTTCGATTAACATTATTAACCTCCTTATTGTAGTGAACTACGAATATTAGACCAAAATTAATAAATGACGTGTCGTTTTCACTCTTTGCCTTAGGTCAAAAAGATTTTACTTAAATAGGTTGTGTACTAAGCTGTATAACTTACTATAGTTTTTTAACTATCCCACGGGAACTCTTTAATTTTTAAAAGTATCTAGAATGTTAACCAGAGTTGTAAGATACCACCATGCAAAATTTCATTGAAATCAACCGATTTAAATGAAAGTTAAACCTAACATAGTCGGAGATTAACCCATACGAACAGAAAAACAAAAAAAAAATTATATGTGTTCCGCTTCTAACATCCGCCTGACTCAGTTTTTAGCGTTTTTTTTTTTTCTTTCTATGTACAGACATATGTATTGGACATCAGACTGTCTTATAGTTGAGTAAATTATTCATTTGTTTACATGTTCATTAAATTCTATTGATACAGATAACAGGAAAATATATTCATAATGTACCTAATCTTTAACACACATAAATAAATACATTATTTATCTATTTATAATTCTCTACTCTAATATCTAATATTGTGGGTAAAGATTTCTATTATTGGGGCTCAACAGAGCTATTGCTAGCAATACAGGTTGTATTTTTTTATGGGTGAAAATGGAATGGTAACTCCGCCTACGCTAACGGGATACACTGGCGGAGCATCAGTGAAGGGTGATTGATGAGAATGAAAACAGGCCAGTTAGCCCATCATGATGAATTCATTAGGAATTAACCATGATCGTTTCCAGGGGGAACCGCGAGGAGATCAACCTGGTTGGGTATATTGCTAGCAATGGGATTCTTAGGCAGCATTACTAACAATCCCTTTCCCCCCATACAGGGTGTATTAGTACAAGGTGCATTGCTAGCAATAGATCTGTTAATTCTTATTAACAGCAATCTCCCCTTCCTCCACAATATTAAACATTAGGTCGACTTCCACAAAGACCACCAGAGAGAGACTTTGTACAAAAGTCGATTGCTTGGGTACCTCTGTCCCATTTGTGTTTCAACCGTGAAGCAGTTGTGTTTGCATAGCTGTATTTCGGTTTGAAGGGGGGGGGGGTGTATCATGGACGAAACAGTATACCCTGTTATGTCCATGGTACTGCTCATGTCTATAGGCGACGGTTACCACTTTCCATCAGGTGGGCCGTCAGCTTGTTTGCCATTCTAAGTTGTATAAAAAAACCCCGTCTGGTAACCGTCGAACTTAATTCCTGATGAACATGCAATGTGCCAGTTGATCTGACTTCCTCGCCTATCAACACATGCTCATTGGTACCACCCAGCGAGTGTAGGTATACCAAGAGCAAACAGAGTTACCATTCTGTCATTACCCATTTATTAAAAAGCAAGGTAAAGAAATTATGAATGTAATTTATACCTACCTATTTTTTTTAATGGGTGATAATGGAATGGTAACCCCGCCCGCGCTATTGGTATACACCGGCGGAGCACCAGTGAAGGATAATAGGTGAGGATGAAGTAGGTAAGTTAGCCCATCGTGACGAATTCAACAAGAATTGTTCACGATGGTTTCCAGCGGGAATCACATTGAGGTCGACCTGATAAGGTGTATTGTTAGCAATGGGTTCATTAGACCCCATTACTAACAATCCATTTCCCCCGAAACCTAACTATTAAAAAGTATTTTCTAGAAAGTAGTTTTCAAGTTCTAGTAAATACTTTTCTAATACCTATTAGGTTCGTAATTTCTTTACTTTTTTATGTTTTTAGAAAATATTTTTATTTTAAGCGAAGAAACAATATCTAATTATGTTTTCTTAATTATGTGTAAGTGCGTCTTTACATCTGTGTATGAACTTTTTTTTTTTAAATCAAATTAATAACTTAGCTCTCAGCAACTTTAAAAAAAACGTCTAGACAAGTTATATTCACTCGAGATTTCTGGGTAGGTTACATAGATATATGGGCGTCTTTAAGGGGAGTCTTCCATAAGATGAAATTCCGAATTTTCGAGCTCAATTTCATGTATTTGTTCGTACTAAAATCGGCCCAGCAAAAAGCGCTTAACATTTCGTTCGTTACAGATTCTACCATAATAGTCCAAAGAACGATATTTTAACATTTGTAATAAATAGATTAATATTTAAACGGTATGTATTATGTAATTTTGTTATCGAATTTGGTGTTTCGTTTGGTCCCAAAATTACGGAAAATATGTATTTCATGGTAGACCCTCCCTTGAACTGTATCGGTTCGGTAACATTGAAATATTATCGTATTTTTGATTAAAATCAAATAAAATTATTAATCCGAATTATATACTTCTTGAAAGGTCGTGGTACTGCTCATGTCTGTAGGCGACGCTTACCACTTTCCATCAGGTGGGCCCTCAGCTTGTTTGCCATGCTATGTCGTATAAAAAGAAAGTCTGAATACTGAACAATGGGGGGAAAGGTATTGTTAGTAATGGATATTAAGAATCCCATTGCTAGTAATATAACCAACCAGGTCGACCTCCTCGCGGTTCTCCCTGAAAACTATCACGGTTAATTCCTGATGAATTCATCATGATGGGCTAACTGGCCTGTTTTCATTTTCATCTATCACCCTTCACTGGTGCTCCGCCAGCGTATCCCGTTAGCGCAGGCGGGGTTACCATACCATTTTCACTCATCAAAAAAAATACTGAACAATACTTCTATTTCCGTCTATTAAACTCATGAGGCACCTCGCTTCGCACCAAACAATGATCCAACGATCAAAGTGGGCCTTCAACGGAAATCACATGGTTGTCTGGGTGGGTGGTCAGCAGAAGGTCCAACAGTGAAGGTGGATGGTCCAACATATTAGGTATTCGCGTACGCGAGGAAACAAGCTGCGTCAGACCATAAGCCAAAACAAAGTCATGAACAGATCTTGACGCATAGTCGGTTGTACGCGAACCAATCTATTTGGCAAGATCGGAATTAAAGTCGCCAAGAATCTGTAGCTTAACCTTAATGATTTGGTCGGTTTCAGTGTTACCGCTGTGGGACCTAATATAGTCATGCATAGATACTAAGATGGTCATTGCAGTCTACGCGCAGCCGTAGAATGGACAGGTCCGTACCTTCAAGTGTTCCAAGGCGGCGACAGCAGATATCCTCTTTGACATACGCACATACACCGGCACGCGAAACAAAACAATGTTCTAGCTTACTCTGACCCGAGTGGGTCAGGTCAGGTTTTGATTGGAGAGGATATCTGTCTTCGTGAGGAAGAACAATACCAGCCACGCCGTTTCTAGGTGGTAATGAACAGTGTTCAGGTTAGACTGTATTCTCCTAATGTTGCAGAAGCTCACATTGAGCGAAAGGAATGCCGCAGAAATCTTGCTCTGTTTGCTCTTGGTTCTAATGAGCGGTATTCCCTTCTCTCAAAATACGCAGGGCAGCCCGAGCGTGTTTGCTCGAAGGAGGATTCTCCATCAACGTGGTTACTGGTACCTCCCTGAGTTATATTATTTTCTTCTAAATTCTACTGCCATGGTTGTATTAAAAGATGGGAGACGGGGTTGGAGGAATGATTTTAGGATTAGGAAAAGGATGGGTGTAGGATGGGTATAGGATGGGCATCCGGACTCCCTCACTCACCATACAGAATGTGGTCGCACTGAAAGTGCGGCCGCTTAGCATTGATATTCTGTGAGGGTGTGGTATACACAAATATGCTGGGTTCTTTATTATTACTTTTTATATTTAGTTGAATATTTTATAATTTGGCAAATGTAATATAAAATGCAGTTAATTAAGGTCAGAAGGGAAAAAATATTTGGACACTTGGATACGACACGACGAACTCATAAACATTATAATAAAAGGTAAGATAGAAGGAAGGAGATGCAGAGGGAGAACAAGGCATAGTTACACTAGGCAAATTAAGGAAAAGGTTGGTGTCGTGTCGTATCCAGAGGTGAAGAAACTCGAAGAAAATCGGAGTGGCAAGAGCTTCACCGACAAGAGCCCAGTTCTTAAATAGGATAGACTTTATTTTAGGCAACTAACAATATACAGGAGGGAAAGGGGTTGTTAGTAATAGGATCTTACTGACCAGGTCAACCTCTACGTGGTTCCCCCTGGAAATAATCATGATTAATTCTAGTGGAATTCGTCATGATGACCTGCTTTCATCGTCATTATCCCTAACTGGTGTCCCGCCAGTGTATACCGATAGCACAGGCGAGGTTACCATTCCATTATCACCCATTTAAAAAAAAGTTACAATATAGCGTCGACAAAAGCCATTACATTAATTTCAATGAACTGTCAAATTACTACTGACATTTGCGGAGTGCCAACTTGACATTGACAATTGTTAACACGGATTTTTTGTGGACACATATTTTTCTCATTTCTTTCTATTCTAAGTTATCAAAATAGATAACAATTATGTTGCGTTACAATTCCCACAATTAAAGGTGGTAAAGTTGCGCTAGCACCTAATAAAAGTGATAAAATTTTGTTGGACATGTCACTGCCGTATCCGGGACCGCAATGTAATTTAGTTTCGCTTTTTATAGACGCACACATATTTTGAATGTTATGTAACGTATATTATAGTGTTTTCGCCTTTAAATTATTGCTGGTAAGATGAGGACGGTGGCACTGATCAGCGGCGGCAAGGACAGCTGCTACAACATGATGCAGTGTGTCGCCGCCGGCCACGAGATTGTCGCTCTGGCCAACCTCCAACCGCTACAGAAAGGTTACTTTCGTCTTATTAACCGATTTAGATACGTTTTGAGTCACCATATTAACGTGTTAATATGCTTATGCCATAAATTATTCATGATGTAAATAAATGATAGTTCACAACTGAGTAACATCTGTTTCAATATGTCAGTTGTTTATTAAGATCTGATTAATAGTTTGAGATTGTATACTGTGAATTGACGTAGCTTTCAAAAATATAGTTTCCCTAAATACATTGAGCTTTACTTTTAATTTTATTCTTTGCACAAATGTGCTAAGCCTATAAATATACCATTTAGACTTAAAAGTCTATATTTGTGCTATAATCTATATCAACAACAATTATAATGGAAAATATATCTTTATGTTATATATTTACTTTAGCAGAACTTTTGATTAAAATATATTTTTGTGTTTGTTACACAATATCTTCTAATTATCAATCACTTTTGAAGTTTACATAAACGAAAAAGTTCAATTTAATTGTGGACCTTTACTATTTAAATGAATGAAAACTTTTCTTATTAAATTAACTCTTTACTGTATAATATTAATTACTAATATGTTTAGTTATCTTATAAAATGACTACCTCTTAAGTTATAAATAAAAACAAAACATATTTGCAGATGAACTGGATAGTTATATGTACCAAACAGTAGGTCACCAAGGAATTGATTTGTATGCTGAAGCAATGGAACTCCCTCTCTATAGAGAGGTCATTACAGGGGTGGCTGTAGACCAAGGTAGAAATTATGAGCCCACAGAAAACGATGAGGTTGAAGATCTGTACAGGTTGATTTCAAGAATAAAGGTTTGTAGTAAATTTTTATCTGTTCTTGAATTGATTAACTGTTATGCTTCTGCTTTTCTAAACTTATAATAAATCTGTAGAGAGGTCAATTTTATACATGAAATATATTTCCAAAATAACTATCAGGGGGTACTTAGTGATCGATACTGATGCCAAAAGTACAATCAGTAAAATTGTTGTCTGTCTGTATGTTTGTTATAGAAACAAAAACTACTCGATGTATTTTAATGCAAACTTGGTACAATTATTCTTCATACTCCTGGGCATGTTATAGTATACTTTTCGTCACGCTATGATCAATAGGAGCAGAGCAGTGAATGGAAATGTTGGGAAAACCAGAGAAGTTACTCCATTTTTAAACTTCCATGGCGTGTGCAGCCTTAATGGCCACTTTTTAAAATGTAAAAATGTCCACCCATGCGAAGCCGGGACAGGCTGCTAGTTCAAACTAAAACTTAGCCTGATAATGTATAATGGATGGTTAAAGTGCTGTACTACAAATATATATCTTATTTAAAGAATTATTATTTAATAGTTTCTATATACTAAAATATATGTACTTCTTTATTTGAAAACTATTCTATTATTCTATATCAATTCAATAGGCATCATTATTTAATAAAAACATTTTTAGAGTAGGTAGGTATATCTTCTTTTCATTTAAGAGTTTCCTCTTGTCAGTGCATCAAATTCATGCATCTTTTTCCAGCCAGTTCTATCCCAGACCATATCTTTGACCTCTCTATACAACATGATACCTAGTGTTTTTTTATATCTGTCCCATGTAGTTATTCCTCGGTCTTCCTCTTTCTCTTTTGCCCTCTATTTTTCCTTCTACTATGCTCTTTAAAAAATCGTCGTATAAGATGGCCTCGCATTTTGCTTCTTCTATTCTCTATCTGGGTAGGTATATATTAAAGTTGAATTTGTTAATTAGTACCTAGATTATTATATGATATGTTAGTGTGTGGCCTAAATATTAGCAATATATGTACTTTTGTAAAAAATACATATAAATTAATTTAATTAATTTTAACAATATATTTTTAGGACGAATTAGATATTGAAGCAGTGGCTGTTGGTGCAATTTTGTCAGATTACCAAAGAATAAGGGTTGAAAATGTGTAAGTATTAATATTAAACTATAATTAGGCTAATTACTTGATAGTCAAGATAAATAAATTATCTGAAGACATAATTCTTACTGACAAATACGATAAACTCGTTTTTTCCGATGTTTAAATTAAAACAGTATTTTAATTACAAATCTAGATTGTTAACACTGTTCTTATAATGTTATGTTATTCATTTTATTAACTGTTTAATAACATAATATTAATATTAATTTTTAACTTATTACCCCACTATTATATATCTCTATGAATATATAAGCTTTTCCCTGGGTTTTAAAATCTTTAAAATACTAGGAAAGTAAAGAAAAAAACAATGCATTCAAACAAAACATTTAGTGTTCTAGAACCTAGATTGTTTAATTTAATGAGTAATGACCAATAAACTAGTATAATCTTTGTTTATAATATTTTAGAATGTCATTTATATTTTTTAAATGTAATAACTAAAATGCTTTATGATACTTGATATTCAAGGTAAGAAAATTATCAAGAAATACCACAGTACATACACATGTCTAACTATGACAAGGTATTCATCTGTATACTAAAACTGCATGTCTTATTTCAGATGTCAAAGATTAGGTTTAGTTGCTCTTGCATACCTGTGGAGGAGAAACCAAAAAGAACTGCTCCAAGAAATGATATTAAACGGCGTAGAGGCCATCATAATTAAGGTTTGTATAATCATTTAATCATCATCTTACCCTTATCCCAATTACTATTTGGGATCGGTATAATATTTCTCTTTCATTATTCACTATTTGCAGTCAATTCCACATTCAATTCCATTCTGACCATATCTTCTAGTCTATCCATGTCTTTTTAAGCCTTCCTCTTCCCTTATAGTCATCCACATGCCTTATTTCTCTATATTCCTTTGATTTATATATCTGGGACCTAGTTATAAATAAAACTAATACACCATTATTATTCAATAACATAGTTTTAACAAAATAAATATAATGAAATTAGTGTGTCTCCTGTAACTATCTCTCTTTTACTCTCCACACATAGATTGTAATATTTTAATATTATTTAATCTTTATGCCATCTATAAGTCTGTATTTATTTATTTACTCTTTATTGCACTACTTAAAGAATAATACAAAATAAATTATACTTGGTATAGTATCTTATGGGATTGGCTAATTATTATCTATGATAAAGTTTTTGTTGAAACTTGAGACAAACAACATTGATTGTATTTGTTTACAACATAATGATTCAATTTTTATCAATATAATTTTTTTAGTATTTAAATATGAACCCTTATTTCAATGTTCCTAAGTTGAAATTCAATATCTGTCAAATGTTTGTGTTTTTATTGCAATACTGTGATAAGTACATTAGATATGATACCTGCATTGATTTATTCTAATGATAAGACTAGACAGCTGGAATCTTGTTGATTTTTATTAATTTACAAACACATATGTCTATTCATTATGTAGGTTTCTTATCAGTTAAACATTATAAATATACAAGGTTTAGGGAAATTCCTGCAAGGATTAGAACCAGATACAAGTGACTATATTTAATGAAAAGTGTTCTTGGGAGTTGTATGACCTTGTGAGTTACTCTTGAAATAAATTCCAATAAATTGAAATTGAAATGTTTCGCACTGTCGAATTGCAGTATTAGCAATATAATAGTTCCATATAGTTCTGATACATGCTTATTAGTATAGCTTGTCAATGCAAACTATTATAAACCGATCCCAGTTATAACCTAATTCCTAACTGTTGTTTCATGAGTGCAGTATAAAACTGTCATTGGCAATAGATTGGATTGATATTAGATTCAGGAGTAAATCCTCTTATGTTATTATAATAATTTACAATGAGTCTGTGATTCATAGTTACTGCATGTGCGGTGAGTTTATTTCTCCCTCACACGTTTTGTTGTATGAGCTCCCTTCTGAGATTTCCTCTCTTCGACAATATTATTAAAAAACTGACAACATATTTTCAAATTCCTGTATTGTAAACAACAGCGAAGGTTTAACTTCAGAAATGAGATAAAGAAGAAGTTTAGAATGACCATTTTGTGTGGTGGTAACCACACAAAGTGGTCATTTCATTCCAAATCGATTAAAATTTGAAATTCACTTAATTGGCAGTTTTTTTTTGTTGATAGAAGAAGTCGATAAAAATGGCTTGTCTATATAATTTGTTGATACTTATATTAAAAAGCTACATTGTACGGAAATTATTACTATTATAAATTAACGAATTAATTTACATAAAGCGATCTATGAGTCCCTATAACATGTCAACTTCGCTCGCGGCACTCTGATGGGGTGATAGACGCACGCGCGGTGGTATTGTGTATCGGTAAACGGAAGCGCTCTTCCCTTCCCCGCCACAGCAGTCGCATCCACTTAGACGTCAGAACACCGCTCTCAAAGTTGACAAACTTTAATACTGAATTAGTTTAATGGCTTTATCAATAAGTTAAAAATAAATAATATTACATCCAATTGGAAAAGACCTAATGACAGTCACGCGGACAAACTAATAAATTTCATTTTATCAGCGCAACTTGTCATTAATATTCCAAAGAGTAATGTAAACAGTATTACGCATACACTACATCGACATCGTTAGGCGAACGTCTGATAATGTTGATTGCCTTTGTAGCTCGTTACGTCTCTTCGATGTATGAATGCTCAAGCATACTCGTAGAAATGATTACCGTAAGTAAATAACATCGATTGATAACTGATCAAACGTAATATGTACCACTATTTTATATTCCTTTGTCCCAATTGACCACAGCAGACGTAATTTCTTATTTATTGCGCATACAATTCTAGTTTATTTATTAAATAAAATTTAAAACCATTTTTTTTATACGACTTAGAATGGCAAACAAGGTGACGTCTCACTTGATGGAAAGTGGTAACCGTCGCCTATAGACATGAGCAGTACCATGGACATAACAGTACACAAACATACTGTTTCGCCCATGATAGGCCCCATGCGTTGCCATTCCTGAGGATTCAGGTGTTATTCCTCTGTATCCTGTAAATTCACGACATTTCCCACCCTTCAAACCGAAACACAGCCATGCAAATACAACTGCTTCACGGTAGAAACACGAATGGGACAGAGGTACCCAAGCAATCGAATTTTGTACAAAGTCTCCCTCTGGTAATAGGACATGCAGATAGCATAAAATTAATATTATAAATGTGAAAGTATGTAATGTTTGAATAATATCATATCAGCCGCTAATGGTTTACTGCTGAACATAAACTTTCCCCAGAAGGGGAGTTTTACTAGTAGTTGCCACGCTTGGCATGCGGGTTGGCAACTGTAGTTAGGCTTTTAGTGATGTTTTAAGAAGGACACTGCTGCCCATACCCTGGCCATTAAGTTTCCTTAGTTGCCTCTTACGACACCCACGGGAAAGAAAGGGCTGGCCTATTCTATGCCGGGACTGTTTTATGACAATACTTAACAAACAATACATGTAGTGCCCTTTCTATAATTATATACAAGGAATTTTGCACCATATTATGAATTGAGTAAAGCAGTTAATCAATAGATTTCCACAATAATTATTAAGTGAATATTGCTGTTTCATTTGTCTTAGGTTTTTTTTTTATATTAAATTCGATTTAAACAAATTATCTTACTAATATAACCTAATTATAAATATACGATATCGAAGAATTGTTCGGATTGGACTTGCTGCTGATTTTCACCATCGTACAATCCGCCACAAACTAAAATTTCATCCCAACCATCTAGACGAGTGGCGGTCCTCCACCGTGCGTTTTTCAAGGCACTTTCTTTCACGCACAACCACTCTTTGGAATCAACTTCCAGCAGCAGTATTTCCGAACCGATACGACAATATAACCTTCAAGAAAAGAGCATATTCCTTTTTAAAAGGCCGGCAGCACACCTGCAATGCCTTTAGTGTTGTGGGTGATCATGGGCGGCGGTAGTCACCGTCAGGTGAGCCGCATACTCGTTTGCCCTCTGTGTTGTAAAAAAAATCTGTACATGAAAGATATTTAAGAAAAATCAATATCAGGAATGTTAATATACGCAATAGATGCCAAAACAGTAATTTATAGAAATTTTTATTGTTCCGACTCGACTCATACACACAACGGCCCAAATGTGAGGCTAAGCGCGGAAAAGATACAGATTTTATCAAAATCAGTGCATCAGTTTATTTTTGAAATCAAAATAATTGGTTATGCCACATTTGATGTCGTTTATTTTAAATCTTAAATTATCAAGGAGCTCGTCAGCTTATCTTGCCAATTCTTAATAAATAAGTACTTTCATTTAAACTATAAATAATAAATTATCCATCAGGTCGCCGCACTGGGATTAGATCCTCGAGTGCACCTTGGCTTGACCATCCAAGAAATCCAGCCACACCTTCTAATGATGAAGGAGAAGTACAGCCTCAACGTGTGCGGCGAAGGTGGGGAGTATGAGACTTTCACCCTCGACTGTCCACTCTTCAGGAAACGATTGGTTATGTGAGTTATGATTTTTTTTTACCTTAAGGCAGAAAAATATTTCAGACATAACACCTTAATCCCCAGGGATAATAACGTATTAAGGATCATCACAGTACATTGTGTAATTCTCGTAATAAATAATATATTTATTTAATTATTCATAGGAAAACCAGGGCTACACTAGAGCAAAAAAATAGAGTTTACGATCACAAAATAAGCCACTAATAGGTTTACACAAGTAGCAACAATATAAATACAAGGCGCTGTACATAAAGCAACAAAAATTGTAGTTAACAAAAAAATATGAACAAACAAGAACGAAAACAAAAAAAAAATGTTGAATAAAATACAAAGTAAAATTTAATTACAAGTATTTGATTAAAATATGGCCTTCTTGTCCATACAATAGCTATTCAAACTGACTATGAATAAAAAATTGCCTACTCAGTTGGTCTCTCACTGATATTATGTTTTTCGAAAATAGATCTATTTCGATAGTGTAGGCAGGGTTACCATTTCATTATCATCCGTTAAAAAAATAAATAATAATATTTATACAAACGTCGAATGCTTCGTAAATCTATTTTAGCTATTGAATGAATGAATGAGTATATTTGCATTATACAATATAGGAAATAAGCAAGGCAATTTACGAACACGATACAATTGTATAAGTACAGTAAGGCGGTCTTATTGCTGAGAGCAATCTTTTCAAGACAACCTTGTTTTATCTCTTTCTCTAATGCTCAAAAGTTACAAAACAGTGTAATAATTAAAATAGGTTTGTAGAAGGGTTTAGTTTTTATAAATATAGGAATAATAATCTCCCAGCTACATTAAAGCTGGTCTTCCAAAACACAGACAGCAAACATGAGATTTCTGTTTTATTCTGAAATTAACTAAAGAGCATTCGATTGTGTCTTATTAGCGCTATTTGTATTTACTTAATTGTTAATGAAATAAAAAAAAAGTTATACTGTTTTTTTATGCAACTTAAATTTAATAACTTAGACCTCCGGAGTGGCAACGCATAGGGGATATCATAGGTGAAACAATATACTCTGTTATGTCCATGTCTATAGGTGACGGTAACCACTTTCAATCAGGTGGGCCGTCAGCTTGTTTGTCATTCTAAGTTGCATAAAAAATTAACTTGAAATGGTAAACAAGCTGACACCTTAAAGTTTGGTTTGTTAACCCACTATGGGAACTGAAGACCGAAACTTTATACAGTGTATGTTCTAAATAAAATATCTATATAAGAATCTACCTTTGACTGGATGATATGATTGACTTATTGTGTTTAATTGTAAAGTATTGTTCACACATTGAATTGTTTGCACTTATATTTTTAATCATACCTTAAATACTGAATACATATAATAAAACCGTTTGTAATTGTTTATTTCTCGATGAAGATTACAAAATTGAGAACAGCAAAGAAGGAGATTTTACAATAGTGACATAATGATACAGTAAAGGCGATAACTGACAATGTAAATAAAAAAACCCATGCTATAAACGTTTTGACGAGTTCAGTTGTATTAACAAGTAAATGTTTGTTGCAACAGAGATGAGAAAGAGATGGTACTACACACAGACGACCCCGTAGCACCGGTAGGTTACCTAAACCTAAAGCTGCACCTCGAACCAAAAGAGAACTCATTGATCAAACTACCTGCAACTGTCAAAAACTCCTTAGATTATATAAATGATCTAAGCGACGGCGTGTTCAGCGACCTTAGCGATATAGAGCCAAGTGAATCGGAACTAGAATCGTTAGAGAAGTTAGAAAAAGAAGAGAAAAAGAAACAGAATGAACTGAATCCATTGCTCACATATTCGGGGGACAGGGCTGATGTATCTAGTGTAGACGAGTTGGACAGGCAAAATGATAGCATAGACAATATAGATGACGGGTATAGTTACGAACAGGTGGATGACGAGTGCCATAGACAACCTGTGTCGGATCATAGATCGATATATGGGAATAAACATGGCTGGTACTTTATCGGCGGCATTACCGGTGACGGCGTGGACATTAGGGTGGCGACAGAGGACGCTATGAAAAAACTCATCAGTAGGTAAACTTTTTCACGAGCTTTATTTTTTATATATTAGTTGGTGTTCTGTTTGTTATAAATGTTTGTTTATGACAAACAAATTTATATCAGTCACTAAGAAAATATTAAAAAGACACATATATGATATAGTCCTTACGCTGTTATATTTAAAGTATAAAATCCAGTGTATGACAACTCTGCCCACTAGATGTTTGTGCAGACATTTGGCTCAAATACTTTTTTTATGTGAATCTATCATACGTTAATATGTTTTTTATATATCAATGTAAAATAATTTATAAATAGATTGGAAAGAGGGTTAATAATAAATTTAAGTAAAAAAACAAGTGTACTACAAAAATATTACAAGAGGAATTTATTCACAACAAACTTCCTTCCTTCAAATAGATTCAAAAATACTAGTACTTGATATATTTTTTTCAAAGACGAGGGTGGTGTCAGCATAATGCCCTCTCATGTCTTCGTCCTCCTCATCTTTTACTGGTATCCCGTCCTCGTATACCGATGGCTCAGGTGGAATTATCATTCCAATATCACCCATAAAAGAAATATATATCTATTCTCAATCCTAGACTATACGATGATGTAACGGTACAGATATTTTCAGACCTACTGGACTCTGAAGGCTTGACTGTCAAGGATGTCTGCTCAGTGAACATTTATATGCGGGATATGGAAGAGTACGCGACCCTCAACGAGATCTATGCGGACAATTTCCGCTTCCCGAACCCCCCTACACGTGTGTGCGTCCAATGCCCTCTGCCGAGCGATGTTGGACTTATTTTGGATGCTGTAAGTACTTAGGTTGGAAGTAACTGGTTACAGTCGCAGATTATTCTTTAATTAGGTCGTAGGTTCATCTCTTTAGGCGATAGTTACAGTTCTCAATTAGGTGGATCAAGTTATTACTTTTGCCCAATTTGAATTTTGACGTATAGTAATTTTCTTTTTCGTTTCAATTATAAATTCCCATTTTATATAATTTAGTAATCAATATTTTTTCCGTTTATTCGCATACTGTTGATTTGTACATCTTTATAAACAACTGTCTTGTGTCTATTCTAAATATGGATTAATGGGTGTTATGTAAAATAATGCCTATTGTTAAAAAGCAAACTACAGCGCTGCCAGTTGAAATCACTGTGGCGTCGACAATGTATATAGGACTGTATGCAAATAAATGTTTATTTATTCATTCTATTTGGCTCCACATCGTACAGGTTGCACACAGAGCTGTCCCCAACAACCATGAGACTGACACTAACTCGAAAGAGCGAGTGACAATGCACGTACAGGGTATTTCACATTGGGCTCCAGCCAACATTGGACCATATAGTCAAGCTATTAAGGTAAGTTTTTAATAAAACGTCACAATACGTTGTGTGTAATATTGTTTTTTTTTTTTTTTAATGTGTTTATTTTAATATTAAATCATGGTAAATTAAAAATCCGAATGTTCTCAACTCAAAATTAACACTCATCGAAAAATAAAGACCTCTTAAAAGCTCTTGATACCGCAGTTAATCAGAGTTAGGGCGCAACGGTCGTGAATAGTAGTTTTTAGTGAGTGTCTCAGATTGAAGAACTTTCGCTTTATAAAAGACCAAAATAATGTCAAACCCGCTACTTTTATAGAATTGTAGGGCAGCAGTAAGACTGGCAGGGCTCTTCTGCAGTGTTTGCACCCCTCACGTAAAACAAAATTTAATATTATTGCTTCATAGTAGTATACGATTTTTTAAATTAGTTAAATAACGTTTTTTAAATAATGTTGACTGGAAAAAATCACTATCTTTAAATAATCATATCTTAGTCAATTTTTCATCTAGGAAGTTGAAACAAATACTACAATATGCAGAATTACTTCAGCTATACTGTCTTCTTAAATATTTTTCAAATAGTTTAGTGTATTTTGTATAACTTGCAAAAAACTTAACTAAACTACTAGTTTTAAGTTTGTAGCAATTTTTCTACTTTTAATTTATTTTTCTTGTGCTATTTTGTAACAAATTTATTTTATATAGGCAATAGGCAAGTTGATCCTTTCTCCGCTATATTTTGCACACATGGTATGTATATATATGTACTAGCGACCTGCCCCGGCTTCGCACGGGTGCAATGCTGGTACTAAATATAACTACCTATTACAGAATGTCTTTATAAACAACGTTTACAGGTTTTTTGTCATTAGACAATACAAATATCATAAAGTGCTCGTGAAGTGCGGCCTTCGACGCGCTATTATATAGGCACTCGCTGCCGGACGGGCCGGTACCGCCGCACCGCTATGTCCCTGCATTTTAAATCTATAATATCTTCGGAAATATTCATTTTAATAACATGCTGTAAAGGACCATATTGATCTATATTAAATGGACAATTTATTTGGATTAAAATTATTGCTGTATTGCTTAAAATCACTTTGTAAATAAATCATTTTTCCCCGTGAAATGTAAAAAATAAAAATTGGTTATTGTAGGTTTTCCTTAAAAGATAGACATATACCATCGCGGACTTTTTTGTTGACCTTTTTAAGGTGTACAATACAGTAGTACATTATTTTGATTTATATCGTGAGGTTTAGCCAGCGTTTGCAATATAAGCGCAAAAAAGTGTTAATTTACGACATCACATTAGAAACCTTTAAATTTATCAGTGTTTATCGACAATATTATGCATGTATTATACATATAAACCTTTCTCTAGAATTACTCTATCTATTAAAAAAAAACTGCTTCGAACTCCGTTGCATAGTTTTAAAGATTTAAGCATACATAGGGACGGACAGACAGCGACTTTGTTTTATACTATGTAGTGATGTATATATATACATATATCAATTTGAAGGGTAGGATATAGCAGTGTAATTATACGTTACAGACGCATAATACCTTAGTGCTTAGGAATGGCAACGCATGAAGGGTATCATGGATGACATAGTACACTCTGTTATATCCATGGCGCTGTTCATGTCTATAGGCGTCGGTTACCATTTTCCGTCTGGTGGGCCTTTAGCTTGTTTGCCTAAGTTACGGCCACACGGTCCACGAGACAGGGAATGTGTGGGAGGGCACAAAGTGCACGGAGAGACGGAGTAACAGGTGCAGACGTCGGTTGCAGGTGGGCGAGGTGATCGGCACGTGCGGGCAGATCGCGCTGGTGCCGGGCAGCATGCAGCTGGCGGGCGGCGGCGCGCGGCGGCAGTGCGCGCTCGCGCTGCGCCACCTCACGCGCGTGCTGCGCGCCGCGCACCCGCGCGCACACATGCGCGCCGTCGTACAGGTAGCACGCGCACAGCCAGCCGCCGCTCGTACAGGTAGCACGCACACAGCCAGCCGCCGCTCGTACAGGTAGCACGCGCACAGCCAGCCGCCGCTCGTACAGGTAGCACGCGCACAGCTAGCCGCCGCTCGTACAGGTAGCACGCATACAGCCAGCGGCCGCTCGTACAGGTAGCACGCGCACAGCCAGCCGCCGCTCGTACAGGTAGCACGCGCACAACCAGTGGCCGGGGCGCCACCTCACGCGGGGTAAGCAAGTAAAGGCTGAGAGAAGCGGCCAGCAGTGCTGTTTCTCATAGTTTACCAACGAATTTGACGTATTTCTAGTTTAATTACGCACTAGAGAAGATCTAGATTAACTTATTATGATTAGTTTAGACACCCCCTCCTTTAATCTCTTTCAATAATTTATGAATGTATGAAAGAGATGTATGTAAGAATAGAGACCTTCGGTACTTGGTTCTGTCTATCCTACATAAAATTTGACGTGTAGATAAAAAAATATCACTAAATAAAAGAAATACAGTAAGTTTGTCGTACCATGTTTATGTGGTTTTGTTTTTGTCAGAGCGTGTGCTACACGACTGGCGCCCGTTGCGTGGGCGAGGCGCGGCGGCAGCTGGAGCGGCGCACGGCGGGCGCCATCGTGCAGTACGCGGTGGTGCAGGCCCTGCCGCGTCACGCGCAGCTCGAGTGGCACGCCTGGGCGCACACCGACAACAACAGGTTCGACTGTGAGTACCGCGCACACACACCGACAACAACAGGTTCGACTGTGAGTACCACGCACACACACCGACAACAACAGGTTCGACTGTGAGTACCGCGCACACACACCGACAACAGGTTCGATTATGACTACACTACCGCGCACACACTCGCACGCACGCACACCGACTACAACAGGTTCGACTGTGAGTACCGTGGAATAACGCCTGAGTCCTCAGGAATGGCAACGCATGGGGGGTATCATGGGCGAAACAGTATATTGTGTTATGTCCATGGTACTGCTCATGTCTATAGGCGACGGTTACCATTTTCCATCAGGTGGGCCGTCAGCTTGTTTGCCATTCTATGTTGTATAAAAAAAAAACGCACGTACACCGAAAACAACAAGTTCCACTGAGAACTATTAGAAACTCATATTCATATTTACTCATTTTTTTATGCATTAGTTTGAGACGGAACTCAGATTGTCGAATTGATTTTATATATTTCAGACGAAGAGACTGGATGTAATATTGGCGAATACAAAGTGGCAATAACAAGGCGGTGGAATTATGAAAACACTGTCGCTGCATTCGTGTGTTACGTGGCAACAGGTGAGTACATAACAGATCACATTTAGTTTACATTTTGATCTTTATGAATCAATTTATCTTTTCACCTTCTCTTGAAAATGGGGACAATCCTCAGCATACTTTTTGACCTTCAAAATGAAATACACAGAACACCATTTTATAATGCATATAAGTTAAAAAATACACATGAAATTGCAGTTTCATGCCACTAATGTCATAATCTTAAATTATATAGATAAAACCTCGAGTCTTAAAAATGGTGCGAGAAAGGTAGTAGAAATAATAACACCAGAAGAAAACTAAACTCGTGTACTTGTTAACCGCGACTTGATTTATTCTATTCTTAGCTAGTTACAATATCTCTTTTATATTAACTACTAAGTGCTAATATGGGATATACTTGTATTACATAGATAAAGTGTCTCCATACAAATGCTTTGTGAAAAGTGTGTCAAATTTTTCATACAATTGTGCGTGATGAATAATTATAAATGTGTCATTTATAACTTCTATATTAATTTTTTTTTCTTTATTTGACCGTTTATCTTAAAATCCATATCTGAGGATCCTTATACATTTTAAATATGGTTCTGGTGTCAGATTTAATAAAAATGGCTGATATTTTTATTGTATTTGTTGCTTTCAAAATTAATATCTGAGGATTCGTGTACACTTCAAATGTGGATCCGACGTCAGAATTAATAGACAATTGTATGAAAAAGTTGATCCGTTTTTTTCGAAACATTTGTATTGAGACACTGAAGGTCATAACATAAATGTGTATTTAATTGGAGACCCGTTCCCCGGGTGCAGGGTCGTCCCCGTCGACGTGCCAGCTGTCGTTCCCGAGCGAGGAGGCGTGCCACTCGCACCGGGAGCTCGCCTCGCAGATGCGACGCGAGGACTTGGAAGCGGTACTCGAGTACGCGCTCAAGAAGCTGCTCAACGACACAAGGGAAGCGGAGTCCAGTCCCGCCGTTAAGATGAGAATATTCTATCAGGTACGTTCTGATTGGAAATTCTCATACATAATTAATAACTGAGTTTTCGTGATAAAATCATATATAAACTAGACTGTTCATTAGTCAAATAAGTTACGCCTAATATTTCCCACACGTATAATTATGTAAGACGAGTCTAACCCTTAAAAATCATCAGAATCGACGTCGTATTCACGATTTCGTAGTACACGCAAGTTTTAGTTATTTTTTTTTTATATTGTACTATACATACATACATACTATACATTGCCAAATTTGATCTTTTTTTTTTTTCTTTTTGTAATCGATAGTTTATCCATATGTTTATCGCATATTATGTGACGATTGACGCTTTTTGATCGCTATTTCGTATGCGTGGATTTCAGAAGTACGAAGAAAATCAGTGAAATAGACCTCAAGATACATCAAAAAAAAAAACAAATAAAAAAACACCAACTTTTAAGTTATATTTTCAGGAATATTGTCTGTGAAAACATACAGACAGACAAAATTTCTAATAACTGTGTTCCACAAAAAATCTACTTTAGTTGTGGCAAAACCAATTATTTAAAAAGAAAACAATAGAACCAATTTCGATAAAATTTCTTTGAGACCAATCTGTAAGTATATCTTTTAAATAAAAAAAAATCCAAATCGGTTTATAAATGACGGAGATGACGCATACAACGTTAAAAAATATAACTGAATTGAGAAACTTCTTTTTGATAATTGAAAACTATTGTTTTGGCATTTATTCGACTTGTAAACAGATCTCTTAAATTATTTTTTCTTAAATACTTTCCATGCACAGACATCGGCTAGTTACAATTTCATTACATTGTATGTGAGGTATAATGTATGTATAGTTGCGACGCACCATGTTGCGTTCCATTAAAAATGTATTGGTATAATGCAATAACAATACAACGTGGCAGGCGTGGAGCGCGCCGCCGGCGGCGCTGCTGGCGGCGGCGGCGGCGGCGGCGCGCCGGCGGCTGCGCGTGCGCGCGGCGGCCACGCTGGTGCCCGTGGCGGCGCTGCACAACGCCTTCACCTTCCTCTCCATCGGCGGCCTGCGGCTCGACGAGTGACCCGCAGGTAATGCCGCCGGACACCGGCCCCACAACGATTCACAATAATGGGCTCTAACAGCACCATTGCTATATCAATACTGATGTGGTATATCAGTCAGGTCGACTACCACGTGGTACCCCCTGGAAGCCATCGTGCTCAATTCTAATTGTATCCATCATGATGGGCTGACTGACCTGTCTTTTCACTCTCACCTATCATCCGTCACTGGTGCCCCGCCAGTGTATACCGCGGAGGCGGAGCACCATTCCATTACCATTTATAAAAACTGCTCCATTTCTAGCAATACAACCCTATCAGGTCGACCTCCACGCGGTACCCCCTGGAAATTGTCATGGCCATTTCTGGTGAAATTCTTTACGATGGGATTCTTTTCTTTCAGAAATCGACAAATTTTTTATATTGTTTCTGTTAGTGCAAACCTATAAGTGGCTTGTAGTTTTTTTTTTTTTTTTATATGTAAATAACATTAAAGTCTACAAATAAAAAAAAAATAATGCTTCTGAAATTGGTAGGATAAAAATGGCATTTTGTACAAATATTTTTATTACTATAGATAGATAGATAGATACACATTATTGTTTTCTCCATAAGATTACAGTAGTAGTATATTACTATAATTGTCACTTAAAACACTTTTACTCCGGAGCTAACGGGAAAATTCGTAGCATACTTTTTGTCACACTATACAGTTGCATTTCATTGTTTCCAGGTAACCTGCGCGAGAAATAAGAATACAGATGCTTTATTGCCAGTTTATATAATATATTTGCTGAATATTTTCAGTGTTTATAAAATTTTGTTAAATATTACGCTACCGAGTTTACCGTATTGTAAGTCAAATTATATAAATTATTTTTTATTGCACATTTGTGTTTCATTTAAAAAAAAAAAGGATAACAATTAAAAAAAGAAAACAAAGTTTAAATTAAATTTATTTTATTTTTTTTTACAAAATTGACCGAACAGTGCGAGATTTCTAGAACGTTTACACTTGCATTAAGTAGACATATAGTTATCATTATTCACTTACAAGTAAGTCTTAATCACCTGTGTCAATAAAGCAATGCGAATCGCGGCGTGGGACACACCGAACCAGTAGTGTACATCGTATAAAAGTTATAACATGATTTGATGTAATACATGTGGACATAAAATTTTTATCTTAAATTGTCACTAAGTAAATTACGATAATAAACCAAAGCACAACTATAAACTAAAAATGATACATTACAAGTAATCAGTATTCGATGACGTAATGATCATCGCCTGCACTTATTCATACGCTTCCAATACAATATGTATAATACAATATGTTTCGGGATGATTGCACACAGCAGTGGTTGAGAGACGATAGCGCGCAGAGATAATCACATGCAAGTACAGCGGGCAGCCCGTCCGACCGCCGCGCCCTCTACAGCCCGCTGGCCTGCCTGCCGGCCCACCATATCACCACCCCATCGACCCTGTACGGCGGCGGACGGGCTCGGATCTCGCCGCGCCCTGGAAGCCACCATTCAGCTCGCCCATACTTTAATACTATATTCGTAACACCGTACAATAAATAAATAATTTTCTCACCATGAAATAAAAGTAACTATACTCTGTGTTAAATTACATTTATATGTTCTTTTTATAATAAATCTATAACCATCGGGGTCCATACGCTTTCCAGAACGACAGTGATAAAATTAGCTATTTTATAAAGGTAGCCTATCAGTTTTGTACTTTGAAATTAAGTATGAAAAAATCACATGAAATGGAGCTGCTGAATTTCATTCATACAATTAAACTAAACAAAAAAAAACAAAAAAACCTTAACATATTCTATGTATATCGTGCAATTAATTAACATTATATAAAACGCTCGTCACATAAACGGAAACATATCGTCAGTCGCACCCAATTCATAAGTAAATTCATGATCGCCCGTCGCCAATGTCACTAGTGTTCTCTTGATGTGGACACATTCAATATTTCGTCTTTTATCTAACAACAATCTTCCTCGAATACGTGTAAAAAGGGGAACAAAAGGTTGTATACTGATGTATCCATGTAAAAAGTATAACTAATAAATAAATACCTTAATAAGCAACATTAACAATACTTTAATATTAAACTATATCAAAATAAAATGCGCACTGTATTCGAATCACACTTTCACATTTTATGATAGAACAATGACATAACAGAAATTTTCGAGTTAAAATCAAATGCATGATTAGGCAGATGTTTAAATATACACTATAATAATAATAATAATAAACATGTTCACTTTGTTAGATCGTTGATTCCCAGTATAGTATCAGTATAAACATCAATAGTTCACTATAATAATGTTTCAAAGTTCACTCGCGGCCGCCTCGCGTCGTCCGTCCCGTACTTGGTACTTAGAAAACAAAACTATTAATATTGAAAATAGAAAAATTGCCCAGCTACCCATATAGTGAAGTTAGTATAAGTTACTGTACATTATACATGTTAGTGACCTGCGATCTACAGCTATCTATCTAACCACTTTACGATGTTTATTATCATATAAATCGAACCGTCTACGTCCGCTAGAGATATACACAGTATGCATAACATTCCCACTGCGTCGGAACGATCGCGACCAACGTTTCAATGCGTACAAAACGAACAGTATGCAGCGAGAACATAAAGAGACAATACAACTAGTATCTCCTCACTATCCGATAACTTACATGTACATAGCCTACCGGTTAATCGTTATATTAATCAGATTTATGCAACAGTTTATACCTTATAACCGTATTACCGAAGCGAATAAGAGAATACAAACTAGTAACAGCTAGATATATTACACGGTCCAACTATACGGGGGGGGGGGGGGGGGGGGGGGGGGGGGGGGGGTCGTCCGCGCGCACCCGCGGCACTCAGTCGCCGAAGTCCATGCGCAGCGCCGCGACCGCGGCCGCCGCCTCGTCCGCGTCGGCCGCGTCGGTCGCGTCTGTCGCGTCGCCGGCGTCGTCCAGGTCGGCGGCGTCGTCCATGTGGTGGGGCGCGTGGCGCGAGCGGCCGTGGGCGGCGAGGTCGGCGAGGTCGGCGCCGCGCTGCCGCTGGCGGCTCTGCATGTACTGGCGGTGCGCGTACTTGTTGAAGCGCCGCTTGGCCATGAACAGCGTGGCGATGGTGCGCGGCGCCAGGCGCACGGCGGCCGCGCGCGACGTGATGCCGCCGCGCCGGCACTCGCCGCACGTGTAGTCCAGCACGTTGAGGCTCGACACCGTTTGCCTAACGCAGTCTGCGACAACGACAACATTGGACGCGTTACACGCGAGCCGCGCGGCCGACGCGGCGCGGCGCGAGCCTAGCTGCGGTAGCACTACGAGGCGCATGCATATCGGTCGTCTCGATTCACTTTATGTTATACTTTAACACTTACAAATATATAGGTCAACTGTATTTTTTTTTTATTGCAAAAACGCGGTACACCTGGCTATTAGGGGACGTTCAAATTCGTTTTATCTTTAATACGACCTTGAACATCCGGGGCGAAGTACACTTTCGGTAGGCTTATCCGCAGCTGGGCTCGACTGACATTCCACCTATAGCCGATAGATACAATACATGGGCACACACACAATCGCTCTCCTCGCGGGTCCCCTGTTGTTATTCACTAAGTTTCCAGCATCATCTACCGTCTAACGATGCACTCGTGTATACTGTGTATTTACATCATGCGCCACGTACACGGTCTCTAAACACAATCTAACAGAGACAAGCTTCCTATACATGTTCCTGGCTATATTGTACTGGTTCATATCAATATGTCCAATGTGCAGGCTTCGATCGGGTAATCAGTTCGTAAACGTGGCAAACAGTGATGCGTGATAAACAAATGCGGACAGAATATAAGCGAGGTAAGGCTAGATTGATATTTCGAGTGATAAATACTACTTATATAAAAAAAAAAAGTCTATGATAATGAAGTATATGTAACATGCAAGGTAATGGAAAACCGAGCAAAGCGCGTAAAATGTGAGGATTGCACTTTTTATTAACAGGCCCTGTGCAGATCTTTATTTCAATATTGGTAGTATTGCCAACATTTAAAATTAATAAAAAATACAGCCTCAGGGAAATCCAAGCAGGGAATTTTGAATATAGAACGGACAGGGAAATTATTTACAATGGGGCCTTATTTTGTATGTAAAAAGTATGTTTGAGAGTCTTAATCTATTGAAAATATTAACTCAAAAGGCTAAATATTATTTTTTTTCTAAATTTGTAAATATAATTTTTAAAACATTAACCCCATGTTAACAATTCAAATAGTGAAAAGCAGTAAAAATCAAATCATACTATTGTTATCGATTGATACAAAAATTTATCTATATGCCATTCTATATCCACATGCCATAATACAAGGGACGCTTCACTCCCAGAGTTGAAGCTAATCACAATATACAAAATATTTATAATTTGCGTTTAATTGATCAAATGATCAATGCATGTTTAGCTCAAACTCCGGTAGCGACAGCCATGAAGAGTTGAAAAAAAATACTGGCATATCGAGCGTAGAGTATTCTATTTTTAAATAATGCATTTATTATTAACAAATTTGTCATGTACAAAAGAAGCATAAAACCAAATTGAGATTGTAACACTAATATGTTTAGGCCAATATTCATTATCCTGTACAACCGTTTCTACTATCTTCTGTCTCCCTCATATCTAAATCAAAGTAGCTTGTAGAGTAAGATGTTAAACAACCACTAGTAATCTCTCTTCCACACAGCTGTGAAGTCGAAATAGAGAAATATTCTGTATATCAAGGTCACGTTTATTGGCTTAAAATATGTGTGACGTCACAATCCCAGTTTGGCTAGACACGAAACATGCCAGTATTCGTAAACAACTCGGTGGCAAGCGGTTGCTCTTGTTTTTGTTTGTTCGATGGCATGACGTACCTTGATGCAGTTGCCTATCGCAGAGCTTACAAATGACGAGCTGCATTGTCCCCTTGGGGCCGATGAAGGAGCGCTCGCACAGCGGGCAGTAGCGACCGATGCGATACGCCCTACACACGTACGTACGCACACACACATACGGACCGTACGCGCACAAGCACCGGAACACAGAAACACGCTATTAGTAATCAAAACGAGACACTGCACGGCGGACGGTCTCGCTCTACTCACGTCCCGTCCCGTCCCGGTCTCACACCTTATACGTTATTACTTCTCTTCTAGGCTCCTGTGTGTGTGTGTGTGTGTATGTGTATAAATGTGTGGAGAAAATAATGCAATATATGTAAAATGTTACACGAATATGTATGTCTAATTCTACGTGTTAAAAAAAAAGTTTAAATTTACTTGTAGAAACTCCTTTAAAAAGATATTAATATTTTCGATATTACCTATAGTTTATATAACATTTGAATAAATTATTGATATACATGGATATGAAGAAAAACAAATTTAAGTTATTTTTATTTATTTTAAGTATATTGTGTATTTCGTCATATAATATTATAATAATGTTATATGATCTAAGGGTTTACTCAATGTGTAACAAAAAAGGTACAACAATCCGAAATCTAACTGCATTATATATAATAGTGAACTTTCCTTATATATGAAAATATTTTTGATAACTTTTGAAAGTGTGAAAGATGATGACTTATGAAAGAATAAACAAAATATATTAATTCTTTCATCTTGCATGCAATTGAAAAATATAAAAATATTTCCTATGAAGTGACACAAACATAATTTTAACATGTTGACTGCCAACTACGAGATAACTCGGCAGAGTGCGTTCTTTTCTAGGACACCAACTACGAGTTATCTCGTCCTGTGTTTACTCGCCATTTATTTGTAGCTACGTTTAAACTCGGAATATATCAGTGCTAATATCGATTGATGGCTGCTGGGAAAATAACAAAAAAAAAAAATCAATACTGGCTTGAATTTTTTGAAAATTGGCATGAATAGAAAATTTATTAAAAAAAAAAACCAAATATACAATTATAAAAATTTATTAATTGTTTGTTTTTTTATGCTTTTTGATGATAACTATGCACTAGAATTAGAGTTTTTAATAATATAATGTGATTAAATCAAATTGTCATTTTAGGCCAGATTTTTTAAAATTGACGTATCAAATAATAATAATCCTGTATTTATCTATGTATATTTCATTCGATTCTCTTCCACTATTCAAGTGTTAATGTAAAACAAACACTCAGAAGTTTTCATAATTACCACTATTAAACTAGTAGGAGGTACTAGTAGAATTGCGACTAATGACCTTTGGAAGGAAAGCTAAGTCAGTTATTTTATTTTAAATTAATTTACCTTTTCATACCCTGTATATTAATTTGTTTATATATGTATATAGTTAAGGGACTTCAAAAAAGAAAACACCTACAATCTATAACGATTCTTTTTGCAAATATTCACTAGTTCTGAAGCGACTTTATTAATTTCGATAAGGTTTCACTCCCGTGTTAGTCCCATATTATCATAATTTAAGTAGCTATATATCCGGAAAAATCTCATTTTTATATAAAATATCCATTTGACTTGTTATTTTATTAGAATTACATTGCTTTAATGACTTAAACAAATAACCGGTGATGAACTTCCGCAAAATAATACCTATTCCAGTGAAATATATCTTATTTGAGTTACATGTGTGTAACTTCTCTAGACAAAAGTATAAAAAAATAAGTTTTCTATGTGTGTGTCATCAATTTGTATAAATGTTTACGCTACAGCACGCATAACAACAAAGTATTTAATATTGCTATCTCGTTTTATTAAAAAAAAGTAATTGTATGTTTTATACAATAACATGTGTATATTTGAGCCAGAAGACAAGTAATAAGACATATAATGTTAGTGAACGCATTTGGAAACAATATCGTTGTATTACGTCCGTGTTAGTCATAAGATGTGGCGATGGGTTATGGTTAGTCTCGGATATAAACTCCAATGATGAATGATGTCGACATCGATCGTCATTGATGGTACATTGAGGCGACAAATCCGTGATCGGAACAAAAAGCAAAGTACCCAAGGTATTAAAACTTATTACACGATCTCTCAGGGGCTGGAATGTCTCTATTGTTATACATTCATTTTTATTGTATTGTTTTGTAAAATCTTTATTGTACATAGTTTATATTGGGCACGTTAAAAGATTTAATATACTTATTGGCGGAGTGGCCTAGTTATGTCCATTTTTGAAACACTTTAACACGACTTTTCGAAAAAAAAATGTAGCAGTAAATTTCTTTATTTCCTTATATAGTACAATTCGTTAAATGCACTTTACTGACCAATCCTTAGTAGTATAGCTAGCTTGAATAACATTGGAACAATAAAAACTAAAAAAAAACTGTAAATATAGTAAAGGTCATTAAAGAAAAAAAATATATCTCGAATTAATGAAATTTTCATACGATTTCTACAACCTCTAGTCTGTTACCAAATTGATAATATTCTTGTTAAACAATTTATTTGATGTAAAAAAAAAAAGTTTAAAATAAAATATCTAATGTCACTATTTACTATCGTTATATCATTAAAAATAATACACATATAGAGAAATAACACCTGAGTCCTCAGGAATGGCAACACATGGGGGGTATCATGGGCGAACAGTATACTCTGTTATGTCCATGGTACTGTTCATGTCTATAGGTGACGGTTATCGCTTTCCATCAGGTGGGCCGTCAGCTTGTTTGCCATTAAAAGTTGCATAAAAAAAAGAAAACAAAATAGACTCGGTAACAAAAAATGCAATAGCGCGAGTATTCCAGCCCCTTTCGATATTAATTGAGTAATACCAACTATCTAAATGTATTGAATTAGTTTAAATTAATCAAGTATATGAATAAAATTATCAAAAGAGGAACAGTAAAGTTTGGTTATACGGAAATACAGGGCAATAGCCGGTGCTGTTTATAATACATATTGGTGCTGTAGAATTACTTCGACAGAGTTACTGAGAAGAAAGCCCTCAACCCGAGCAGTGAAGGCTCACTGTCCACTTTGCTGTTCTGTTCTAATGAAGATTGTTTGCTCACAACATTCACAGTTCGGTTACAAATTAATATATTTAGTATTAGTCGAAGACATTTGAGCAAACAGCCATCACATAGGTGTAGGATAAAAAAGACTTACATTATCATGGGATATGGTAGCATGCAACTTATCGTTAAGGGGGTGTGCTGAGTAAGAACGCTTTGGGGCATAGAGTAAACATTCTGCGGGGGCCAAAATGCTACGAGATACCAGAGACAAAGCGGATGTCGACAGAGTGAAGGCAGACGTCGAGACACAATGATCAGCTCGTGTTAGTCCACATAGAACACGCATATGAGATGACGTGAGTGTACAATTACTACCAAGACCAATTACTTAAACAAATGACACATAAATCATCGAAAAGACTTTGTAAAAAGTTTGTACTTTTCATCTGCGTCCATCGCTATATATTCTTCTTTATGGATCTAAACGTGTTCACGTTTTGACGTGGCCCCTCTTGGATTTACTTGAAAACAATACGGAATATCACGTTTAATATGTTTGTTCGTTGATTCCGTACGTCGCTGCTAAGCCATGATTAGAGTACCTTCACTTCAATATTAATGTTTTGTCGCTTTCTCTCATAGATGGCAGCTAAATAGTATATTACAATTGATTCTTCACTTTGAACTCTATGTTGCATCAATTAAATAATACATTTATGTGAAAAATGTTATCATATTTATTTCAACACTATAGTGAAGAATCCAATGTGGAATAGACATGATAATAAAAATATTTCATTTTTTTATTTGTATAACAAATTATATTATGTACTCTGTCCTCAGCCTGAACATAAAATCTTCTAGGGGATTTTGAATTTGCTAAATACATGATAGTCATTATACCACTTTTAAAGAAATACCTATTGTCATTTACTGTAACATTATAGATGTTATAAAAAAAATGCAAGTATTTTAGAAAGGTGGTATACAGACAAATTTCCTTCTAAATATATATTTAAAAATTGAAAAAAAAAAAAACTAGCAGCGTGAGAGATTTCTCTGTATGCTTAAAAATTACGCAATTAAATTTACCCACATTCTAGAAATTTAAATTTGTACTGTAAATTGATTTTATTATGGTTGGCAAAATAAAACCTACTTCAAACATACTGCTAAACTTTATGTCCTTCATAATTAAGGACATTTTTCAACTGCCGTACCTAGATATTTAGATCAACACTAATACGGTTTATTTTCCATTTGAATTTAATGATCGAAATGCTGAAGGCTGTCTGTATTTCTATCACAACATTTATGATGATAATAAATAAATTGACATAAACCTTAAATTTACTGGGTACAGAGGAATAACACCTGACTCCTCAGGAATGGCAACGCATGAGTGGTATCATGGGCGAAACAGTATACTCTGTTATATCCATGGTACTGCTCATGTCTGTAGGCGACGGTTACCACTTTCCATCAGGTGGGCCGTCAGCTTGTTTGCCATTCTAAGTTGCATAAAAAAAATACCCTACAATTATTAAAATCCAATCATAACCTTTGATTTGTTACTTCTTTGGCCCTTCTAAAGTGCCAATTATTACTGTCTTCAACATTCACAAACGAATGGTAACTTTGTAATTTTACATATCTAGAACTGGGCGTATCTGTACAAATATTAAATTTATACACAATTTGTATGGTTGTAATTTAAATTCTTTATAACAAATGTATAATGTGGAAACATCTTTCACGCTGCTTGTTATTTTTGGATGATAAAAGTATATCAATGTTTAGTTAGACATGTAACTATAATATGATAAGTACAAGATATATATATATATATATATATATATATATATATATATATATATATATATATATATATATATATATATATATATATAAACAACCTCACTATAAGCTACATTCTTTATGTTTTATTTATTTTACTCAGCTTTTATCCAAACCTGTATTTTTATACTCCTTTTTCCTCTATAAGCAACTTTTCCCAATAAGAAACTTTTTTATTGAAAGTGGTTCAAATAAGTCGCTCATATAGAGTGTTTCACTGTACATATAAAAATACATATTTTTTCAAAATCGTATGAACGATGATGATCTTATAAACATTGATCTACTTTTATTATAATGTCAGTAAATTTCTAAAAAGTTGCGCAAGGGAATCTAATTTAGTTTCTACTGCAGCATCTATTTTAATTAGAAACTTATTCATAATCAAAATACAACGTCCACGTTTAATTTTGATATTTAACAGTATTGAAATAAATTCTACCACATCTTACTGTCTGTCTGTTATTTCTGCCTAACCCATTAAATAAATACTGCATGTCAGATAAATATTGGAATTATTCTTCGGTAAGCAAAAACTACTAAGGTATGCAGAGTAGTACGTAGGAGTACAGAGTATATCGTTATATGAAGAAGGCGTGTTCCCCGGCGCAACGTGTGCAGGGCGCGGCCGGCGCCGGTACCGACCTGGCGCAGGGCGTGCACAGCGAGTGCGAGTACAGCTTGTGTCCGCCCGGCCCGCGCCGCGTCTGGTGGTGCCACTCCGCTTCCGCGCCCGCGCCCGCGCCCGCGCCCGCCGCCGCCGCCGCCCCCGCGCCCGCCGGGTCCCGCGCGCCGCACGACTTACAGATGGCGCACTCGGAACAGTGCCACCGTCCTGCAAATTGCGAATGGCATATTTATTAAAACATTTTCAATCACCAGTCAGCCAGATACACGTCGCACATGTTTCCTCGTTATTTCATTTAATTTCCTTGCTGTGACTTCTTTTTTGTTGGTTACAACATATTAATATAGAAATGTCACCGCCGTTGGTTTGTGTTGATATTATTTAAATTAATGTGCAAAAATTAATCTCTTATTTGACTAAAGACTGATATTGAATGACTCGTGTATTTAAATTTCACTCTGCTACGTCACCGCCCCACTCCACTTCGAGCGACACTTCTATGCGCTAGAGAGCAGACTTGCATTGACTTCCTAGTAGCACAGTAGAAAAGACCAATATAAAATAATATTGGAGAACTTGTTTTATTGATTCAAAGCCCAATTTCTCATAGTTTGTCTCTGTACTTGTAAGGTAAAATTCATCCATATAATACAAATACGTCACGACAAAGTTATTCCGCGCTAACCTGAGGGCGGCGCGTCGCGGCCGATGCAGGTCGCGTGGTAAGAACGATCGCACAGCTCGCAGCACACGAGAGGGGTGTCCGCGGCGGCTGAGGGAACAGCGGGTCGACCACACACGCCGCACACCTTGCAGCTCTGGCACTGCCACGCATACTCGCGGGCGCGGCGCGCGCTAGCGGCGGCCAGTTGCACGCATGCCGCGTGTTCTGTGCATATACAAATTTTTAATTTAAAAATGGAACAAAACAGTGAAATTTTTAAATTAAGATTATTTGTTCCATTCTGCAAGATAAAGGAATCAAATTACAGAGTCATATTTTTTACGAACAAGGCATATCTAATATATAATATAAAATGTGAATAATAATTTAAATATTATTAACATATTTCTAACTTGGCGTAACATATGGGCCTGCCATACCTAGCAAAATGGCCCTTTACAGGCTACAAAAAGAAATGTTATTTAATACAAAAAATACGAAAAATTGTTATAATAATTTTTTATTACAGGCTACTTTAAAAAAAAATGGTGTATTTTAAACATGAATATTTTAATCAAAGTTTGGTAACAAAGATAAAAACAAAAAATTCAATGTCCATTTATTTATTGGAAAACCAACATCTTACAATTTATAGTTTAAAATAACTGATCCATATAAAAATGCCAATAACAGATTTTCACTGACTTAACGATATCAATTTGTCGTGGCTGGAGTAATTTTTACATTTAGAAGGAATGTCCAATAAAAATCATCTAATAAAGAAAAAGAGAGAGAGAGAGTGACTCACGTTTAGAATTACATGTGGCGCAGACGAGGAACCTCTCGTGCGTGTACTTGCGGTTGGCCTCGAGCCGCAGCTTGCACACGCGGCACGTCTCCTCGTCCTCGCGCGCCTCCTCCTTCACCGATACCTCTTTTTCCTTGTCTTTGCTGTCTATTTGACTGCTTCGCTTCACCTTCGTTAGTTTTTTCCGCTGAAGTGTAATAGGAACTTATTATGTACTAGCTGTTTCGCCTTTGTGAATTACTACATAAAGTATTCTATCCATTTGTTAAGATGTAACCTATTTATGTACCAAATCTCATTTAAATTTGTTCAGCAGTTTTTGTATAAAATGTAATAAACATTCATAGTTACAAACTTATGCATTTATAATATTAATAGAATAAAATACAGATTGCTGCAGGTTCTCTTACAAAGTCTCAACGATCCACATTTTGATATTTGGTTAATAGATGTTTATTTGTTCAGGCTCTATACATAATATTAGTGGGAATTAATTAATGATATAAGAATGGCCCAGGGAAGAGTTATAGGATACGAGGTGGACTATCAGCTGGTCATCAGCGTGATCGGACGATATTAACAAAGTAGTTGACGAGAGATGGATGACATTGGCACAAGATAAGTTAGGTGGTAGATCTCGTTTGATTAAAAAAAAAAACTTATAAAAGACTTGCAACCACATTGCACCAATTTAATGTCTAAAAATTAATTTACTATTGATTGTATTATTTGTTACGTCGGCTCATGTGACTTATGAAATTGGTGGATTAAGAATTCATGAACTGAAGATATATCTATTAAAAATCTTTTGTGATAATGTGATTTCTGAGAATGGACCATCCATTCAGTCAGCATTTCTTAGGTTTTGGATTCGATATAACAGTAATATATAAGGTAGTAATATTTTTTTTTGTATAGGTTATAATGATATGGTAACCCCGTCTGCACTTGGTAACCACTCACCATCAGGAAGGCCGTATGCTTGTTTGCCACATCAGTGGTATAAAAAAAAACACTGGTGGGGCACCAGTGATAGATGACGGACGAGGATAAAAGCAGGTCAGATAGCCCATCCTGATGAATTAAACTAGAATTAGCCACGATGGTTTCCAGAGGGGAAGGAGTAATAGTGGGAAGACGCCTAAATTCGGGAGAGGGTAGTTGTGAGCTGATAAGGTGACGATTGATGATGTAATTGGCTAGTCGTGGGCCGGCGTACCTTGGCGGCGTGATGCGCGTGATGCGGCTGCGGACGCGAGTCCGAGTCGTCGCTGGAGCTGCGCTCGGGCCAGTCGCCGTCGTCGTCGGAGCTGGCGGCCGCCGCGCGGCTGCCGGCGGCCGGCGCCGGCGGCGGCGGCGCGGACAGCGCCGTGTTCAGCGGGAAGTACCTGCACACAGCAACGCAACATAATAATTTCGTAAAGTGACAGCATACAGTTACGTAGTAACGTAGACACTGTAGTGTCAACCTAAAATTGTTCGTAAGAAATGATTGTTAGTAGATAGCAATGGGGAGGGTAGCAATGGAATGACCTTTTACTTCGAAACATGGCTACCAAGGAGGTAACTAATAAAAGGTTTTATTTAAATTTCGAACTGGCTTGCAAAAAGAAAGCTGTTTATTGAAAAAAAAACAAAGGAACATTATGGCGCGTGAAAAATTATTATTGTTCGTTATTCGTCATTTAACTAAAAAGTAAAATTGTGTTTTTGATTTCTGCGCATTGTTTGAGAAAAGTACTATACAAGCCTTGGCCACAACTAGGTATTAATGGACTCACGTTCGCACGTTCGTCCATCAATGCCTCAGTTGCTGGCCGCTGCAGTAATGTACTATTAGTTTAATTTCAAAATTTAAAGGAGGGGTAAAACGAGCGCTACTCACCGCAACTGGTCCGGCGTGTAGACCCTGTACGAGTGCTGGTACTGGCCGGGCAGCAGTGCGTGCGGGTAGAAGCCGGCGGGCGGACGCACGCGCACGACAGGTGGCGCTGCCGGCGGCGGGCGGCGGCGCTGCACGGCCAGCGACTGCAGGTCGGCGCACGCGGGCCGCCGCAGCGCGTTCAGCCGCGCGTTCCACTCGCTCGCCGACGCTATCGCCGCCGCCGCCATGTCCTGCCGCAACCACCACTCCAACTTATACGACCGTGCAACTTTTTACTCCTACACCACTTGTACGCTTCAAACTCTAAATTATTTAAACAAATTTTGTATATGTATATATATACTAGCTGACTTGGCAAACGTTGTGTTACCATATACATTATTTCAAGAACTATACATAAAATTCATCGTACTACAATTATTATATTCGATTGTCATCTTGCAATCCTATTGCGCAATATAAAAATTGCGATTAAAAAACAGGAGTTGATCGTAAAAGCGTGGAAATTTGTAACTGTATGTATTTTTTAATGCTAAGTCATAATAAAATAAAAATAAAAAAAATTACAAAAAAATAAAAAAAAATATTTAGGGGTGGGTCACTCTTATCATTACGGGGTATGAAAAATAGATGTTGGCCGATTCTCAGACCTACCCAATATGCACACAAAATTTCATAAAAATCGGTAAAGGCGTTTCGGAGGAGTTTGGTAACAAACACCGCGACACGAGAATGTTATATATTAGATTTATTTACTTGTATAATTTTTAGCTAAAGGAACTTTAAAGCATCTATTTTTTAAATACCCCAAGTTGACGCTTCCCCTTTATGACTTGTTGCCTCGTAGCCTTCCATGTCCCGAAAATATTCCATTCCTTCTTACACTCACACACTAAGGATCACGAATTGATTCCGAAACTAGTCAAATTTTTCCGACTTAATTACACGTAAATTAAACCGGTAATTATTAAATTAAAAACAATAAAGAGTTTTATCATTCAATCGTCTTTAGGTTAGTTCAACATTATAATGTTTATCGCAGTTTGTTCTCAGTCCAAACTGGATCTGTTAAGGCATAATCAGATAATACCTCTTCAAAATTGTGATTGGAACAGAACTGTGACCAAACTTAGGAATAAAAATAGATTAGTAAAACTACAAACCTGTCTCGTCTTCTCAGGATCGACTTTAGGTGGTTCAGGTTTCTCGGCCGGTTTCGATTCTATTTTTACATCCACCTTCTCAGACTTCTCTTCTGTACTTTCTTTCTTGACATCTTCAACTAGCAACTCAGTATTGGTCAACTGCTTCTCCCGCTGGTGGGACCGATACTCCTCATACTTGTGAGGGTAATCGGACAGCATTATGTCTAGCACCTCACTGGCATCCACGGCCGTTATACCTATTAATATTATTTTTATATAGAATGTAATATTTATACAAATTTAATTAATGGATATTTGTAAGTTGATTAACTATCGAATTGAGAATGTCTTTTTATGCAACTTAGAATGGCAAACAAACTGACGGCCCACCTGATTTAAAGTGGTGACCGTCGTCTATAGACATAAGCAGTAATGGACAAAACAGAGTATACTGCTTCACCCATGATACCCCCCATGTGTTTCCATTCCTGAGGACTCAGGTGTGATTCCTCTGTACCCTGTATATTCACTGCCATATCCCACCCTTCAAACCGAAATACAGCCATGCAAACACAACTGCTTTACGGTAGAAACACGAATGAGACAGAGGTGCCCAAGCAAACGACTTTCGTACAAAGTCTCCCTCTAATTTGATTCTGTAATAAATTATAAATTTACGAAGTAAACAATAAAATTAATTATTTATTATAACTAAGTAGATACATAAGCAATATTATATATATTCATAGTGCTGCAAAACTGGTTTGCAGTTTGCCTGCAGTTCTGCGCTCTTTATACATTTAGGTACATGCATACTCTTACATATTGTTATTTTTTTTCTTATAAATTATTAATATTTAAAATTTGTGTTATTATATAATCCCGTGTTCTCGGATGTTTAATTACAAATTATCTATTATAAATAATTACATATATATATATATATATATTGAGACTCTAATTCACTTCCTAAACGGTGAGCCTAGTAACTACATAGATGCCAAACTCACTAAGATCAGGAAAATCGAATAAAAAAAAAAGTGATTCTTACTAACGGGAGCCTGAAAGCCCCATTCCATTGCTAGTACATATTCCCCCCTGGAAACCTTCGTGATTGATTCCCGATGTATTCGTCATGATGGGCTAATTAATTTGACTTCATCCTCACCTATCATCGTTCACCGGTGTCAGCGCAGGCGGACTGACACTGAGAACTCACCGAGATCGCAGAGCGCGTCGGTGACGAGTCCCCTGGCGAGCACGTACTCCCGCTCGTCGCCGACGATGGTCCGCCGCTTCAGTTCCGGGTAGCGCCGCTTGAAGCTCTTCACGCCCAGGAACATTGCCACCTGCTCTTGGATCATCATCACCTGCAACATTAATGATAATGATGATTCCTCAAGTACCGTTACAAACTGTGAATTAAAGATATTTTGTATGCAATACGAAAGGGCAAATAAGCTGATGACCCATTTGACGTAAATTGGTAACTATCGCTTATCGACATGATGATAAACGTTCATGCTCAATTTTTTACTTTATCCGAGCAGTAAGTACTTTATATTATTCTCAACTTCATGTATAGTATAGTATATGTTATATATGTGTAAGTATATTTGTTATTTATTTATTTATAGGATTACCAACATAAGATACAGCTAAACATTACAATACACTGGTAGATTAAATCTAACTGTTCTTACATTTATAGGCAACCACAGCATGCCTTGTGTTTGATAAACATTAAAATAGAATTAAATTATATATATACACCTATCCCCCGATTTACACGGTACTTGTTTTACACGTTTTCGCTTTTACACGGTTTTCCAAATAAGTTTTTTTTGTTTTTATCGCACTCTACTAAATGCTACTGTGTTTGAACACGTGCGCTGTGTACACATATCACGGGGAATCCCGAGCTTATATGCTGACTTGCTGCACATGCACACTGTGTCTGTATTTCTTCGCATAAAATTAAAGTTTTATCTACGGAAAATTGTATTTGAGTGAAAGTTTCACAGTGTCAGAAAGATTTAATTTTTCATATTCGTAAATTACAAGTGAGTGCATAATTAAGATTTTTATAAATTAACATAAAAAAAAAAAAAAAAAATATAGGCTTATAATGTCGAAAGAAGTTAAAATAAAAGTTATTTCTTTAGAAACTAAAATCGAAATTTTGGATCGCTTTGGATCGTTTAATGTATTGTAATTAAATAAAAAAACAGTGTTTCCGTAATATATTACATATTTTAACTTGTCAATGCATTTTATTCTTATTTCTGTGTACACCTAAAAATATTGAAAAAAATCACAACTGTTAAATAGTAAAATTATGCATTTTCTGCAAGCTTTTCGATTTACACGGTTTTGACTTGAAAATTTTTAATTTTCGATTTACACGTTTTTCTCAGGAACGTATCTACCGTGTAAATCGGGGGATAGGTGTGTATATATATATAGAATTAAAATATGTAATTTTAGTATGTATGTATATCAATAATTAGTAGTACCGCATTCGAGTATTCTGACACTTCCCTATAGTTGACTGGGAGCCATCTACACATATATGCACTAATGAATAAATAAAATAAAAAATACAGCATCTGCCTTACTATTGTACAGCATAATTCCTAAGGTTTAAAGGAGAGGTGCTCGTGATCGACTGTTTGACCCTACCGAGACGACAATCCTGCATCACACTTGCAGCCTCTCAGAGTCGACCGATTGTAGTCTAACAATGTTGAGGTAGATCGCCAGTAGTACAAATTTGAGCACCTCTAGATTCAAATGTTATTCCTTCGTACCCCAGAATACGTCTGCCATATCCCACCTTTCAAACCGAAACAAAGCAACAAGAGACTGGCACTTGGCAACAGAAATACGAGTGGTACATAGGAAACTTTTCAACCTACTTCAAAAACAAGAGGGTAGTAAATAATACTTCATAACTCCGTCAATTGTAAACAGATGTGTTTTTTTTTTTGGAAAGGATTTTTCCAATAAAATTTAGAGAAGACTATAAAAAATAAATCGAATAAATACATGTAAATTTTTTTGTATATGTTTTGTTTTTTTTTTATTATGTACCAATATCTGTTGTTATTTATGTGCTGTAAGTAATGCAAATAAATTACATATCTATCTATCACTGTTATGTACTGACTCTCTAAATAAAGTGACACAATTTGTGTGATGTGGGACAATAAGTGGGTAGAAGAAAAAACTTCAGCCTCGGATGCGGAGATACGTCAGCGCTACATCAATATAGTCGTGACCACGGCCGGTGTAATCTGGTCAAAACGTCGAGATAATTCAGGTAAATTATTATAGTTTAACTAAATGACCGCATCAATTTCAGTTTCTTATAAACCATAAACTACAAAGATATTAAAATTTACACACAATGTGACCGATTCTAAAATACCATTTCTCTAAATTTATATATTTATTATGTATAGGTATATTAATATGTATGTTTATATTAGTCTATTTATATGTTTATAATATATGAATATATTGAGTATTAGTTTTTATATTCCCTAAATTCAATCATGCACTGTCTACTTATTTCTAGGTTTGACTAATGGTTGACTGGTAGAGAACACCGTCCGGTGTAAAGTCCACCGTACATAGTTTCACTGTGCATGAAAGTTTAAATAAATAAATAAATTTTTATTGGATAATTTCGAGAAATTACTGTTATGAATGAATATCATGATGAATAGTTGTTTATAATATTATAATAATTATATTATTATTATTATTTTATAATAATTATTATAAACAACATTATAAAATTAGTTCATATTGGTCCCTTACAATAAAACTTCGTCGAGCTTATCAAATTGAAATTTTGCTTTTCGAGATAGGTTTAAAGAAACGGCGCCTCAGAATCGACCCCAATGTCTACCCTCATAGACAAATATCATAATATTGAAAATAATAATCATATAATAAAGTAAGCAGTAACTGTATATTTGCTCAACTACTCACCTTTTTATTCGCAGTCAATATCACTCAATTAAAATCTTGTTAGAATATTAAACAATTAATTATCAGTCCTATTAAACAATTATCTTAAACTCATATAAGGTTAACATTTTGTAACTGTGTTTACTCTTATTTATTTATTAGTACATACATGTGTACATGGCGGACTTAATGCTAAAAGCATTCTCTCCCAATCAATCATAGGGAAGTGTCAGAATACTCGAAAGCGATACAAGTTATAATTGATATATATACCTACCAAAATCTACATATATAAACAAATAAATATAATAAACGACAAATATATTTACACATATATAAGATATACTATATAATACATAAAGATGACAATACTTATACCCTGTGTTATAATACTATGTCATTAAATGTCAATTAAAATCGTCTGGCCCATATGATTTGTAAAAAAATTATTCCTTAAGAATTTAACGTAACAGTTTCATTAGTATTTATATAAACTATATATTTTGATGTCTGATAAATACTACCTACAAAAATTTGCATGATATCGAATATGGCTAATGTGGGGAAACATACTGAATTATAAAAAAAAGTGTAACATTTTATTATACAGACTATATTTCTGGCAAATAAATTATTGTAATTTTATCAAATTAATTCATTTATCATAAGAACAGACCAGAGGGAGACTTTGTACAAAAGTCGATTACTTGGGTACCTCTGTGCCATTCGTGTTTCAACCGTGAAGCAGCTGTGTTTGCATGGCTGTGTTTCGGTTTGAAGGGTGGGATATGGAGCGAATTTACTGGGTACAGAGGAATAACACCAGAGTCCTCAGGAACGGCAACGCATGGGGGGTATCATGGGCGAAACAGTATACTCTGTTATGTCCATGGTACTGCGTATGTCTATAGGCGACGGTTACCACTTTCCATCAGATGGGCCGTCAGCTTGTTTGCCATTCTAAGTTGTAAAAAAAAAGATCATTTAATAGCTACAAAAGAATAAATTTTAAATAATGTTATAGACCTTTGAAAATGTAACACAATGAAACCAGTCAGGTATAATACAAAAATAAAAATTTATAGTTTTCATAATGATAATAGAATAAAATTTTGTGTTTTAATCTACATATAAATTTTTGTATATAAACTTATACATCAATCATTGAAGTGCCTATTGAATTTTTTTATTTTACACTAGTTCTATTTCATAGCTTCGCCCGCGGAAATCAGTACATATTCTTTACGTGTGACCGCCATGTACACATACATGTACTAATGAAAAAAATAAGTAAAAAATATTAAACATCCATCCAGAGTTTCAAATAGTTTCATCGCTTCGGATTTATTATATGGATAAGTTTCAATCTGTATTTATGTTACTGTATTTCACTTGAATTATTCACTTGTCATTTTGTATTTTTATTTATGGTGCAATAAAGAGTTAAATAAATAAATAAATAAATATAAGTATTGGATGGATTAGTTAGTACTTAATTAGTCTCCATTGCTAACAATCCCCCCCTCCCTCCCCATTAACACATGTGTATCGTCATTAACCTTCAGACGGTTGCGGGTTCCATCAGCGCAAAATACAAACATTTGTATTCAAAAGTACATCAGCTTGTATTAGTTTGGGTGTTTTCTATGTAGATATATGGTATGTATGAAATTGTATAACTTTTGTATGAGAATGTGAATCTTAGATTATTTTAATATTAAGATTAATTCTCTAGATGGAACATTAATTTCCAGATTATAAATAGAAGTAATTTGATGTCTAAATTGGAAACGAATTACCTATTTCCAGCAGTTGAGAGATAAAATAGTTATGGTGAAATAATTTAATATTACGTAATAAAAAAAAAAAATACCATTTTCAATCATAGCAAAACCAGTTATTTTTGATTTAACAACACAACTACTAAACCGATTGCCAAAATTCTGAGGCAAAATAAAAAAAAAAATACAACCAAATTGAGGACATTCTACTTTTTTGAAGTCATTTGAAAAAGCACAAGCGGAAGCAAAAAGTGTAACATAATTAGAAATTATATTTCCAAATAATATATATGCGACGTTTAATAAAACAAATTAAACTCACCTGTGGTTCCTCATTGGCTTTTTCGGGATCAGGCCACATATACTCTTTCACATCGGCGGCCGTCCACACTTTATTACTGTAACAAACACAACACATTCATGTTTTACTTTAACCAATACACTGTAAGTCAATTATCAATAGATAGAGCGACGACCCTACATATATTATAGTTACAGGTGACTTGAGATGACTTGAGATAACCCACCTACATTTAGGGGGGAAAGGGATTGTTAGTAATGGAGACTGAGAATCCCATTGCTAACAATATATCCAACCAGGTTGACCTCCTCGCGGTTCCCCCTGGAAACTATCATGGTTAATTCCTGATGAATTCATCATGATGGGCTGACTGGCCTGTTTTCATTCTCATCAATCACCCTTCACTGGTGCTCCGCTAGCGTATCCCGTTAGCGCAGGTGGGGTTACCATTCCATTTTCACCCATAAAAAAAAAACCCCCACCTACATTAGTTGACTCCCTTCCTTATAGAATGTAATAAGGGAATCTAGAGTTGGTGTATTAACAATGGTTTATGTTTACCAATGAGCATTGTATTACAGTTATGATCAGAAACTGTTACCAAGTTTTTTTTTTATACCATATGAGCCGTTTACTGTCCACTGTTGAACGTAGAGCTCTTATTGGGAGATTTTACCAGTAGTTGCCACACTTGGCAGGCAGGTTGGCAACCGCAGTTAGGCTTTGATGGTACTGTAAAAAGGCCACTGCTGCCCATTCCTAACAATTAAATACTTTTAATCGCCTCTTACGATACCTACGGGAAAGGAAGGCATGGCCCATTCTATGCCGGGACCACACGGCTAAATTTATGTTACTGAACAGTGGCCGACTGTAGAACATCTACTATGCAGAAATAGGCAACTAAATGATGTTTCTATTGACGATTATAACTTCAACATGGAAAGAGACCTTGAAGAGTGTGAAAAAGTGTTTTATTTGCACACACACCCACATTCAAATTGAAATCTTTTTTATGGAAATTAACTTGTTTACAAGCTCTTTTAAATCTTCTTTTTTTTAATTCTACAGCTGGGAATGTTGTTATCTGTTACTCAACAATAATTATAACAAAAAAAATTTTTTTTAATTTCAATTGGAATAGGAAAACACGCTGCCGATCCACCTGATGGAAAGTGGTCATGGATTTCACGATCATGGTACATTTTGATTAAAACAGTATTGCACATATAAAAAATTGGTGTTAATGCAATATGGCTTTACTGCTGAAAACAATGTTTCCAGGCAACATTTGGATGATAATGTCGGAAGAGAAAGGTAACAGAATAATGTAGGTATTTAGATTATTGACATCCGCGTGATATTGTTTTTATATGTCAGATTTTATATATCAATTAAGTTAACTTTATGGACACTCACTAATATATATGGTTTCTTTCATACATGTGCTTATATTACTTGCATACACTCACTCTAACTTGCCTACCTCGCTTTGGAATCAAAATTTTTGTTTGTATAAATAAAATCCGTTATTGGCTGTATTCATAAGAGACTTAGCATGTAAGTTATTTTTTAAGAGCTGTGGATTTTTGTATAAAATAAAATAAAAAAATAAAAAAAAAAGTGAGGCAGATGGCCATAACTACAGTAACTTCTAATAATCTAACGTCTCTAACGTAAATTGCTAACTTTGGCGCCTTTTATAAAGATACATTACATTTTAAAATATACAGCTCATTATATTATTGTTTATTAAATATTACTTATTATAATGAAGAGTTGACGTCAGGCAGCATTTACCAGAGGGAGACTTAGTACAAAAGTCGATTGCTTGGGCACCTCTGTCCCATTCGTGTTTCTACCGTGAAGCAGTTGTGTTTGCATGGCTGTGTTTCGGTTTAAAGGGTAGGATATGGCGTGAATTTACAGGGTACAGAGGAATAACATCCGAGTCCTTAGGAATGGCAACGCATGGGAGGTATTATGGGCGAAACAGTATACTCTGTTACGTCCATGGTACTGCTCATGTCTATAGGCGACGGTTACCACTTTCCATCGGGTGGGCCGTCAGCTTATTTGCCATTTTAAGTAGCATAAAAAAAGGCAGGCGGCTGATCGTAAAACTAGCTGGCGGAGCACCAGTGAAGGGTGATAGATGAGAATGAAAACAGGCCAGTTAGCCCATCATGATGAATTCATCAGGAATTAACCATGATAGTTTTCAGGGAGAACCGCAAGGAGGTCGACAATATATAAAAGCATATTAGGTCAACCATAATTAATTGAGATAAGGGCAGGAAGATGGTACCACTTTAATGTAAAAAAAAAAAAAAACTTACCTATCAAACAAATCAGCAAACTTGGACTTCTTCATTTTGCTGCTCTCGTTTGTTGAACTCTTGACTGAACTCTGTGAATCCTCATCGAGCAAATGTGAAGGCCTGCAAATAATATTGAAACAAGTATTTATATAATTTACAATATGTATATTTAAATTAAGAATTGATAATTCAAGAGTTATTCAGATGACTGTACTGCAACTCACTTGGCGGGCGTGGCGTTGTCGTCCATCATACACGTCTCCTCTTCAAATAGCTGGACAGTGGTCGTGGCCGGGCCACATACCCGCCCATATATACCCAGTGTTTCCTAGAAAACAGAAAATAGATTTATTTTCTTCAAGAATACCAAAGGAGGATTTTAGTTGTACCTATGATAGGTACTCATGTTTTTCTTTTTCATTTTTATACCACAAAGGTGGCAAACAAGCATACAGCCCGTTTAATGGTAAACGGTCACTGTAGCCTATGGATGCCTGTAACACTAGGGGTGTCACGTGCTCATTGGCGATCCTAAAGAAACCTTAATACATCCTTTTTGAAGAACCTCATATTGTAGTCTCTAGGGAAAAACTAGGCAGGGAGCTCATTACACAGCCTGAGCGTTCGCGGGAGAAAATCCCTTTGAAACCGCACTGTACGTGACCATTTAGATTTATGCGTGTCATGATCATGGGTACCTCTCGTGTTCTAGCCATTGAATGCTATATATATAATATGCTATATAATGTATCTTTGTTTCAGTTTGAAAGATGTGTTCAGTTTAAAAAAAAAGCATAAACTGAATTTAGTATCAAGAAAGATAATAGAGAATCTTATTTTTTGAAGTCTTTGAATAATATAGGACGCCTTTATTAAAAAAAAAAAAAAAAGGGGGAAACCCAGAAGAAGAAGTTTCACTGCATTTGTTGCTGTATCTGCTTATCATCGGGCTTGGCGTATGTTTATTTATTACCTAAGTAATATTAAAAAAAATACTCTACGGTCAATGATCGCACATTTCGACGCATCAGCGATATTTCGCGACACACGTAGTTAATTTTATTATAATAATTTTAATTAATCATTGTCCGCGCTTATCAAGCAAGTCGCCTGCGCGTGTCCACAACAATATCATTAATAAATTATATTAAATGTTAATAAATTTTAATATTTCAAATCATCCACAAGGAGATTATTATCAAGGTGCAGAAACAAACTCCTATACATACCTTCATATACATGGCGCCCCTGCCGCCGCCGCGGCCGCGGCCCCGACCCCGCGGCCCCCGCAGTCCTCGCGAGCCACGACCGCGGCCTCGGCTACCGCGGCCACCGCTACTCGCCTCCGGGGACTTGTACGGCTCCTCCAGCTTGGGCAACGTGTCCAGTACGACCTTCAGCTCGTGCGTCTCCCCGAACAACTTCATATCCGTGGCGGAGCTACGGCGGCGGCTCGACAGAGGCGTGGAGCACGACGAGGGCATCTTGTCGAGTGCCTCCGTCATGCGCGGCAGCTTAATCCGCGAGCTGGTGGGGTCTATCGGCTCGGAGTCTTCAGGGTCGGGCGCGGGCAAGGGCACGGTGACGGTGACGGTGCCCGCCACCGGCTCGGGCTCCGGCTCGGCCTCTGCGCCCGGGACTGCGTCGGGCCGCACGAGCCGGCCTCGTCCTCGGCCTCTGCCCCGGCCGCCCCGTGGCTTCGTTAGTATCGCAGGCCGATCTCTACAAGATAGAGAAGTTATCATTGAGGTGTTATCATAATGAAGTAGTTCACCTAAACACGATTTCAATTGAAAAGTATTGGAGTAAGTTACATAGACAACGCTGATTTCAGTCTTATTGAAAAGTATAAACTCTAAGTACGGGCTAATTTAGAAAATAAGCAGGTCTGGGTAATCTAGGTTTAGCTGGGTGCATCCTAGTTTGAGGAACGGTATGTTACTTATGTCAAAGTTCAGGATCTATAGATAATTTCACACAGACATTTTAGAACATATACTATTATCGTGGTAACATTAACATATAAACTCACATATACCTTTATGTTAAACGAAGGGAACAGAATATAATTTACATCTAAACATATATCTTCCGACATTCAAAATGAAATATAAAAATTATTTATTTTTAAGTAAGTTCGAAGTGTCCCAAAAAAAAGCAAAATAGATTACCTATATGAATATACGATAAGCATAACCATTCATTGCCCATGAATACCATAGATTAAATTACAACCCAGTATAAGGATGCTATGGCACAGTGGATAGTACAAAAAAAAAAAGTAACGAATTATGGATCAGAAAAAGCAATCAGTCGATGATTGTGACTTAGTGAAAGTTGTCGATTAGTAAGTGCAAGTTAATAATTATTCTCTTTCAGTCACTGGTTTCCAGTCACCGTGACAAAGGTCTCCCCAGTATACGAGCCTGTAGTAAAGAAATAGTATCAATTGAAAAGTATCACTGCTATTAGGGTATTGTTGGTTATGATCGCAGTGGCAACTGTTGTCTATGTTTATACTGCAACTAACTTTTTGCCCTACTTCACACATGTGAATTTTAATAGTAGGAAAACCACTGAAATATAACAAGATAAAACATATTTTTTAGGTTAGACCTTCAGGAACACAGCTGTAAAAACTGAATCCAATATGGTACAGTAGTTTTTGTGTAGTGCCAGAACAAAAATATGGACAGACAGAAAAATTCTAAAAATAATTGAATATATGATAATGTTATTTGCTTGAATATAGATTATTTTATTAGAAGTATTTAAAACAAAATCAAATATTTTCGCTTCCTATTACTCTTATTAAGATTCCTCATATATATATTAGTACAACGGTGTGTATGCCAACAGTTCAGTAGATTGATGGTTAGCTTGTGTTGTATACATATACGTATATATATGTGTATATATATATACATAATACTAATATTATATATATATATATATATATATATATATATATATTAGTACAACGGTGTGTATGCCAACAGTTTAGTAGATTACAACAATTCAGTAGGTTAACTTGTGTTGGAGTGGAAATGTGTGTGTGTTGTACATTCAGAAATGCATAGTTTCCATTGATAAATTATTGCAAACCATGTCCAGAGTGATGATCCCACAAACAATAGGAGTATAAACACAAAAATTCATATAAATAAAGAAATGTATACTACTTTTTTTTCTACACTGCAATACATCTTGAATGACATACAGCAAGTATTTATGATTATGGAACAAATCAATTAAAGTTGTGAGTCCAGAGACAGACCTATGTTTGTAAAAACTAAAGTAGGCTTTATGAGACTATTCAGTTACAGAAACAATATAGATTATGCAGAAAATATATGCATCCTATAATAATTTTGAAAAATATACAAATAAATATAAATAGAAAAAACACAAAATAGAAATAATATTTTAAATGTGGTGTATGATGCTTACCTCGACAAGCGCAAGGACCGCTGGGGTCGCTCCTCTAACGCAGGAGTAGGCAACGTAACAGGTTTGGCGCCTTCCGATACTGGCAGTTTACGCGGTCGACCGCGCTTTTTCGGCTGCGGCGTCATCTGTAACGGCTGAGGAATGCTTACATTCTCGTTTGCATTATCTAGACTTTTAGAGATGTCCATTTCTAGTGGATCCTGTGACATATCGTCGCCAGGAATATTCAAATCAAAACTTTCATTGATCATCATCTCCTGAACATCTGGATGACAGTTATCAATTCTTCCAATTTCTACCACATCTGAACTTCCAGTCGAAATATTAGAATCCACTTCAGAAGTTTGACTTTTTTCTGAGCAATTAATATCATTGAGGGGTACAGCTTGCATCTGTTTGGCTTGTAAATTTGATAATATGTTATGTAATTTTGAATTGCCATTTTTAGAACAATTTTCATTGTTCAAAAGTGAATGGTTGGCAGTCCTGACTGTTTGTTTATTATCTAAAGTTTTGTTGGTTGGTGATGTTTGAGTAGTTTTTACAGGTGTAATTGTTAAAGATTTATTGGACAAAAGTTGGCCAAGTTTTAACCTTTTTGTCTCAAGTACAGACAGTTCTGGCTCTTTGTTGAGTGGTGGACTGGAATCTGTTGTAGATGGCCTTTTCCCAACATTTCGTCTTACTATGGTAGTTTTATCCATATTTTCTACAACCCTCGAACTCCGGAGCCTTTTACCCATAGGTGCGCTCTGTGATACTTCTAACGTTTGTTTTCTTCTACTATTGACAATATTCTTTTTTGGACTTTGTTTATCATTAATATTTTCTTGAGTATTGTCTGAGGAATAGTTCTGTTGTTGAATTGTCTCAGATCTACTTACTATATCTTCAGTGACTATTTTAGCTGAAGGTCCATGATCAGTCTTATTTATTTTCAAAATTATCCGTGGTGAATCTTGTCCTGAACTTTGACTAATAATCTTTTCAGATACATTAATTTCCAAAGGATTTTTTAAATCATCATTTGCTTCTTTGCATAAATCCTGGATTGACCGAATTTTTATAGCTCCCACATTATCACTATTGTCACTTATTAATTCAGAACTTGGGCTTGTTCTATTTTCTGTCATGTTATGGCTAATATTAGAGTTAAGTTCTGTGTTAACATCACAATCAACCTGTTCACAATTTACTGTATCCTTACAAACTACTGAAGGTGCAGAAGAATAATTACTCTGTAGAGGTTCTTCAAGTCTTTTATCTAGACTATCATCAGTACTTTCCAGCAGCTTTTTTAATAAAGTACAATTTTGTACAGATGGAAACTGTTGTTTATTTTTAAAACTTGTTATTTCTGTATTGGGCATTTCTGTGGCATTGTCCTTCACAGTTTTATTTACTACTTTACTTAGATCATCTGTTTCAGACTTCTGAATTGTTACTGGTATATTTGATTTCAAATTTTCTACAGAACTATGTTTTGAAATACTGTTGACAACATTTGTTAACTCTAGTGACAAAGGAGCTACTTCAGTAGATATAGATCCCTCTGAAATACCAGCTTGAGTTACTTCTGTCGTTATTCTAGAGGTTGGTTGCTCATTGTGAAGTACCTTACACTGATCTATAACATTTTTCCCTTCTTTTTCTGGAACACAATTGTGTTCAAGAGAGTTTTCTAAAGAAGTATTTTCTTTAACATCCTTTTTAACTATTCTTATCTCGTCATCATCAACTTTATTATCTAGCTTATCCACTTCTAAATTGTCCATAGGAGTTTCTTCTATTTCATTTGTTTCAATTTTCACTACAGGTTTTATATTTAATTTTTTCACTATAGGTACACTTTCAGCAATATTATTATATGTATGTTCACTGCTATCATCAATATTATTAATTTTTTTATCAATGTTTGTGGTGTCACTGCTTGATGGATCAGCCACCACTTTCATATTGATTTTCATAAGCAGTGGTGGATTTTTGACTAATTTATCAAGATTCTCATCCCTTAATTTTTGTAGTTCTAGGTCTTCCGGTTTCATCACAGGTTTTATGTTTAATTTTGTAATCACAGGAATAGTAGAACTTCTAACATCTGTTTTAAAAGCATCTTTTTTAGGTGACAATGGGGATGTACTTGCTTTTAAACTGTCTTTTTTAGGTGACAATGGAGATGTGCTCTCTTCTGGTTTAACTAAAGGCTTTATATTTAACTTAGTCACTACAGGAATAATTTCATCATTTGATGATTTAGATCTAGCAATCTCTTCTAAGTCATTTGGTTTTACAATTGGCTTTATATTTAATTTTGTTATAACCGGTATATGATCAGTATTTTCATCACTTGAATTCCCAGTCTCAGATGACTGATTTTCAGAATCTTTTATTGTATCTTCATCAAGAGGTTTAACTATTGGTTTAATATTAAGTTTAGTAACCATAGGTATATTACTTTCATCAATGACAGCATTCAAATCATCACAGATTTTTTCATCTGAAGAACTCCCTTCAGGAATTTTTAAGGGTTTTATATTTAATTTTTTTATTTTAGGAATATCTTCTAAACTACAATTTATTTCTTCATCTTTAGGCTTAACAATAGGTTTTATATTCAATTTTGAAACTACAGGAACTCTTTCTTCTGAAATTTCTAACGTTTCTGTGTTCTCTGATGGTTTCAAAATAGGTTTAATATTTAATTTTGTAACAACAGGGATATGTTCAGGACTGTTGCTAACAACTGTTGATTTTTTGAGTATTTTATTATCTATATCAGTTCTTGTGACAGGTTTTATAGTAATTTTAGGCACATGTGTATTTTCTTTTATTTCTGTACTTGAAGAAAAAGATTCTGTTGATATCTTAAGTTTAGGTATCTGATGTGTGTCAGAAAAATCAACTGGACTATCTTTATTGATATTATCTGGAGGCTTCAATGGTTTTATTGTCAGTTTAGGACTTAATGGTTGACTTTCACATTTTGTTACTGTCTTGATTGTCAACTTTGGGATTTTTTCTATTTGTTTCTCTTCAGATTGGGTAACAACCAATTTTAGTTTAGAAACAGATGAACTAGATTCTGTATCCTCTTTTTCACTGTGTTGTATAGTTTTTACAGTACGTTTTGGAGTATTTTTTTCAGTATAAAACTTTCCTTCACTTTGGGTGCCAGGTTTTCCAAGCTTAATAGTTACTTTTGGAATAACATTTGATGATCCCTGATCTGATGCTGATGCTTGGTCAGATGTACTAGCACTTTCATCATTCTCTGAATTTTCAGACTCTGATATTTCACTACTACTTGATTTTCTGTGCACATCATTTATTTTTTCAGGTGGTTTTGGTATAGGTTTTATATTTATTTTGGTCACAAGTGGTATTTGTTCCTCATTATCCACCTTGTTATCACTGTCCGTGGTTCTTATGGAATGATCCTCCATATTATCTGATGGTTTTGGAATAGGCTTAATATTTAGTTTAGTAATGCTTGGTATTTGTTCATTTGATTCACTTGCATCATCTGCAGGTGGTTTTATTGGTTTTATTGTAACTTTGGGTATTGATGATTTTGTTTCATCTGAAGGTTTGTTACCCAATTTGATAGTTATTTTAGGAACCTGTTTTGTAGACAGATCCGACTGTTCAGATAAACTTTCATCACATTTGCTACTATTACTAAATACATCCATATGAGTGGTATCTACTTTTGAAACTGAACATTCAGGTAAATTGGATATGCATGTAGAATCTAGTTGACTTTCATTTTGATGTGTACTTTCAATATTTTCTTTTAAAGGTATTTCAGAAGTACATTTAGTGACAATTTGACTTTTTACAGGTTCTTGTTTCGAACTACACTCATCAGATGATGATGACATTTGGACAGAAATTTCATTATTACCAATATCTTTACATTCAATATTAACATCTAACTGTGAGTTTGTTTCACTAGTACAACTTAAAGATTCAACTTGGGGTTCAGAATGTGCAGTCACTATATTATCTTGAGATGTTGACTGACACTGCTGTTGATCATGTAATAAATCTTGTTTATCCTGTATATTATCCTTATAACTTGTACCAGGTGTATGTTTCTGTCTAATTAATTTAATTTTTTTAGGAGGACTCATAGACGTTTCTGCTTTGCAGACACTAATTTCACTTACATTTCTAATCTCTTCAAGCTTAACATTACCATGTACAGGAGGCACAGCATCCGATGAACTCGAGACATCTTTAGTTACATGATCACTATGTATTTGTTCCGAAGTGTGAATGTCCACTGTAGATGAAACTGTTGAGTCTGGTCGACGGTCACTAGGTGCTGGTCGTACAAGACGACGTCTCAATGGTGACCTTGTTGCAGACTCAACACCTACCAACTTACTGTCACTTGATGTTGATTCAGCACTTTCTACAGTTACATTGTCCCGATTATCACTGGATGACACACATTTCATTATCCGCTCTTGTGTTTGACACTCATTAACGTCAAAAACGCTTTGTACAGTCTCTACTACACTGCTGGAAGGAATATTTAAGGGCGGGCACTCACTTGACACCTCAGAGTTGTCACTAGGTTTCACAAGAGTCTCTGACAATGTTGATTCAGCCAACACTACACCCTCACCTACAGATGAACATGATTGGGGGGGATCAACACTAACAGTTTTTAAATCACTTGCAGAAACACAACTGTCACTTTGAGATGTACACTCTGGTACTACTGGTGCACCTATAACACTTTTTTGGGGCTCCTGTTCACTTTTGGCACTTGTGGCAGGATGTTCTGCCGGGACCTGTGGTGTGTCGTCCTGAGGGGCGGTCTCAGGCAATTTAGGTACATCTGAACTGCCACCACCACTTTCAGAGTCGACATTGGCGTCTAACGAGTGCGGTAATCGTTTTGGAGCACCGGGACCGTCGACAAACTCATCGATCATGTCAAGAATGGCCTCTGTACTAGTGTTGACGTCGTGTGACGACGGCGATGGTACGCTGTCGCCGTCGAAGTTTTCTTCCGACATCGCGGGCGTTTGACACGATGTTCGAACTTCAGATGTTTCCTGCAGCAAACTACTAGTTGCATTGCCCTCCTCTGCCTTTCCAACGTTCTTTTCCCGCGCCGATGCACGGCGGGAAGCGCTCGTCGCGGTGCCCGCATCATCTTCTGAACTCTCCATTATCTACTATTTTGCGACGCTGTCATATCTGAAATATAAAACGCTCGCTAGGTGATATTTACGTTACGAATAGGTAACCTGACGACGTGCGAGATTGACAAGCCACGGGCACCATTCTAATTCACCATAACGCTACAAAAATTTGTTCACGGGGTCCACAATGTTGATTATATACCTACAGATGTACTTTAATTTCATATTCACGACGTTTACGTCTCGTACGAGTACGCGCGAGCTCTTGAAAAGTATTCAACAGCGTAAACCGGCAAACAAAAAGCTTGTATACGCCATTTTTAAAACCAAAGACATGGCAGGTTGGGATGTATGAGCCAATAAAAAATATCCTATACAGACAATTCGGCCATTGTCGTGTTGGTAAACTGCAAGAAGCCCATAGATCGCTCCACTTGAGCTTTTAGCTTGTAAAAGAGTAATAAATATGCTTTTCGACATGTGCTAAAACGAGTAAGATAATATTTCCTAAACACAGAAAACAATTATTCAATATGGCAAGATTTTTCGAGTGCTTGCAAAATTTCACTAGGACTGCTAAGTGTATCTTAAAAATTTAAACTAGAAAATAAAATTTAAAGTATATTTTATTAATTAGATTAATAAAAATCTCTGTGCATTAGATATACATTTTTAATAAATATTTACAGTATCTACATAAAATATTGTAATTTTTATTAATGACAACTCGTCGACTCTATGGAAAAAGCAAAAGATTTTGTCGTTCTCGTAATTCCAAAGATATTGGATAAGTTTACCGAATCCTGTCGGATTTTACAGTAAGCAATGATATAAAGATATAAAATTATATATAATTATAACTACTTATATATCTATTCTCTTTAATTTTTATATGTATATATTATTATTATATTAGTTTATTAATCTATGTTGTCGGTATGTTTTAGCGGGAGTATGAACAAAACAACTTCTAATTCTACGTTTTGAAGTGGAATTACTTTTACGTGAATGTAGTTTGTTTAAATTGAGTGTGCTTTATCTGCATATAAATTAAGAAAGTAAACCAGAAATTTATACATTTTTCATGTAATTACGCTATGCAATACATAATATTTATACTTTTAAAATGCAATATTCTAGAACAATTAGAGATATGTTGTGCCAGAATTGGTAGAAAAAAAATATCTAATTTAATTCCAATAAAGTTCTGAACGTCTCCAAATTGAAATTAAAATTATAACAAATATATGAACTTTTGCTATTATTGCAACTTCAATTCCATAAAAATTCAGATCTGTCACATATAAATATTTACAAATCACGTAGACTAATATAATAATTTTTTTTCTCGTTTTTGTGATTGCATCATTGCCAGTTAGTCAGTACGTAATAAGATATATATCAAACAAATATATATTACGTCTATGGTTTGCATAGATAGTAATTTTAGGTTAAAATTTTTGTATATTTATAATAAATTAAATATCTTTTGTAGTTGAAATACATAAATAATATATCGTTTGTGAAACTAAAATTTAAAAAGGAATTAGAATGACAACAATTAGGCCATTTAATTGTGAAGATATGTTAAAATTTAATAATGTGTAAGTTACTTGTTGAGATAGTGTTTACTTTTTTTATTATATATTATTTATTTTGAATTAAATTATTTTACAGAAACTTGGATCCTCTTACTGAGACATATGGCTTGTCATTTTATACACAATATCTGGCGCATTGGCCTGAGTACTTTCAAGTCGCAGAATCTCCAAATGGAGAAATTATGGGTTACAGTATGTTTTTATTCATACACTAACAATACTTCATTGCCTCTTGCTGTCACGATGGTATAAAATTTTGAAAATTCCTTATTTCTTTTTATAAAACATTTAAAAAATTTTACTTGCCAGTTATTGCATCTAAAATAAAAAAATTTTTTGGGTACAGTAATTTCAGTTTTAACTTAGCTATTTTAAATTCACTGCTATATCCCACCCTTTAAACCAAAATACAGACAGAGGGACAGAGATGCCCATGCAAATGACTTTTGTACAGTCTCCCTGTGGTAAAGAGTATACTGCTATGACCATGGTGCATTACCATTCCTGAGGCCCCTCATGCATTATCATTCCTGAAAACTTAGATATAGTGAAGTATTGAAATTTTATATTTTTTTCTCTCAATCTTCATTCCTTACTAATGTAAAAGTGAGCTTGTTTTGTTTGTTACCTTCTAGTGCCTTAACAGCATAATGAATCACTATGAAATTAAGTATAGACACATACTTTATTGAATGGAAAAAATTAAAGGTTACTTTTTCACCTATAAAATTTTTACTTTAGTCACTTATTAAAAATGAAAAACTTTTCAGTAATGGGAAAAGCTGAAGGCCATGGTGAAAACTGGCATGGCCATGTCACAGCACTGACAGTAAGCCCTGACTACAGACGGCTGGGCCTTGCAGCAACCCTCATGAAGATACTCGAGGATGTCTCTGAAAAGTTAGTTCTTGATAGGGTTTATTTGACTCATTGATCAATTTTGCAAATATTTTAACTAATTTTTGTAACTTAACATGAAAATGGACCTAATATCTTAGTATTATAAGTGTAAAAAATGGTAAAGGTTTCAAATTAACTGAAAATCTACTAATCAATACTATTATATGTATTGTAACTGGTCAGTGTCTGAACATGCAAAATATATAAGAAAAACTATTATAGGAGGGCTTTATGTACACAATAGAACCCAAAACAATGATTTTTAGAATTTACTTGTATGTTTGTGCATGTTAATCTTAGAAACGGCTTAACAGATTTGAATGTGGTTTTTACTAATGCGTAACGGTTTGTCCACTTAACATGTGTTTATTTTATTTCAATCAATTCATAAATAAAAAAGTTATATTAATTTAAAAAATCACATATAAAATAACTGAGCAGTCGAATTGACTGAAACTTTATGAAGGTATTAAATACGTAACTATCATTTAAGTATATAATAGATTAAGATATTAGTGATTGCCTAGAGGTTGTAGCACTAATGTAAGATAAGCAACCCCAGCCGTGGTTCCAACTAGGATGGGTGACCACAATCCATACTATATGGGTTAGAGGTTACTTTTAACCGTTTTTTCATGTTTAGCTATTGTTTTATGATTGATTCTTTGCAGAGTGTATAAACAGATTTAGAACTTTATTATTAGTCTCTATTTAACATATTTATTTTTTATTTTACAGAAAGAAGGCTTATTTTGTGGATTTGTTTGTGAGAGTTAGCAATAAAGTAGCAATAAACATGTATAAAAACTTGGGATACATAGTCTACAGAACAGTATTGGAATATTATTCAGGAGATCCTGATGAAGATGCCTACGGTAAAATAAATTTTGATTTTATATATTACACAATAAATAATATACACTTAACACTAACTTTTACCAGAGGGAGACTTTGTACAAAAGTCGATTGCTTGGGTACCTCTGTCCCATTCGTGTTTCAACTGTGAAGCAGTTGTGTTTGCATGGCTGTGTTCAGGTTTGAAGGGTGGGATATGGCATGAATTTACTGGATACAGAGGAATAACACCTGAGTCCTCAGGAATGGCAACGCATGAGGGGTATCAAGGGTGAAACCATATACTCTGTTATGTCCATGGTACTGCTCATGTCTATAGGCGACGGTTATCACTTTCCATCAGGTGGGCCGTCAGCTTGTTTGCCATTCTAAGTTGTATAAAAAAAAAACTTAACCCCCTTATTTATAAAAACGTCAAATGTCTTATAAACCTATTTTAGCTGTTAAAGTGTTTTGACTTTTCTTTTACACTGAATTTTCAATTTGCAAGACAATGACAAAACATTTTGATAAGTAAAATGGATTTGCAGGTTTTTATTTTTATCAATAAGAGGGTTATACAATTTTCATTCAATAATTTTACATTTGGTAGTTAAATGTTTCATGTTTTTTTTTTTTAAACCAAATACATTTTCAAAGATAACATCAATTTCAAAGATAGTAAATTTTGACTATACTGGATTAAGTTTTAATTATGTTAGCATTTGGTTGCACCGATAACCATGTCTTTATAAAAAAAAAAAAGACAAATCTACTTTTAATATTTGACTTTTAAATATATTATGAATGGAAGTTTATAAAATAATTGTTGTTGGATATTTATACTGTTATATAACTTTTAAATCGCTGCACAGATTTGAATAAAATTTCATAAGCAGATAAACTATATTATAAATATTAGATATCATGCCAGTCAAGCTGTATCACAGATGGCCTATTAATATACCTATACCTAAATTTCTTCCTTAATTTATTGGATAAAAATGTAAACAACATTGTTTGTTTCTCCTGGTAATAATTAGCAATTCAATCCTAACTGTGGTTGTCAACCCACCTGCTAAACTACTGGCTAACTCCCTGGACAGGGAACACTTATGTTCAGCAGTGGAAAATTAACCATTGAATGACTGCAGATATTCACTTTTTACTCATACCACTGATGGATGCCAAGATGGTTGTCCATGTCCATCTTCTAGTACAATGAGGCAATTAAGGATTTATTTCTTTTTTTTATAGATATGAGAAAAGCCTGTTCCCGAGATGTAAATAAGAAGTCAGTGGTACCATTAGCACATCCTGTCCGGCCTGAAGATGTGGATTAAAATATTTTAATAAAATTTACCAACTAATGATTTGTTTAATTTTATTCAAATTACAAAATACAGTAATTATAGCAAAAAAAATGAAGTTTGTTTTGCTAGTTGTCATCATTTTCTTCAGATACAGTTTTTGTTTGTTGTTGCTCTTGTTGTTCACTTGTACTGTTTACGCCACTTTCTGTGTCTGAGATTTCTTTGTGTTTTCGCCATTGTTTTGCTGCTGCCAACAACTTCAGATTTGGTCTCACCATTTCATCTTCAGGGAATATGTAATCAAATACTTCCTCCCAACCTTCTTCAATACCTCCTTCACTCACAATCTTTTGTCTCTTTTTAACTCTTCTAGGCATCTTAGTCAAAACTTTCTCAAGTTTTATTTCATCTCCTATTTCAGTTTCAAAGTCTTTCCATGCCTCTAAAAGAAGCACTCTCGATTCTTTTTCCCCAGCACTCCTTAGACTGTCGTTGGCGCGTTCATAAACCCGTCTAGCTAGGTCTACATTCATGTTATCAGCATTTTCAGCATTCAACTCGAACTTTGCATATGATAGCCATACCTTTACATGAACAGTCCTTTCTAACAATCTCTCATATAATTGTCTAGCTCTCTCAGTTTCTCCTTGTGCAACCTCAAAATCAATGAAACTTTTCCACAATATTTCAGGCATATCCAATCTTGGCTGGCCAACAGCTATTTCATATATAGCTCTAGCTCTATCTATGTCTCCTAGCAGTGTTTCCAGCTCAGCAAACTTAATCCATGTCATGCAATTTTCAGGTCCATATTCTAAAAATTTTTGATACAATATCCTACATCTATCAAATTCTCTTAACTGGATTTCTAAATCAATATACCCTCTATACAGTTTGTTTCTTGGACACATACCTAAAGCCATTCCTAATGTCTTTCTTGCTTGCTTTAATTCTTTACATCTGACTTCAAATTGAGCATACATTAGCCATATTTTGGAAAATGTAAAAATTTTATGTGGAATTAATTCTAAACAAGTTCTATATACTTGTCTAGTTCTTTCTATATCTTCTGCCTCCAACTCCTCATATAATGCATAGTTAATCCATAAGTAAATATAGCGCCTCCAGAATTGCTTGTCTTTTGATGGTGGTACATTTGCAATGGCTCTCTCATATGTATCTCTAATATTGTCTATATTTCCTTCGTTTTCAACTAATCTTATGTAATCAAACCATGCATCATAATTTGTAGGATTCTCTATAACTTCCTGTTCATACATATACTTCCTCTTGTTAACAATAACATCTTCTATGCCAGATCTGTCACCATATTTCTTCTCATGTATTGTGTAGGCTTTGTACAATTCTTTATTTCTGTCTTTTGGAATATGATCTAAAGCATATTTGTAAATTACTCTAGCTCTATCATGTTCTTTTTGATTTTCTTCAAATTTAGCAAATGCAATAAACAGTCTTTCATCAAGTTCCTCGTCACCAAAGAACTCGACAGCTTGTTCAAATACTTTTCTTGCGCCATTCACAAATCCATGGTTTTCCTCAAATTTTGCATACTTAATCCAGTTCTTGACATCTGGATGCACCATGACAAATCTTTTATATATGTCTCTTGCTCGTTCCAGCTCCTTGTACCTTAATTCAAAATTGATGTATGTTTGCCATGCTTGCTCATCTGGTTGCCATTCCATCCATCTTTCAAATACCTAAAAGCAAACAAACTAATATTAGTTTGTTTAAATTAATATTTGTTTTAATTTTAAATGATAATATATAATTAAAAGATATGTTAAAAATTGTTAAATAAGATTATGACAAAATTAAAGCACATACTTGTCTGGCTCCGGCAACATTTTCTAACATCTCTTCCATGTATGTATATTTGTACCAGAACTGTGATACTCTTGGCAAAATAGTCACTGCTCGGTCCCATAGATTGCGAGCATGATTGACTTGTCTATTTCGCATTTCCATTTCAGTATATTTCAGCCTGAAATTTAAGTGTGAAAACTCAATTTTTTTGTAATAGTCATTATTCTCTTACATATATAAAAATGGTACTTTGGAATCAGCCTTACTTGGATCAAAGGAAGATAATACATTTTTTATATTTAAGAATTTGGTACTTCACTAATTAGTACCCTCTTGGAATGCACATCACCTTGTCCATTCCATAACCTTCCACCTTAAATGATACTGTGCTGCATTAATACTACAGTGTGGATAATGTTTTTAATCCACTGTTATCTAAACTTCTATCCTTTTATAATCAGCTGTTTTCCAGCTTGTTGATTTTATCATCATATAGAAATAATAGTAGTATTCTACTTACCATAGGGTAACATTTCTGTGGTCCACATCCAATGCTCGTTCATATATTGAGCGAGCTCTTTGTACTTGCTTCTGTGACTCTTCCCACTGAGCATATTTGAGCCAATTCCCGATTACCTGGAATATATTGTTCAAAATTAAACATATTTCTTTAGTAATTAATGTAAATAAACTTTTATGATCTGTATTTGGAGCAATTATTAAAGAATTAATATGTTATCAAATTTAGTAATTTTAAAATAAAATTCATTTAAACTAATAATAGGCAACAACATAATGATTAATACAAAAATATTTTCAATTTAACTGTTTGTTTATATTATGCACTGTTATGGTGATAAAAAAGTAAATAACATTGGCTCAATATATAAGATATAGATATAATTTGAGATTAAAAAAAAAAGTGTGGCTAAAGTGAAATTAATTAAAAATACCAACAAAATTGGATAAAACTTTGAATTGAATTTTAATAGCTCATTAGCATGAATTACACAATTTTATTTTATATAACAAGGCACTTACAAGTCTATTTTTACGGATATTATCTTCAAATGCTTTTCTCTTCCGGTGTTGATAATCTCTGAGCTCTTCTGGATCAGAAATTTTCTGTTTCGGTGGTGGAGGCAATATTTCGAGATCCCTTTCTTTTGCTTCTCTGAGTAATTGCTCAGCAGTAATTTGTATTTCGGCGGGAGCTTTGTTTTTAACCTACAATATGAGATAAACAATCTGTTAGAAGTACAATTGAGTATGGTTGATAAGTTAGATTTATTTTTAAACGATTTTAGAAATGAATTTTTTTATTTCTATGTAGTATTTTATTACGCGATATTTTCGCTTAAATATTAGAAATAATTGTAAATATTTGTAAAAATGGATTACCTTTGCCACCTTCGGCATTTTTGTTGTTTTTCCGTCCATTTTGAGGATATGTTTAACTTAGGTTTATATGAAGAATAAAATGGGTCGTTTGAATAGTTAGGAATATTATTACATTAGTAAACTTTTGCATCAAGTTTCTAAATAAATAATACGAAATTTAGAAATCAACAAGGAAAGAAACACTGACACAAAGCCACAGCATAAATAGAAAATAGACAATCCACAGACTAGGAAGACTGAGAGACTATGAATCTCTCTGATCTATGGCACAGATCTGAGATGAGCTGAGAACAAGGAATTACATAGAAGGGAAGATAAAATAAAAATTGTAAATCTAATGGATCCTTTCTTTTTATGCAAATATAATTAGTAAAAAGAGGACGAAAGATACACTATCAGTTGTTATTTTTCTCAATTCATAGCAGGCTAGTGTATAGAAAATGTTTGATATACCAATTATTTGCAAATGACAAATTTTACATTAGTAGATTATACATTCGACATAATTTATGTAGAAAGTATGCAAGCAGGTTGTATCTGAATTTGGTAAAGGAATCTATACGATACAGTCACTTGATTAGGTGATAAATTCTTTAAATCAATCAGTATGAGTTTCTGTAATTTAAATATCTTTCCATTATCAGAGTGATTTAGTCCAATACAAAAATATTCTGTGTATAACACAACAGATAGACATCGGCTGCTGCTATCTTTGTCTAACGTAACTCATTATGGTAGATTAGATAAAAGAATGTGCTGTGATTACTTAGGTCGATACGGATGGTTTCGGAAGTAGTACTGTTTTGATGGGTCAAAATTTACTTGTTGTTAAGTTCAATAGAATCGTTTTATTTTTAATCTATTTTTAACTGTTTTAATGATAGTATAATGTATCTTATTGGAGGGAAAGGGATTGTTAGTAATGAAGTCTAACCGATCTATTGCTAGGAATACACCCTATCAGGTCGACCTCCACGTGGTTCCTCCTAGAAACCATCGTAGTTAATTCTAATGAAATTCATCACGATGGACTAACTGACCTTCTTTCAACGTCACCTACCATCCATCATTGGTGGTCCGCTAACGTATACCGACAGCGTAGGAGGGGTTACCATTCCATTATCACCCATTTAAAAAAAACGTATCTTATTATAGATGTATGTAGATAGGCAAAGAAGCTTATATAGGAGCGAATTGACTGACCTTTTCACATAAATATACGATTCTCATACAAAACACTTAACATTATCCATTTTCTCTATACATATATCTATGGTTCAGAAACATTATATGCCCACCTCTAACGTAAATCATTCCGCAGTTATTATTTACATTACTAACTTTGGTACCCTATTGCATAAAATCGTTCATGTCCTGCTGTGATAAATCATTATAATTAAATATAGGCACTACCTTTCTATTACTAATGAAAATGAAACGCAAATTTAATTTTTTTATGCAACTTAGAATAGGGAACAAAGTGACAGCCCACCTGATGGAAAGTGGTAATCGTCGCCTTTAGACGTGAGCAGTACCATGGACATAACAGAGTATACTTTCGCCCAAGATAGCCCCCATGCATTGCCATTCCTGAGGATGCAGGTGTTATTCCCCTGTACCCTCTAAATTTACTGCCATATCCCACCCTTCAAACCAAGAGGGGAAGGGCTGTTAGTAATAGAGTCTAGGGGCCCCATTCCTAGCAAACACAACTGCTTCACGGTAGAAATATGAATGGGACAGAGGTGTTTAAGCAAATGACCTTTGCAGCTTTCCTCTGGTAAATGCTCAGATTCAAACAGAAAAAATATGTACTTATTATATATTTATGCAATATAATACCAGAACAAATTATATATATTCCAATAAAAAATTACAGACTATGCAGTTGAAAATCATTACAACAGATATGAAACTGTACTCAGAAAGAGATGTACCATCATTTTAATTAAATTCTTGTACAGGAAAATACATTTGCATTAGAGTTTCATATATATCTACATCAATTGGCATAAAGGTGCAAAATATAATTCTATCAACCCCTTCATTGGCTTCTAGATATTTTCTTGCAGTTTGAAGAGCAATATGAGCTGCCAAACGATTTGGAAAACCATAAATTCCAGTTGAAATACAAGGAAAAGCTATGCTCTGTAATTGATATTTTTTTAGGTGGGAGAGACATGTTTCATAGCATGACTGTAGTTTTTGGGCTGATCCATCCTGCGGTCCAACTGTATGGATGATGTCTGAAATTATAAATAAAACTTTGTTATAGAAAAACCTATTATGAGTAATAATTAAATAGTATATTAGTACTTAAATACCAGCAATAACTTTTCATTATAATTTAATAATAATTGTATTACTATTTCATTATATTTATAACCTAAGCAAACACTACCAATTTCAAAATTCTTTCATATATACAAAACTATATTATCGGCATGTAACATGAACTTTATATAAAAAAGAATACTGGATGAAGTCAAAGTGGTTCAGTAATGTAAAATAAAATTATTTTATTGATGGAACATTTCTGCTACTAGAACTATCGCTGTATCAGATCAGTAATACTTGTGTTTGATAAGCACCACTTTAAATGGGTACTAGTAGTGGGTAATAGTAACTTGATTAAGTATAGTGGATCTATATGCACAGGTTAAAAATGTGATGATATTATGATTATTATTATATATAAGTAAATTCTTACATTTGGCAGGTAAGTTGTATCCCCCAGTTATTTTCGCTTCTCCTGTAGGACAACCTCCCAGACTGTCACATTCTTGCTGCAAATAAATTTTAAATAAAAAATTATAATCTTTCAAGTACATATGTTTACATACATAATCCTCAGGGTAACATTGAAGTTAGATTTTTTAGAAAATAAAATCATATAAACATAAGGTATATATATAATGTCAGGTCCATTTTTTCTTATCAGAATCATAACTAACCTATCTCTCAAGTTAAAATAAACAATACCATTTCAGAGATTAGCATGACTGAATATTGTAACATGGGATTATACTTTAAAATAAATTATTAAATAAATAAACCACATAAAATACCTGTAACAATGGCCCAGCTGATCGGTGTATAGCTCCATCGACACCTCCACCAGCTTTCAACCGTGCATTAGCTGCATTCACTATTGCATCCACCTGTGACAAAAGGGTGCCCAATGATTATAGAGTTACACACTTTTCATACTTTATAAATTAATGGCCAAGCTAAAAATTATATATATAACTAGTGGACATCGGGGGGAAAGGGATTGTTAGTAATAGAGACTGAGAATCCCATTGCTAGCAATATACCCAACCAGGTCGACCTCCTTGTGGTTCCCCCTGGAAACTATCATGGTTAATTCCTGTTGAATTCATCATGATGGGCTAACTGGCCTGTTTTCATTCTCATCTATCACCCTTCACTGGTGCCCCGCCAGCGTATCCCGTTAGCGCAAGCGGGGTTACCATACAATTTTCACCCATAAAAAAAAAAAATAGTGGACATCTTCACTTTGCCTACATAGATGGAATTTTCAAAAATAATATAAAGCCTATCATTGATAATGTAGTTTTCTATTTGGTGAAAGAATTTAAAAAATAGGTTGGATAGTCTTTGTGTTTATCTATTACAAACAAATGATGAAGTCTTTCCACTTTATTATTTTAGAATAGACTTACTAAAGGACTAATCAATAAGAATTTTTAACAATATTTTATAAACATATATACATATGGCCAAGAAATGGAATCCTGCAAGAGTAATGTTTAAGTAATGTTACAACTTTGTAGTAAGTAATTAATATTGTACCAAAGTCTAGATATATTTAAAAGACACCTGGTTTCACCTGGTAGAATAATTAAAATTACCTCCAGTTTTGTTATATCTCCTTTAAAAATCGATACTTTCTCAGATATTTTTTTATTTTTATTAGAATCGATTTGAATTTTTTTAAATTCATTAATATCATCTGAAGTGTGCTTTTTTGATTCTAAAGCTTGTTTGTTCTGTGTGACGTATTTCGACCATGGATCGATGTTGTCTAGAACAATGTAATCTGGCCCTTTGTAAAGTTTACGTTTATCCTCCAAGGGTAGAGAAAGAATATTCATCTTCTCGATAGTCCATTTTTGTTGTGCTGTCATTTTTGGTAACGAAAAATAGTGACTTTGTACGATTGTAAGGTTATCAAATCTAGACAAAATATGATAATTGGAAAGTTTCAGAAATCGTAAGCAATTTTTACAGTTCACCGGTGTTATCATGACTCGTATAGACGGTTTATTTAATAAATTTCCGTTAGTTATCGTTTCTGATAGATTTCTGTCACATTAGACAGCTATATTTGACAACAATCTACATATATAGCGGCGAACATATTGTCTATAGATTAAGAATAGTTATGCCTTTTTCTAATAACGTGAGTTGGCCGATAGGTATTAGAAATTGTTAACATGTTTGTAAAGGGACGCGGGTACTAATCCTATATTAGTCAAGTGGCCTGTTCAATTCTTTTGAGTCGAGATTTACTTATTGCCTCTTTATGGACAGAAACGGACAGAGCCACTTTGTTTTCTTAATCCTACAAGCCGTGATTATTCTAAACTTAAATGTTTTGACCGGATACAAAGCAAACTAAAATAACTAATAACAAGTCATGATGAGTTGTTCAACTTAGAATGGCAAACAAGCTGACAGTTCATCTGATGGAAAGTGGTAACCGTCGCCTATAGACATGAACAGTACCATAAACATAACAGAGTATACTGTTTCGTCCATGATAACCTCCATGTGTTTCCATTCCTGAGGACTCAGGTATTATTCCTCTGTACCCTGTAAATTTACTGCCATATCCCATCCTTCAAACTAAAAGGGGAAGGGATGTTAGTAATGAAGACTAAGGGCTCCATTCCTAGCAATATACCTAACCAGGTCGACCTCCAGGTGGTCCCCCTGGAAACCATCGTGCTAAATTCCAGGCCTGTTTCATCACGATGGGCTAACAGACCTGCCTTTTCATTATCACCTATCATCCCTCACTAGTGCCCCGTCAGTGTACCATTAGCGCGGGCGTGGTTACCATTTCCACCCACCAGTTACCATTTCACCTACTAAAAAAAACCCTTCAAACCAAAATACAGCCACGCAAAACATAATTGCTTCACGGTCGAAACACGAATGGGACGGGGGGAAGGGATTGTTAGTAATGGGGAGATTAGTCTCCATTGCTATCAATATACCTTATCAGGTCGACCTCCACGCGGTCTCCCCTGGAAACCGACGTGACTTATTTATCGTTGAATTCGTTATGATGGGCCGCTTTTTGATCGTCACCAATTATCGCTCACACGAATGCGACAGACCAAGCAAACGACTTTTGTACAGTCTCACTCTAGTTACTTCTCTGGTTACATAGAATTTATCTAAAGTCTCTATTTTTAATCTGTGCTAAGTCTATTATATATGTATTCTTTTTACCTATGTACTTTAAAAATATACCTATTAATATTGAAATTAATTTAAATCAAATATGTTTTGTACTGCATTTCGCATATTTTCTTTACAAAGCCGCCCTCGTAAGTGTTTCTTTATTCATTGTATTAGTTTGCTAAGAACATTAAAACCTCGTAAATGTAGTTTTAATTTTAGGTTATATTTACATTTTGTATTTTTAGATAAATTGGTTTCACGGAATGTTGTGAGAGTTAATACTGTTATTGGAAAGAAACATGCAGCTGATCAACTGGAATATATAAAATCGGCCGCTGAAGAAAATATTGTCGATTGGTCAGAAGTAAAGAAAAATGCCTTATCAATACAAGGGTCTTTAAATTCTAAGAATATTGATGCGGTACTTCTAAAAGTTATGGTTAATGTTAGAAACTTTGATGCGGCACTGTCGTTTGCTGATTATCTCAGAGACACCAACAGTGAATTGAGTTTGGGATCTATTAATAGTCTGTTGTTACTATACTACCAGATAGGAAGGACGGAGAAGTTAACAGATGACCAAAAGAAGTTTATATTGGATACATATAAGAGTCTCTATGATAAATATACAGTATTAGATTTTACAACTTGTGAAAGACTACTTCATGCTTTATGTGTAATAGATGAATGGAAGAAGGCATTTAAAGTTCTCGATAACATATTTTTGAGCTGTAAACCGTCACATTCGGCGTATAGTACATTAATAGCGACACTATTTCGATGTAATAAAAAGAATGAAGCAATGAAGTTAATTGAACAAAGTGTCAGTAATAATAGGCCATTGATGGATGGTGCATATGAAGCATGGATTAACTATATCCTCAGGAAATATAAGGATAAGAAAACAATATTGAAATACATGGAGGACATCTTGATATTTATATCTGATAATCTAACAAAAGTTAATGCAGAGACTGCTCAGAAAATACGACATTATTACAGTTCTCATAGTTGGGATGTACAATTTACTAAAATTAGAAAGTCAGAGTAAGTAATTTTGTAACAGATCAGGCTACCCATTAAGTATATACCTCATAAATTTTATTAATTTAATAAAATTTAAGCCAAAAGAAAAGTATATGTTAAGGAACTTAGATTCTTTTTTTTTTTTGTTATATTTATTCCAAGCATATTTAAATTGTACACATTTTTGAATGCATAAGTGCTTATATTTTATGAGGTAGTTACAACTTTATGTATATATTGAATTTACAATCAACTCACTGACAGAGGTAGTGTGTGTGGTATAGGTATACCTAGACATTGATTTTATGAAATATGAACTATTTTAATTCATATATGTTTGCAATAAATTTTTAATTATTTTTTTTTTATATTTCCAGTGGCCAATGCATGAAGTGTTCTGAAACACTAGATCCATTGCAGTTAACTGGAGAACAATTTAAAATGTTACAAGAGAATGTGAAAGAAAAGTTGATTGTTGGTTCTAATTTGTTTCTAAAGACATCACCCGATGAATTGAATAGGTTTTTAGAATTTCTAGAGAAGACTGCACCATATGATGTTGTTTTAGACGCTCTGAACATAGCATATGCTGGTAAAAGAGGGCCAATGGATAGATACAGGGTTTTGAATTATGTTGTTGATTATTATAGCAAGATGAATAAGAGGATATTGTTGTTGGGAAGAAAACATATGCTCCGTTGGAAGAATCACCAGATACAGAAGTTAATGAATAAAACCTGCAGCTTCTTCACTGAAGACTTGTAAGTTGAGGCTGCTGTATAGACCTGATGCTTAAGCTAATTTTGTACTTTATATATTTTAATTATTTATTTTATTTACTTAATAAGCTTTATCTTATAGTAGTACAATTGCACATTTTATGCTTTAAAACAGTTAGATAAATTGAATTACATTATTATTTATTTTATGCATTAACAATAATTTATTATATGTAATAAGATTTCAACTATTCATGCTTTTGTTATATCTTCTATCAGTTTGTCTTGTGACAGAAGTTTCTTCCAACAAATTCCATTTTTCCCTATCATATGCTGTTTGATTCCACTGTGGTCTAACCACTTTATTTTTGTACAAAATTGTATGAAATTTAAATACAGTTTTATTTAGGGAATTTTTTATTAAACATCAATGTGTTGAATACAGGCTATATTGAATTTGAGAGAGTTATAAAGATCTTGTTGAGCAATGTGCAGCATTGTCCCTCTTAAAACATCTCTAAAGTCAAGCCAAGTTAGCCTTGGTGGCTGCCAATTTTCCTACCAAGTGTGGCAACTATTGGCAAAACAAAGGGGAGGTATATGTCCAGCAGTGGACAGTTAAAGACTGATATGATAATGATGATGATAAAAATCTCTTTCTAAATATGAAATTGTCATGTAGTAAGTGGGCAATTGGTATAGTCAATTTAAATATTTGACAGTATTTATGCTACTGTGGAATATCTAATTTTGTAAATGTCTAATTAATAGTTTTTTTATACAAATTATCAGTACTATTGCATATTAAAGAGTTAGCAGTTCTGTTTTTCTAATTTACAGTATTTGATATGGTATAGTATAAAATATATTACTATTTTAGATCACAGGACGATCCTTTCTTCATAACAGCAGCGATATGGAGTGGACCACATACCGATATTGTGTCTAAAGACCTTCTGCGAGGGCACATGTTCTTGATGCAAGACGAGAAACTGAAGCTGATATTCAGGAAGTGGCAGTGGCAACATCAGTGGATGGTGTTCATAAACAAACAGGGCAGGATCATATTACAGGTATGTATCATCGTCATATCAGCCATTAACTGTTCACTGCTGGGCATAGGCCTCCCTCATAAAAGGAGGCTTTGCCAGTAGTTGCCATGCTTGGCAGGCTAATTAAAATGTCCGATATGAATGACTTCGATTATATAGATAGAGTGTCTCTATAGAAATGCTTTGAGAAAAACGGTTCAACTCTTTCATACAATTTTGCATGATAAATAGTTATTCCTTTATAATTCCTATATTTATTTTGTATTATAAATTCTGCATCTTTTTAATGCGTAAACATTCATATTATTTATTAAATAATACGTCAAGATACATTTTGTTGTAACCGTCGCCTATAGACGTGAGCAGTACCATGGACATAATAGAGTATACTGTATCGCCCATGATACCCCTCAATCGTTACCATTTCTGAAGTCTTGGGTGTTATTCCTCTGTACCCTATAAATTTACTGCTATATCCCACTCTTCAAACCGAAACCCAGCTATGCAAATATAACTACTTCACGGTAGAAACACAAATGGAACAGAGGTAACGACTTTTGTACAAAATCTCTCTCTGGTAAAAATCTTTAAAATATATCGCTTAAAACGCCCATTAATTTTATAACATTATATTTTTGCCTCCAGGAACCACTGAGGTTCAATCCGTACGCACAGAAAAATAACGGCAGCTGGCATTTACCGTACGAGACTGAAGATGTCACGGACGCGCCTCAAATCAACGACGGCGTGCCGGATTTGTCAAAGTGGCTTTGTTTAAGATATAAACCAGTTAGATGATAAATATACAAATAATATTTTATTACTTATGTTTTATTACTTTAGGTTTTCCTAGTTCAGCCGTCAGTCTCCACAATACATAAACTGTGTATTCTTAAGTGAATAGTTTGTTGTGTTTTTAATATTTTAAATAATATTTATAAATAAATTGTTAAAATTTAAGCATGTATTAATATTAGAAATAAAGTATTATAGTAATAATTAAAAAAAAAATACTAACTTTGTGTTAAGTATAATGAAACTTTGTAAAAAGGCAACTTAATCGTAACAAAATCTGTACCTAATAACACAGACAACAGAGTTATCGACTTTTAAAAAGAATTATAAAAACCGGTTCAGAATTGGCACAACATTTACACAAAAACAAGGCGATTCGAAATCATTGTTTGGAATTAGGTCAGAACATTAAACCAGAGGGTCTACCATGAAATGAAATTCCAAATTTCACAGTCAATTTCGTGTTTTCAGTCGCACCGAAATCGGCCTAGTAAATGGAGCTTAACGTTTTGTTCGTCATAAATCCTATAACAAGAGCCCAAAGGAATGATATTTTAAGATCTTTAATATTTATTAACTTTTTTTTTATACCACTGAGGTGTAAACAAGCATATGGCCCACCTGATGGTAAGCGGTTACCATAGCCTATGAACGCCTGCAATACCAGGTTACTGTGTTTTGTTCGGCCGCGAAATTTCGGAGATTTTGTCATGGTAGGCCCTCTAGTGTATTTTTTATTAATATAATGCAATAATACTATCAAGTTGGAGTAAATAGTATACATTAAAAAATATTTAAAATGAGTGGTTTTGAACTTTAGCCTGTACAAACGTTGTTACACGAGTTTTTATATATTAAAATATGAGAACTTTAATATTAAAGTAATCTTACAGTCTAAACCATATTTAATAGTTTCTCTTAAATATGTATAGCCACAGATACAATAATATTATAACAGATAATATTATACAAATAGTATGACTCAAATTAACAGAAATAAAAAAAAAATATACATAAGAAATAATTCATAAGAAAGTGTCAATTGGGTCGGAATTGAAACGGAAATCATAAACCGATATTAATTTTCGGTTTCCGTTATGGAACTTTGTTTCTACTACTGTATTATATCGAAAAACAAACCTAAAATTATTTTGATAAATAAACCTTTTTAGCGAAATTATCAAAAAAAAATATAATAAAATCAAGATGTCACTTTTAATTTCTGTCAATCGATTGCACATTCGTTGGCTTTATTTTTGAAAATCTTTTGTATTTATTTACCATCAAAATGCCGAAAGCTGGGAAAATTAACGAGAGTCTATCACGAACAGACAAACGTAGAGGATCCAAGAGTAAACTGACTTCACAATCCGATCAGAATGTTAAAATTGTGAATTCAGGTAGGTATAACTACCTACAATAAATAAAGATGTATACAGTAAAAGTGGCAAAGTGGAATAGGTGATATATTATATATAATTAAAAAAATATGACTATTCAAAAGTGCTTAAGAAGTTTGCTTGAATAAAAATATTGTTTGTATACCAACAATGTAAACCAGATTGTGGAATGAGCTCCCTGCCGAGGTTTTCCCAAGAGACTACAGCATGGGGTTCTTTAAAAGGGGGGTAAAGAGGTTTCTTCAGGGTCGGCAACGCACGCGTAATACCTCTGGTATAGCAGGTGTTCATAGGCTACGGTAACCACTTACCATCAGGTGGGCCGTATGCTTGTTTGCCGCCTCAGTGGTATAAAAAAAAGTCAATATCGCAAATGGGGTTAGTATTCCTTTTTTATCAATTAAAAAAATCTTCATTGAATAAATCTATTTTAAACTACTGATATCAGGCGATGGCCCGGGCAGGATGTCTCCACGTTTGCGCCGCAACATGGAGCGTGTGGAGAGGTTAGCGCGTCCAACCGCACGCCGCCTGCGCTCGCTGTGGGACGAGAAATGTGGAATACTACCGCCTGAGCGGAGGGATAAAATCAAAAGCGCTTTAGAGGAGGACTATTTCCTGAGTCCTGAGTGAGATTTTCACGTTTTGTGATTCCAAAAAGATGAGGTTTTCAATTCGGTTCGAAAAAACCGATCTTTTTTTTCTGAAAGGATTTATTATTTTTTCCATTGAAATTTTATCAAAATCGGTTCATTAGTTTAGTTTCGAAATCAAAATAACTGGTTTTGCTACAATTGAAGTCGTTTTTTTGGGGAAACACAATCTTTATTATATAAAGATGTCTATCAAGTATACGGCCCAAGTATAACACAGACATGCACGAATTGTTACATGAAAGCTTCGATTTAAGTGTTGTCCATGGGAATTTACCAGAGGGAGACTTTGTACAAAAGTCGTTTGTTTGCGCACCTCCGTCCCATTCGTGTTTCTACCGTGAAGCAGTTGTGTGTGCATGGCTGTGTTTCGGTTTGAAGGGTAGGATATGGCAGTGAATTTACAGGGTACAGAGGAATAACACCTGAGTCTTCAGGAATGGCAACGCATGGGGGTATCATGAGCGATACAGTATACTCTATTATGTTCATGGTACTGCTCATGTCTTTAGGCGAGCAGTACGCGGCAGTCTGCGGCAGTCTGTGGGGGAGGCTTATGTCCAGCAGTGGACGGATAATGGCTAAAATGATGATGATTAAAATATCTAAATGTGTAAGTTTGTTACTTTATAGCGCTTTAATGGCTTAATCAATCACTAAAATTTGGTATATATGTACCATATAGGATGGAAAAAGATATAGGACACTTTATCTTGATCCGTAAACGTATTCCGGTGTCCGGTCACGTGGACGAAGTGGCGGGTAAAAGCTAGTATTAGTATGGTTATGTGATCAATTGAAAAAAAAAGTTACGGTGTTTCAAGTGAGCGGAGTTAAAACCCGGAATTTTGGTTGCGGTCATACCTTGAGGTCAGTGTTTTTTGTAGATAATCTCTTTGAATTTTACTTTACTTTGGATTCAACACAAACACTCACTAATATTTATCATGTACAGACAAACAGAACAATACTTTCAAGCTCTAGCAGAGTCGTCTAAAAAGTGGTCAGGTCCTAGCGGCATGGTCGGTCGCAAGGAACAAGTGGAAAGGGCGCGGGAGCTCCGCCAGCGGCAGAAGTGGCTTGTCGACTTCAGTGCTCAGGTTACACATTTAGGGCATATACTATTAAATATATTAATGATGTGATCCTGGCCACATTGTGGTTCAGGCATAGAATAGGCCACCCCTTTGGGAGGGACGGGTAGCAGTGTTCCTTTTAAAACATCTTCAAATCCTAACTGCTGTTTCCAATCCGCCTGCTAAACGTGGCAACTATTGACAGAACCCCCCCATGTTTTATGTTCAGCAGCGAACAGTTAAAGTTGGGCTCGCGCTCGCATCACAACTGCTCATGATTAAGGATCACGTATTGACCTCGAAACTAGTTGAGCTTTTTTGATCTTATTACACGTAAATTAAACCAGTAGTTATTACATTAAAATATACCAATGGTCGTCTAAAAACATAGATGGCGTTACCGACGTCACAGAATACGCTGTGCGAACGCTCAGGGTACTTTTAATGTGCTCTCTTTTCTGGGTACTAACGAGATATGCCATCGACATTAGGGCTTTAGTATTTCTGGCGCCATTTAGGCAAGTTTTTATAACGCTTCCCATGTCATCTATTACGATGTTGCCTACACCGCTTTCGAAATCTCTTACACCTGATCCACCGGGTCTGATATTTATATGTTGAGTTCCAAAAAGCTCATCAGTCATTTTGATACCGCCCACGCTGGTTTCTTCATGTTGGGTTTCTAAAAAAAGACCATCACCCATTATGATGTCATACACACTGGATTCTTGCCTCTTTTATTAATCAGATAACATTACCCAGCTTTCCTTTTGGTCTGCGACGCCTTTTTGGATTTTAGCGTCTTCGTGTGCCGCCTGACCATGCACTATTCCTTGGTCCTCCGTGTAAATTTTATTACATTTGTCATCATTATTTTTGAACAATATGGAAGAAAAGGGGATATTCAATAAGTAAGTATAGAAGAGATAAAAGTAATTTCATAAAACTTTTGTCAAATCTTAAGAATCTATGGCAAGTTATGTGTACATTTAACATAGTGTATTTTTTAATAAGTGATAATGGAATGGTAACTCCACCCGCGCTATCGGTATACACCGGCGGGGCACCAGTGAAGGATGGTAGGTGAGGATGAAGCAGGTCAGTTAGTCCATCGTGACAAATTCAACAAGAATTGTTCACGATGGTTTCCAGGGGGAATCACGTGGAGGTCGACTTAATAGGGCATATTGCTAGTAATGGGGCTGCCAAACTCCATTGCTAACAATCCCTTTCCCTCCATATACAGTGTTCAACCACAGTAGTTCAACGGAATGTCTTTGTTTCATAGGTGGCGTATCGCTTATGCGACTACATAGCGAAAGGTCAGAAGGAGATGCTCGTTTCAAACAGGCTACGTAGCATCGCCGATGTCGTGTTGGAGCGTGTCGCTGAAATATTAGGTCAGGATTATAAATTTATTTGTAATATAGTATTATGTTATTCAATAATAACATTAATATTGCACACCTGCAATGCCTCTGGTGTTGTGGGTGATCATTGGCGGCGGTAGTCACTTACCATCAGGTGAGCCGCGAGCTCGTGCCTGTGTTATTAAAAAAAAAAAATTAAAGTGCCTAGTAATGATTGGAGGCGAAGAGACTGATCGATCTCAGAGGTATACTTTGGGAGAAAACAATGTTCTGCAATAGATTGATGATATTGAATAATATAATAATATAGGCTTGAACATATTGCATTTTTTTTTTTGGTGGATGAAAATGGAATGGTAAACCCGCCCGCACTAATGGGATACGTTGGCGGAGCACCAGTGAAGGGTGATCAATGAGAATGAAAATAGGCCAGTTAGCCCATCATGATGAATTCATCAGGAATTAACCATGATAGTTTCCAGGGGGAACCACGAGGAGGTCGACCTGACAAGGCGTATTGCTAGCAATGGGATTTTTAGTCTCCATTACTAACAATCCCTTTCCCCCCAAGGACATATTGCATTATACTATCTAACAATAATCAAGTTGGGGAGGGAGATTGTTAGTAATGGGCTTGCGTGGCTTTAATACTAGCTATACTCTGTTTAGACCTAACCAGTTTTTTTTAATGGATCATAATGGAATGGTAACTCCTGCGCTATCGCTATACACTACAAGGCACCAGTGAGGGTTGATAGGTGAGGATGAAAAGGCAGGTCAGTTAGTCCATCGTGACGAATTCAACGATAAATTAATCGCGATGGTTTCCAGGAGAAACCGCGTGGAGGTTGATCTGATAAGGTATATTGATAGCGATGGGGACTAACCTCCCCATTACTAACAATCCTTTCCCCCCAGGTCGTACAATTATCAATTTTTAGTAGAATATATGTGGAATCTGGTGTTATAAGTGTATGTGCGTATTTAAGCGCTGTGATGGATAAACTTAATTATATTTTCGTTTAAGTTTTAGGACCAGTCAATTGGTTTAATTTTTATATGTTTTTTTTTCTTAGGTGAGCCAAAACCATCCCGTACACACCCTGGTCGCCTTGCCCGCTTTATGATCGCTATATCTGACCGCATCGCAGTCTGGATCGAGAACGCTGTGTACAGAGCTGAAGCCCTCGAGCCCAAGGAGTCTGGAGTTATAGACGAGCATATACGTTTGGACGATGAAAAAACATTCCTTTGCTAATAGTTATACAGTTTAATTTGTCTCGGTTGTTTCGGTTCGGTGAGTGGTTTAAAATATTTACAAAAGAGGTTCTCAAAAAGATTATATATTTTATATGTACCAGATGGAAATAAAACTTTTTTGCTTGGGTATCTCTGCCTGACTCTTATTTCTTTTATTTCATGGCTGTGTTTTGGTCGTTTTTTTAATGGACTATAATGAACTAGGTCCCAGCCTGTCCTTTCGATATACGCTGGCGGGGCACTGGTGAGGGATGATAGATGAGAATGAAGGGGTAGGTCAGTTTGTCTATCATGATGAATACACCTGGAATTCAGTACGATGGTTTCCATCCACGAGAAAGTCGACCTGACAAAGTATATTGCTAGCAATGGGACTGGTAGTTCGCATTACTAACAATCCTTTGTTTCGGCGGTTAAGATGGGATATGATAGTGAAGTTACGGACGCTGGTGCAACGTCTTAGTACTCAAGAATGGCGACACATTGTTCCAGGGAGGGGGGTGAGAAGGATTGTTAGTAATGGGGACGTTACTCCTATTGCTAGCAATATACCTGTCAGGTCGACCTCCACGCGGTTCCCCCTTGGAACTATCGTGATTACTGTCAAGTTCGTCACGATGGGCCAACTGACCTAACTCTACTCATACCTGTCACCACTCTCTGGTATACCGCCAATGTATATCGATAGCGCGGGTGGAGTCACCGTTTCATTATCATCCATTAAAAAAAAATTGTTTCACAGACGACACAAACTATTCTGTGATATCTCTGGTGTTAGATAGATAGATACTATTTATTGTTTCCTCCAAAAGATTACAGTAGTAAACTTATTATAAATATAAATAATTACAAGAAATAATCACAATGAGAAAACAATGGGCGACCTTATCGCTAAGAGCGATCTTCCAGGCAACCTTTGGATGGAGAGGAGTAATTATAAACAATTTGGTAGGAGGCACGATGAAAAATTTTGTTAGTTCTAAATATGGGAGATGTAATACATATAATAATATAAATATTATCCCTACTCATTATTATATGTTATATGTTAGGTGTTAATATTCTCTATAGTCGATGGTTACTACTTTTCTTTAGATGGGCCAACTTGTTTGCAATTCTATGTTGTATAAAGAAAATATAATAATTTATGTACTAAATAGGTGCCTTGGTATGGACTATTATACTATAATTAATGTAACCAATTCAATTCTTCATTACTTAATTATTCAATGGAATTATTAATATCATTTACGTTACATAAAACTTGATGATAATGATGTAATACTCAGAATAGTTTGCATCAGTGATTTTAGATAGTAAACTAGGTATACTTGTGCCTGCATTGTGGTAATTGTCAATCAAGCATGATTATAGAAAAATAAACGTAATCAGTGTATATTTATAAGACTAATTAGGTACCTACTCGGGTCAGTATTTCACTTTTATTAAAATGGATGAAGCAAAAAAATTTAGATATTTAAGGATAGATTATTTTTTTTATATAACTTAGAATGATGATGATAAATGATGGAAAGTGGTAACCGTCGCCTATAGACATGAGCAGTACCATGGACATAACAGAGTATACTGTTTCACCTATGATACCTTCCATTTGTTGCCATTTCTGAGGCGTTATTCCTCTGTACCCTGTAAATTCACTGCCATACCCCACTCTTCAAACTGAAACACAGCCATGCAAATACAACTGCTTCACGGTAGAAATACGAATGGGACAGAGGTGCTCAAACAAACGACTTTTGTACAAAGTCTCCCTCTGGCAGGCGACTTAGGACCGTCAGCAGTGGACAGATAATGGCTGATATGACAATGATATATAATTTTATGAAAATCAAAATAAATTGGTCATAGATAATCATCAGATGACTAATTTTAATTTCATGAATGTCTAAAAATATTTAATACTCGGATTACCATTAAGGATGTTCTCTTTACCATTCTTTGGTCATTTCCAGGATTAGAGATCAGTTTTAGTTTACTTTTAATATTTTATTTGCGGTAGTTAATTTAATCAAAAGTGATAAATAAGTAAATGAGCCATATTTAGTAGGTAAGGCCATTTAAATAATTGTAAAATGGTAATCGTTTAATGCAATGATTAAATAATGAGAGCTGCCCACATTTCAATCTTGTTTACGAAGCCACTTAAATATACAAGTTCAGTACAAACCTGCCTTGAAGTAAATAAACAAAGGAATGGATGACGGTTAAGGATTACGGCATACCAGGCTATACCGCTATATATAGATAACAATGTAACTAATCGGGGGGAAAAGGATTGTTAGCAATGGAGTTTGACAGCCCCATTGTTAGCAATATGCCCTTTTAGGTCGACCTCCACGTGGTTCCCCCTGGAAACCATCGTGAACAATTCTTGTTGAATTCGTCACGATGGGCTAACTGACCTGCTTCATCCTCATTTGTCATCCATCACTGGTGTCTCGCTAATGTATACCGATAGCACAGGCGGGGTTACCATACCATTTTCACCCATCAAAAAAAAAATGTAACTAATCAGTTAATGTAATTAACCAGGGTGGAAATGGGATTGTTACTAATACAGAATACTAGTCGTATTGCTAGAAATATACCCAGTCGGGTCGACCTCCACGTGGTCTCCCCTGGAAATCATCGTAGTGAATTCTAGGTGTAATCATCACGATCGGCTAACTGACCGACCTATTCATTGTCAGCTATCATTCCTTACTGGTGCCATTATTTTTTTATGCAATTTCGGAGTCGTTAAAAATAAGAGTTGGATATTAAAATGACAAAAAGAATGCTATCAGAATGGTACAAATTCGATTCTTACATACATATCGAGTGCAAATTGAATTCTTAGCACGTCCGTATCAAGGAAAGTTTTGGCACAAAATGATTATTTCAACACTCATTTGAACATCCACGATTATTCTGGAGCAAATTGATAATATGTTATATAATTTTGTTTCTTTTTTTTCTGTTTAGGTAGCACTTCATTATTATATAATAATGAAGTACTTACCTAAGAAAATTTAAAAATATAATAAAAATGTAATTAGATAATGTCTGAACATAGGAGATAGTTAAGAACAATTTATATCAGGGATCTCAAAAAGAGCAGTAGAAGCGAAAATAAGATTGTTTTTAAAAAAAATTGTCTGTCTGCCTGTCTGTCTGTATGTATGTTTGTTCGGGTATCACGCAAAAAATATTGCACCAAAATGGATGTAGTTTTTACAGTTGTGTTTCTTAAGATCTAACGTAAAATCTACTGCATGTTTCCTTTTAATACGTCATCTAAAAGAGGCCTATTTCACTGGTTTTTCTCGTTTCGAAATTTATGTGTACAAAGTGGCGCGCAAAGAGCTAGTTAAAAATATTTTCACAAAAATTCAAATTGTTACATAATTGAGACAAGCATGCAAAATCTAATAAAATATACTTTGTCTTCCTTACTATGCCCATCGCTCAATTTGATTGATCGAGCTTTCACCTTAGTAGGAGTAAATTGTTACTAATTGCCTCTAATTAGTATGTAAAGTGGGTCATACAAGTTCAACTCTCAATACCGAGTGACGAATGTATAGAAGATAACTTAGAAATAAAGGAGTTTTCATGTTTTTGTTTTTAGTTTCTTTATGTTATATTAAAAATTATTTAATATCAAAATAATATTTTTACGTACAATTTTTTTTATTTGAAGTACATTAATTGACATGAAATTGTAATTGACCTGTTGTTTTTTTATAAGAATTGTTATTTTAATATTTAAGTATTTAAAATTTTGCATGCCTAATTGTGGCGAAATATGTGGACTTAGTATTATTTTATCTATCTATTCATTCATTCATATAAATCAAGTAAGTTTATTTGCTGTTTTTAATGGTACTTTGTTAACCTACAATGAATCGGGTATCTATAGATCTTAATTTAAAAATAGATGTATGCAATATCCAGCGTTGTTTTACGAAAAAATAATATAATTACAAAATATCTACCCGAATCTAACAGAAATACCCATAAGCGTACCTAATAGAAGTCATCCCGCTCGGTGACATAAGTCATCCTTACATTCAAACAAAAAATTCTTATTCTAGTAACCAAAAAGTTGTATTATATACGTATATAATGTTTTATATTATTATACATATATGCACATATATTTTGTTCTCCTATTATCTATATTATCTTTGTAGCAATAAGGGTGTATTCTTCATATCATCTTGGAACAGAATTTTTTTTTTTTTATTTTGTAGATATTATAATAGAATTTCTATAACAAACATTTTTATTCCTCTTTTGTCGGATATAAAAAAGCTTAATTTCTTTCCACTTCAATCAACTAAAACAGATAAAACATATTTTTTCTCAACTCCTTGATTATTTAATTTGTTTTTTATTTAGGTATTATATCTACTGTCCACATAATTATGAAATCATTTTGGTAGGGAAGAATAGGCTAGAAGATTGACTGTTGCTCTTTCGAAAGAAATATTTTTTTTTATTAAGTTATGCTCTTGTATCGCCTTTACCCCACAACAGTTCAAGTGCTGAACTTAATTAGGAAATGATTCTGACCAATCGATTTGATTATTTACTTATAAAAAAAATATTCGAGTATATAAGTATTTTATTATGTGTAAATAATAACGCACATTCCATCATACTGTTCTATAACATTGCCATATCTGACAGCCAATAGAGCAGCCTTTCTATTTTTTCTTGGCGACAAGTTGTCCTATTATGTATTCAGATAGATTTGACCTTAGGAGGGACTAGGCACGCCTTAGTATCCCTAGATGAAACGACCTTCGTCGGACCTATATATGCTTCAGTCTTCCGTAGATCGACATAGTCTGCACTTGGAAGGCCTAGAAGCAGTTCTTGTAGAAAACCAATCAATTAAACCCATTCAAAATGAAATACGCCGTGAGTATAATGGGAGTACAATAGCTGCATGGAAACAATAGAAAATGGCGCGAAGATTATTAGGGTTTCTTAAATAAATGGCGATCGGTTCCATCCATCTTAGACTCTTATTACGTGAAAACTGTACTTATATCTAACTTCAAAATAATTATTTTAATAATTTATTGTTATTATGTCACATATTCAGACATAAGCCCTCCCCCACAGACTGTCCCAAGGAAAGGCCTTGAGTTATCCACATCTATTGACTTTTTCAATATATTTAAGATCGTTATTCCATTTTAAGAATCTTTGATCAACGTGATAGGCCCATTGTCACTACAATTTCCTGATCCTTCGGATTGATTTCTAGATCCAGACGATTTCTCCTTATAAGTATAGGATATACTATCTGGTTTTGTTCCTAGTTTACTTTTCATTGGTGTATTGTGCTGAGTTTCTTTACTTGCCTCTTACAACATTCCAGGAACGAGAAACAGTGATGACGTATTGAATTATTCTTTAGTCATCACACAGAGAGCTTTTATAGATATTTTTGTGAAATTTGGTCAAAATTTTTATTAATTTAATCTGTGTGTTCACCAAAAAACCTATAAAATGGAATATTTGTTATTAAATTAAATTAATTTATTTGTTATACAATCACGCTTACATGGATGAACAACTTTGAAACATACTTCGTACGCAGATGTGTTATATTTTGTATTAAGTTATAATGTATAATATAAGGCACATTTAATATAATTCAAGCAGAGAATTTGCGGGTTACAGCTAGTAAATAGCAAAAAATAAGATTTAGCTTGAAATTAAGAATACGCATATTATAAAAATAAATAATAAAAAAATAAATAATAATATATTGTTCGCGCAAAATTTAATATTATATTACTTCCAGTTATTTGACAATTTGGGATTCCTATTTTTGGATTTTTTAATCCTAAATTAATCCTTAATTACTTTTAGGTATTTTTCGTTCTGTGCTACGTGGCGCTGTCCTCAGCTGCTCCTCAGGTGATCGTACCGGGCATCGCTCCTGGTTTTATTGCCCCTGGTGTATATGCCCCAGGTGTAGTCGCCCCAGGCGTAGTCGCCCCTGGTGTGGTAGACGTGGCTGGATTGGTTGGCCCCAGGGTACGTTTCATTTGAATTATTCGTAAACTGTTTTTAAATACAGCTCATTTGTTTTTTTTACAGATATTTAAAAAAATAGTAAATTTTAAAAAAATATTTAAAAAAAAATAGTAACTCATTTCCCAATATTTTTGTTAATTTTCAGATTATTTTTGTAAGTAGTTGCATATTCGTGAGAAAATGTCAATAGTTCTTGCCTTTTGTAAGAAGTAAAACTATATTGTTTTAATTATTTTAATTTATTTAACTTGCTACAAGTTTTACTTAGTTTTTTTTTATACAACTTAGAATGGCAAACAAGCTGATGGCCTACCTGATGATAAGTGATAACCCTCGCCTATAGGTATGAGTAGTACCATGGATATAACAGTGTATACTGTTTCGCCCATGATACTCCCATGCGTTGACATTCCTGAGGACTTAGATGTTATTCCTCTGTACCCTGTAAAGTTACTGTTATATTCTACCCTTAAAACGTAAACACAGCCATGTAAACACGAATGGGACAGAGGTACCCAAGCAAACAACTTTTGTACAAAGTCTCCCTCTGGTATAGTTTGGTATTATATGGCATTTTGTAATATGTCCAGTGGTATTTATTATAATTTTTATTACTCTTTTTCCAAATTAAAATATTATTTCCGTGTTATACTCATAACTACTCATTTTAATTTAGAAAAAAGTTTCTTCAAACTATAGTATAACTATATACTTATATTTGTTTTTCCATTTTAGACCTTGGTCGCTGGCCCCACAGTCATCAATGGCGTACCCGGTGGCCAGATCATCGCCCCAGGCGTCATCGGCACCACTGTAATCTAATCCTTCAAAACCCCTAATCCCTAGCTCCCTCCCACAAGTACTGCCTCCCAATCCCAACTAGACCAATCGGTACATACAATTAAACTGTACATAATGTTCTTATTGCCAAATTAAAAGTACTTTCTCTTCCGATATATGATTTTTATTGCATATTGCAAAAAGGGGAAAACAATCAGCAAATATATTCATGTATATTTTCACGCCAGTTCTTATACAGGGTAGATAGAGACTTATCTACTTTGCTATTCTAAGATGTGTATTGTCTGGTGTACTCGGCTGGACAGGTTTGGGTGACATTTGAGATAAACTAAAGCCTACAACACACCAGTGAAGGGTGATAGATGGGAATGAAAACAGGCCAGTTAGCCCATCATGATTAATTCATCAGGAATTAACAAGAATTAATCGGTTCGGAAATACTGTTACTGTGTATTTAAAACTTTTCTTGAAATTATTCAAAATTTATAACACCGTTAACCATCCATATAGAACACTGTAGCAAGAATGAATGAATCTAATCTGTTCAATCTGTCAATCTTACTCGCTCATTCTCATTCGTTTATTCTCGTCATCATACGTTCCGTTACAGCAAATATTGATCATATTAAAAATATTTCCTACATATATATATTAAAACTAATTCGTGTAAAAACAGGAAAGTTAGCTAATGTATAAATTAGATATAGGAAGACAATAATACAGGAAATAAGATAATAGGCATAGCGCCACTGCACCTGTTCACGATGTAGATTAGATATCTATATTCTTGATTTGATATAGAAGTGCATTGAAACGGATTGCGCCGTGGGCATTTCAACTTCTTTCTCTCTAAGAATTTCCTATAACCCTATCCGTACTCCTTTTTGATATATAGATAAAAAAAAATACTATTATTACACAGGAAATTAAAATAATAGTTGTTCTAGCATGACTGTTTCAGTTTAAAGAGATATGACAGTGAAATTATAGAATACAGAGGCGTAAAACCGTATTCTTTAAGAATAACAACGTATAAAAAGTACTATAGGCATATTAATAAGTGATAATCTTCTTTTCCTTAAAAAAGGTAAAGAGTCTAAGTTTATTAAACAAATTTAGATTCTAAATTGTATTAAAAAAAAGTAGTCGGTTATGTCCACGGTACTGCTCATGTCTTTAGGCGACGGTTACCACTTTCCATCAGGTGGACCGTCGCGTCAGCTTGTTTGCCATTCTAAGTTGTATAAAAAAAATAAAGTAAAAATCAATAAGTACTCAAACGATACGTAAATTAAATAAATATTTACTCAACCTGATATAATATTATTCTTACATAATCGCATTGCTATGGAACACCTAAAAATTCGTCTAATGAACATAAACATAATTTTCGTTAGCATACATTTCGTCGCAAGTTTTAATCGGTACAAACCCACTTCTTGTAGTGTCGAGTCCTCATTTCAACGCATCTCATAAATGTAACTAATGGAATGACCTCACCACGAAAATATAATATCCGAAACTTGTTGCGAATAGCTTAACTCTTTAGGGTTCCATCAGAGTGGTCTTCAAAATTTGTGTAAGGAATAGCTTATAAAACTTATATAGTGATAACAAAAGTACCCAAGCAGAATAGTTAATTGATTGTGAAGTTTCAGAAATCTGAATGTTTATTTTTCCATAAATATGTTTTAGTTTATTTAATAATAAAAACCAGTCAGTTGTAGGACTGCACGTCAGAAGTGAAAACATTTTTGCTTCACAAATTTTTAAATATGTATGTAAGTGTGTGTGTGTGTAGCGCATGCGTGTTTGCGTGTGTGTATTTCATTCTCTCTCTCTCTCTCTGTGTGTGTGTGTGTGCATGTGTCGGAGCATGATGGTCACGTGAGTTCAGTGCTTTTTCTGTATCTCAACGAGCCTAACCTCTAATCCTCCTGAGCCTAACAAGTTTTCACTTCAAAAACAAAAAAAAAAAAACAAATGGCGGGTGTTATGAACTTGAGCTACGATTAAACTCTAGAAACACGTATAACGTCTAATTGATAACAAAATTAAAACTTACATAAATGGAAAAAATACAACGAAATATAAACGGTTGTAAGGTTGGTGAGAAATTATTACTCTGCAATCATAAACGCCGCGCAATTAATTCCTAATTACAAAGTATGGTTAGATGTCTCATTATAACGACTGTTGGGAATACTCAGTTACGTAACACTCAAATGTATGTAAAATCACGTAAGAGTGTAGGCATACGTATAACATTACAGTAGAAAATGTTTTGTCGTTGTAATATTGTGTTTACGTTGTTTTTAACTTACAATTTGCATAAGCTATTCTTTAGAATTTTAAATCGATATATTACCTAATATTATGAAAACGTGTGACTGAATATATTGATTTAATTTTTATTTACCAGAGGGAGACTTTGTACAAAAATCAAAAACGACACCCACGGGAAAGGTATGGGTGGCCTATTCTATGTCGGGACCACATGGCCTAGTTATATAATACTATAATAATATATATACTATAACATATAATATGTTTTATATTATCTGTGCTTTAGTCTTACCGTGACCACAACGTAGTGCAAATCACATCGCAACATCGACAATAAAAATATAAGATGTGTACCTACATACTATATACTTACCTGTAACTATATACTACTCGTATCATCATTTGTACTTTAACCTTAATTTGTATATTTTCTGTAGGTCCTTAAATTTATATGAGAAATTAAATTATGTAAAGTGCGGTAGCCTGATCTTCATAACACAGGATTGTCCTCTTCTAGTGGAGTTCGTCACGATGGTCTAACTGATCTGCTTTCATTGTCACCTATCATCCCTCACTAGTGTCCCGCCAGTGTATACTGAGAGCGCAGGCAAGGTTACCATTCTATCATCACCTATTAAAAAAAAACACAGGATTGTCCTAGCATGAAGGCCAGAGACATTGAGAATTAATATGTAATATATATGTATTTTGTAATTCATCTGTATATTTTTGTTGAATAAATTATTATTATTATACTATTTACCTGTACTCGCATCTCGATCGTGAATTTAAAATATTATCTAAGCTTGTCACGGTAAACGCCCGCGCTGCAAGAATGATGACAACCGACGCCATAGCTAACCACATTGTTCCTTATTTTATTGAATACAAAAAACAGTAATTGTATTACGATCACGGCTCGCTCTATTGTTTTATTAGTTGTTTAATAAAATAAAAATTCGTGGCTGTCAGATTAGGTACCATTGTTTTATTTTAATGTTGCTCAAAGTATAATATAAATTTAATAAAAGTATAGGCTGCGAATGAAATTCGTAATCACAGTTCACGTTTATAATATGTACCTGCTATTTTATATAATTATGCATTCTATTAAGGTTAAATAGGTAGTTTTTTTAATGGGTGAAAATGATGCTGGCGAGATACCAGTCAGGGGTGATAGAAAAAAATAAATCCAGCTTAATTTAAAAAAAATGTTAGTTATGCTATCAGTTGACTTATCGTGGGAATTAACTACTATACTTTACTTTAGTGTTATTACTTATACTGTGGCTATAGATTTTAGAACTGCTCGAGGTCGGGAAGAAAGGGATTGTTAGTAATGAGGTCTCATAACTAGCTATATATCTTATCAGGTCGATGTCCACGCGGTTTCCCCTGGAAACTATCGTGATTAATTTTTATGGAATTAGTCACGATGGACTAACTGACCTGCTTTTATCCTTACCTATATCTCTGTGGTGGCCAGCGCATAACAATAGTGTTGGCGGAGTTATCATTCCATTCTCATCCATTAAAAAAATTACAAGAAGTCGATTTGCAGGTTTATTCTTGAATCAAATTCAATCCAATCTATTGTCAATGACAATTTTGTACTGCACACGTGAAACAACGATAAGGTATTAGGTTATAATTTGGATCGATTTACAATAGTTTGCATTGATACGTTACACTAATAATTAATATGCGTCTATCAGAACAATATAGAACCATAATGACGCTAATACTACATTTCGTGAGTGCGAAGAATCTTAATTCTTTTTTTTATACCACTGAGGTGGCAAACAAGCATACGGCTCACCTGATGGTAAGCGGTTACCGTAGTCTATAAACGCCTGCAATACCAAAGGTGTTACGCGCGCGTTGCCGACCTTAAAGAAACCTCTTTACACCCCTTTTGAAGAACCCCATGCTGTAATATCTTGGGAAAACCTCGGCAGGGAGCTCATTCCATAATCATAATTCCATTTCCAATATCGATCTATTAAAAATTATTTCAAGAGTAATTTAGCTAACAAGAGAACCTCACTGATGAGGTCTCTTGTTAGCAATGGGGCTGTTTAGTATCAATACCGTTACTAAAAATTTCATTTAATTTTTCTAGTCTAGACAAAGTGATGCGTCCCGAATTGTCATATAAACTGTGGAGACACGTCAACAGTGCTACTGGTTGTTTTATTTTTTAATTAGTTACCCCACCCGTGGTATTGGTATACATCGGTGGGGACCAATGAAAGATGATAGATGAGGATAAAGCAAGTCAGTTAGCCCATCGTGACGAATTCAATAAGAATTGTTCACGATGGTTTCCAGGGGGAACCACGTGGAGTTCGACCTGATAGGGGCATATTGTTAGCAATGGGGCTATCAAACTCCATTGCTAACAATCCCTTTCTCCCCCGCTACTGGTTGTTCTTTACACTGTGCTTATCTCATGCTCAGATAAAATATATAGCATACCATCAAGTGAAGTGTGATTGAAGTAATTTGTTATGGGATATTATTCATGCATATTCGTCACCCTATTACGACCGTAGCTGTCATGGCTGGTTATTTAACTACAATTTACGTAAAAGATCATCAATTTTCTTTGCTTTACCGAAAAAGATTTATCGAAAAAAAAGTCAGGATCCGTTGAATTCTCTTCCGTTTCTATTATGACAAGAATTCATTCGAATCTGTATAATTCTGCGATTACCTATTCAATGTGGATAAAAGATTGGTCATTTTATATGTTCCATTCGTCTCTAATATTTGGTATTCGTGTAGTAAAAAAACATCTTGCTCATAATGTCCACATATTGTTTGTATTGCTATTTAGAATAGGTATTAGGATGAAAGTATATCTA